GCAGAGATGTTCTGTGATGTAGACAGAGGGGGTATGGATTTGCAGAGGGGCTCTTCATGAAGGAAGCACTCCACTCCTCCATCATAAAATTTCCTAGGGGTTGGCTCGGCAGTAGCGAGAGATCATATCAAGCAGTACGGAGAGTGTGGAGAGCCGCCGTGTCGTTGGACGGCATGCAGAATGCTGTGCGCGCTGCGCTGGTGTGCTCGCTGCAGACATGCAAGATCATGCAAGTAGGTCGACATAGGTTTTGACGGAGGCGCGGTGCTCGGAAGCAAGGTGCTTGAAACCCCGTCAGGAAGCACAGCGACGACGGGACCTTCTCGAGCAAGAGCGCTTGCGAAGCTCCGCAGTCGCACTTTTGTTGGTTTTTCTCGGTACTGGCAAGGCATTGGCAAGTGCTGGTTAGGGGGATCCTCCGTTGAGGCGTCAACATGTCGTAAGTTTGTCAGGAACAGCACGGGAGCGTCCAAGCGTTTTTGCAAGTTGAAGCCCGAGCATGGCAACAGCTGAGGTTTGGGGACTGAATCCTCTGGCAAGAAGGCTTGCAAGTCTCTTCCATGTCTGCTGCTGTAGAGTGCTTGACGTGGCATTGGGGGTTCTCTTGTTTTAGAGTGTGGCGGCGGGTGACATGCATGTGTGCTGCTGGCTGAATTCTCCAGCCGATGGTCATCCCTTTCTGTTTGAGGCGGCTGGGGACGATGTCGCCACACATTGGAAGACCGCTGCGGACCAGGCCCCTGGAATTCAGTTTTGTCATGAAGCCACGTTGTGCTGTCTGCAATGGAAAGCGTCAGCCCACGAACCTGCACAGACAGTTGTGCAGCATCACTGTGCATCAGCTGCAGACGCGATGTGCTGCTGCTTTGATGTCTAGCTGGGAACCGTGACTTTGCAATTCACACTGGCCAATGTCTCGACATGGTGGCAAAGCATGGCCATCGCATGGCATCGCTCGATGAGCCAGGTCCATCGGTTGCTCTGATCTAGCATAGAGAGATCCAAAATGTCGTCCGAGGCGAATGAACGTCTGGCTCAGCGTCAGGAGTTTCAATCCCCGGACTTCGGCGACAAGGACCTTCCTGTGTCATGTCACTATTGCTTGTTGCTGATAAGGTGGCCGTCTGGCTTGGAGGAGTGTAGGCGAGCAAAAATAATGACTGACTTTGCCTGCACGTCGTCCAAATGAAATTCCAATGCGAAATCCATTGAACCAGTGTTCTGAAGAGTTCTGGACCTGAGAGGATCGTGAGCTCGAGAAACGCCTGGAGAATGCTGAAAGAGCGTTGAAGAGTGCCGAGGCGTCATGAGATGGCTTGTACAAGATAGCTTCTACATTGCGCGACTATGTATTCCTTGCATGCATGTATTGATGCATCTATCAGGTATCAGCCTTTCCGTATTATTGTGTTTGCACAGTCCTCAACCACGGGAGGGGGGAACTATGAGGACAGGTTAGCAGATGCTCTGAACCTGAGAGCGGTGCTTTGTGCGCTCTAACCTCTGAACATGGCAAGCACGAGGTGCTATCATGCCTGGGGCATTCATACACACACATACACACATACACACATACACACATACACACATACACACATACACATACGCACATACAAACATACACACGTACACACATACCCACATACACACATACAAATTGAATCGGCCTGATTCGACAAATGGTAAATCACGGCTGTGATTCCGAAGCCTCAGGAATGTGTGGGTTCATTTCTTAAATTTCAATCTCCAGGATGCGACGGTTCTTCTTGATTGTACAGAGAGAATGAACAACTGCATAAACGAACGCACGCACGCACGCACGCACCCACACACACACACACACACACACACACACACACACACGCGCACGCGCACGCACACGCACACGCACACGCACACGCACACGCACAAGCACACGCACACGCACACGCACACGCACACGCACACGCACACCCACACCCACACCCACACCCACACCCACACCCACACCCACACCCACACCCACACCCACACCCACACCCACACCCACACCCACACCCACACCACACACCACACACCACACCGCACCCACACACGCACCCACACGCGCACACACACGCGCACCCACACACGCACACCCACACGCACACCCACACGCACACCCACACACACACCCCCACCCACACCCACACCACACCCACACACCCCCACCCACACCCACACCACACCACACCACACACACCACACCCACACACACACACACACACACACACACACACACACACACACACACACACACACACACACACACACACACACACACACACACACACACACACACCACACACACACACACACACACACACACACACACACACACACACACACACACACACACACACACACACACACACACACACACACACACACACACCACACACACACACACACACACACACACACACACACACACACACACACACACACACACACACACACACACACACACACACACACACACACACACACACACACACACACACACACACACACACACACACACACACACACACACACACACACACACACACACACACACACACACACACACACACACACACACACACACACACACACACACACACACACACACACACACACACACACACACACACACACACACACACACACACACACACACACACACACACACACACACACACACACACACACACACACACACACACACACACACACACACACACACACACACACACACACACACACACACACACACACACACACACACACACACACACACACACACACACACACACACACACACACACACACACACCACACACACACACACACACACACACACACACACACACACACACACACACACACACACACACACACACACACACACACACACACACACACACACACACACACACACACACACACACACACACACACACACACACACACACACACACACACACACACACACACACACACACACACACACACACACACACACACACACACACACACACACACACACACACACACACACACACACACACACACACACACACACACACACACACACACCACACACACACCACACACACCACACACACCCACACCCACACACCCCACCACACACCACACCACACACACACACACACACCACCACGCACCCACACGCCCCACCCAACACCACACCCACCCACCCACCCACCCACCCCCCACCCCCACCCGCCCGCCCGCGCCGCGCCCGCGCCCGCGCCCGCGCCGCGCCCACGCGCCCGCGCCACGCGCACGCGCACGCGCCACGCACGCGCACGCGCACGCGCACGCGCACACAGCGCACGCGCAACGCACGCAACACGCACACCCCACACACCGCACCCGCACCCGCACCCGCACCCGCACCCGCACCGCACCCGCACCGCACCGCACCCGCACCCGCACCCGCACCCGCACCCGCACCCGCACCCGCACCGCAACCCGCACCCGCACCCGCACCCGCACCCCACCCACACCACACACACACACACACACCCACGCACACACACACACACACACACACACACACACACACACACACACACACACACACACACACACACACACACACACACACACACACACACACACACACACACACACACACACACACACAACCACACACACACACACACACACACACACACACACACACACACACACACACACACACACACACACACACACACACACACACACACACACACACACACACACACACACACACACACACACACACACACACACACACACACACACACACCCCCACACACACACACACACACACACACACACACACACACACACACACACACACACACACACACACACACACACACACACACACACACACACACACACACACCCGCGCGCGCACGCACGGACGGACGGACGGACGGACGGACACGAGGGGGGGTCGGGCACAGTTTCATGCAGCGACCCTCGTGTTACATCACATCTTCGGTCAGGTGTAGCACTCTCAACCCTGATAAGATCAACCTTCTTTCGGCTTTGTGGCTTTGACAGTCCACCCCCTGGTTCAGGGCAGCACCGCAGCTCCTACAAGTGAGAAGTCTGCGCCTCAGAAGCCTGCACCCAACGCGCCCAAGTCTGTCAGAGAGCAAGGGGGCATCGAGAGGCCTTCAGACTTTGTACGAGGTCGGGCACTGAAGACACCACGATGCGCTAAGGCCGTCAAAGAATGCAGGGCGGCGCGGGAAGAAAGGCAGCCGAAACTAAGCTCGACTGATGCACAGGCGGCTCTCGAACTTGTGGAGCTTTCTGGGTTGTGGATGCGTTTTTGAATGTCGGTAGATGCGTCGCATAACTTGGATTGGGCGTTTTGAGTCCAAACCCGGAAAATCTGCGGCATCCCCGCCGTCGGAAAGCTCACTGCTAGTTTGTTGGGGTATATGGAGGATGATGCGAGCAAATCGCACTGGGTTTTCTGACCAAGCCAGCTATGCTCGGCCGTCCACGGAGCTGTTTGTGTACTTCCATGGTCATTCTGAGGACCAAGGCAGCTCGAACACGTTGCCCAAACAGCTATACGGACTTGCCGAGTCAGTTGTGGTCAAGAGCGTTGCCTCAAAGACAGGTGGAAGCAGCCACAAGCATGCTGCGATTTCAGTACGGGACATGGACCTAGCGCATGTATGCGCATGTCCCGTTAGATTTTTACAATCGTTGTGTTGCATTTGCCTATGAGGTCGGGTCTGCAAGTTCAGCACTCTACTATCATTGATGGGTGATCGCACATGCAACGGCGTCGTGAGCCAAGTTATTTTGGCGATTGTAGATCCAGCAGGAAGGGGGAAAATGCTGCGTGCATCTGTGTCAGGGCATGGGCAAAAGCGTGCACCTCGTGCATTTGGCGTTCGTGTTCCATACCGCTTATGCTGCACAGAGAAGGTCTTCATCCAAAGCGTGCACACCGCGCTAAGGTGCACACCTGTCCTCATCTGACGGCTGCTGCAGAGTTGGACCTGAAGCTGGTATTGTGCTGAGTTGACCTTGACGTGGATGTCGCATCGGCTGCATGTTTCAGCGTACGCGCACGATTCTGTTATATTCTTCTCAATGAGGCATGGTTCTCCAACGAGCTCAAGAATGGCAACTTTGGCGGTCCGCAAATCCAGGAGAGCCTAGCTACACTCTCACGTAGTGGTGCACGGGAGGAGAACAGGTTGCATCGCCACCCTTGCGTGCAGCTGCTGGTTCATGTCTAGGGACACCGGAGTTGCATCAGTTGCGAGTGCTGCGCCAGAACCACGGCGATGTCGAGCGTGTGCTCGACGGGATCCGACAGCATGTTTTGGGCGCGCTGAAGCTACGTGGCGTGGCCTCTGGATTGTGATGAGGTGACAGTTGGTCATATGGACCGTGGTGCTCCGGGACAACCCAATTGTTCTCAGATCACATTTGAAGTATGCGTTCCTGGAGTCGCTGTGTTTTGGCCACCCAGGCGAATATTTCCGTGTGGACGAGGCAGCATGCGTTGAAGCATGGAGTGCCGCGGAAGCGGTCAACGACAGGACTGGATTTAATCTGAGCAGCTGAGCCGGGCTCTCCCATGACTTTCATCTTGCTCTGTTGTTGGCAAGAGCCATCCCAAGTATTGTGTCTCAGCGGGAAGCTGTGAGCTTGTGGGCCCTGTAGGCTCTGTGCGAACCTCTCTGTGCGAACATGAAAACTTTGATGACTTAGAGAATAGTTAGACAGAGGACATACGAAGGGCCAACACAGGCATGCCTAGCTTCTAAACAGCACCCCGCCCCCCCCCTCCCGCCAGCCGCCAGGTCCGAGAAGTTGCACTGTTCCGTCTCTCACATGCCATTGCCTGCTCCAAAAAACTGCTTAAAGCATGTTTGTGAGGAAGCCCCACCAGGAGTGCTACGATGCCCTGAGGAGTCTGAGCTGCAGTTCGGGGAAGTCGCATAGACTCGCAGGTTCTTGCAAAAGCTGTGGACCTCCAAGCAGCGGCCCCATGAGCTCAGGAACAGCCTTCTGCCAACGCTCGGGCACAAGCGTAGTGGCGCTGTCATCCCTGGTGACGTGCCCCTTTGCTTGAGAGGGCACTTCCTGCCACGACACGATGTATCGGTTCGTGGCTACGGCTACAGAGCTTCATTAGCTGGAAGTCTCAGGTCACGGGCCTGCTGCGGGGACCTGGGAAGCCTCAAGGGCTACATTGGCCGCCTTCAGAAGGTCTCTTTGCGTTGCAGTGCTTGGTTGTTATGTCCGTTTCAGACACACAGAAAGAAGAACCGTAAGCGGTGCAGGACCTCGGTGACCACTTTGGCGCCTTGGAAGGTGACATTGTCAATTCCCTTCGCGGGGCCATCACTTACGAGAGGCTTCGGCGGGAAATGGCAGGAAGATGCACGGGATCAGCTAGCTCATTTGCAGAAGCCAAGAGTGATCTGCGGCACCCCGCCATGAGGTCACAGGACACCTTCACGTCAAACTTCTGACAGACATTGGCAGACCCACGAACCCTGAGCCAAATGCGTGATCTCGTCTGCAGGCTAGAGTTGCGCAAGGGCCCTGTGGGCGATGGAAACATGGCCTTGGTGGAACCTTACTTCCGCCGTATCCAGCTGACCCCTGGCTCCTTGCTATGAATTAGGTGTCAATGCCGCTGTGATAAGGGTTTCGCGTTAAATTAGGCTCTTCTTAGGGCTTCCAGGATTCTAAGTTTCGAATTCAGTTTAAGGTTTGAACAGTTTTGTTTGACTGAAAGACGTTTCGGTTCGAGGCCTGCGCCTGTCCTCAGTCGATTCCCGACTGATTCCCACAATTAGGCCAATGAATCCAACATGCTCCAGGTGCCGCACAGCGGCTGGGTTATGAGTCTGACATTATGGCGCACAACGGATGGGTTATGGCGCCTCAGCCAAGAGCGAGCTTTCACGGTTGAGAGTCAAGGCTTGGATCAGGCTATGCCAAACTCGCACTTTGTGATTGCGGTCGGACATATTGGACTCCCCCTGCTGTTTCTAGCCGGCCGGCGTAGCCTGTTGTTCGGAGGATTGGCCAGCTACAGAGGACTTTGCAATGCCTTCCTGGCGGATGGTGTACTTGCGCCGGCACCTGTGTGTGCTTGGGCTTGTTGGGCTTTGTTGAGCGGGGCCTTCTAGCTGCAGCTGCGATGTCGACTCTAAAGGCTAAAGTCGCTGGGTCAAGCACCTTCAGGTGTGGACCGATACAGTCAAGCTGTTCTATGGCCGGTCTAGAGAGGATGCTCCATTTCTGCAACTTGGCTGCCCAGAACAAAAGCCAACAATGTGACTTGCGCAATGCCTCAAGTGGAGCAAATGCAACCTTGTTTCAAGAGCCCTGTGTGCAGGTGGGACTTCATGACGGACTATGCTGTGGGTATGGCCAAGATTTTCCATGCCGTGCGACCCTCGCCTCATTAACCGCTGAAACCTATCGGGGTAAACAACTGCATCGAACTGCGCACAATTCGTGGAGATCGGATGGCCCGCCGCAAATACCTTCCATCTTCTTCATCCCAAGTTCCAGACACCACATATATGTGCTGCTGTGCGGCAGCCGGTCGATTCTGAAAAAAAGCTCCGTGCCTTTGCAAGGTCTGGACAATGCACACTCCACGCCGCTTCATGTGAGCCGGCACGTGCTCTCGCGTGTTCGAGAGGCGGATCTGAGTTTTGCCGCAGACCAAAGTCAAATGCGGCATCCCTGCCACCCAGCAAGAAACAGAAAAACAATCAAGCCGAAGTAGAAGAAGTGCGGAGGCCAATCCTCACTGCTGGGTCTTCGCAGAACTGTTCACCGGCAACTTCGAAACCGATCTCCTGTATCAACGGACTCTGGGCATCAACGCGCTGATCCGTGAGGTGCGTGTGCCATGCAACCGCGGCATTTGCCACCAGTGGGCACTAGGTACACATTGTTGCTGTGCTTTCTTCATGCACCTGAGACAAACGATGCAACCAGCTAGAGACTATGTGCCCTAGCTCACAATGGATAGCATCAGATGCCGGAGAAGCAGCACAGCATATGAGAGAGGAGATGAATGTCCGCCAGTTGCAGTGCCTGGTTGTGCATTGTCCGCTCAAGCTTCCAATCCTCGGCTTCCCAATCTTTTGAGAGGCCATGCAGTGCGATAGCCCGCATGATCTCGGCCACAAGCTGGAGTGCGCGGGAAGGGTTTGGTTGGTATGGGAGTGTTGGCAGTATGTAGGTCTGTATTTTGACTTTGGGAGCTGGGGCCTGCTCAATAATCCCTCATCCTGAGCCATCTTCGGAGGAGAGCCCCCTCTGGAACGGGCATCCGGTCGGAGCTTTGTCGCCCGTTCCGACGCTGGACCGAGCTCCTCCTACAGCGCAGCAGTGGCCCGGAAGCCTTGACCGGGCATGGACAAGTTGGTTTCGGAGGGCTAGGCACTCGTTGTTCTCGATCATGCTCGACCCCACCTAAACTCAAAGACATGACTCGGAAGCTCTGATGGGATCGCATATACTCTCAGGAAGCACCTCAGCAAATGCCCATCACGGTCCCTTCTCGCTGCGCCAGCTACCTGGTGGCACTGACAATCAGCAGAGTAGTGAACTTCTGGTGGTCTTTTGGCAGAGGCTTGTGGTCTTTTGGCAGAGGCATGCAGAGGCCAGTGGGTTTCTGCAAGTGGCATGCAAGAGCCTTGGCACTGAGGCACGTGAAGCACTTCCCCTGCTCCCACGCCACTGTCCTGCACTCCTCTTCGACTGTACGCATGCTGCTTGGCTTCCCGGGCTCGGGTTGCGACAGACTGTTTGCCGGCTCTTGCTCGTGGTTGAGGGTTCGTGGTTGTCCCAGCCCATCCTAAGTAAAAAACTAGATTCACTAGACTGGACATGACTGGACCTGCTTTTTCGAGCTTGAGTTCCAGAGTAAGGACAACCAGACGCCTGCACAAAAGCGGCACCCAAGGCCAGAGACTCTTCACGGTAGACATGGGTAAGCTCTCAACATTTCCAGGCTCTGTTGTGAAGTGCTTGCTCTGGGCTGTGGCTCTGAATTCTTCTGTGTGTCAGGGACGCCCTACCAAATGCGGCAATCGTTGCCGCCAGCTGCGCAAGCGCCGGCAGTGTTCGTGGCTACGACGACCTCTTCCCTTCCAATCCGTCCGTGGTCAGCGAGCGAAGGCAATCGGATTGGGAGTCGTTTTGTTCTGCGTCGCGTCTGGAATATGGGAGTTGTCCCCCCCCACTTCAACAGGTATTTCAACAGGTCTCCGTGCTCTCAGCCATTGCCAGCACGAGTCGTGAAACAACCGTCCCGCGGTCGCTGAGAGCCGCGACAAGAAAGCATGTACATGGGAACGAACGTACAGACGGCAACGTCAAGGTTCAAGGCCCTCAAGTAAAGATTGCTGCGTTCAGCACTAGTCTCATGATCGCATGTGTTTCATCCCTGTCATCCACCTCAGGCTCCTCACACAGTTCACGTGCCCAACATTTGCAGACACTAAATCACCCAGACACCAAAAGCAGCTCCTTTTCTCAGGCTCTATGCGAAGGCGCCGCATGCAGAGCTGGCTGCTGGCCTCCAGAGTTCAAGGGGGGGGGGAATCCAGAAGTACAAGTTCCTAAAGATACTACCGAAGCACATGTTGCCACGGTTTATGTCGAAGTTTGAAGATGAGAACTAAAATGCCGAAAATGGTTACCTTTCGGACGCGAGTTTGTCGAGCTTTTGCTCGACTGGTGCTGTTACCGCCCCGCATTCTGCCTCAGGTAAATGTCAGTGGCCTCGACCTGGCTGCAGAGTCATCTAGGGCAGAGGAGGCCCCTGAATCTGAGAAGGCGCTCGGGCATTCGATCGCTTAAGAGTTTCTGGGGCTCGCTGTGCGAGGAACACTTCCACTAAACGACTTCAAAGCTTGCAGCTCTGAGGAGTTTGAGATTATCTGGCACGAGCCGGCCTCCAAAGTCGTCGCGCGCGGTGCATGGGATGGCTGGCGAGAGGCGCATCGAGTCTGCTTGTCCTGCCGTGCAGCGACACTTGCTGTTTTGGTGCTCTTGTCGTCACCGTTGCCGTATGCAATTAAGGGGGGGCCTTGCCTAGCAAATGGTGCTTGCCCTTCTGCCTGCTTACCAGATGCAGTCTACACAGCACTGCCATGTCATCCACAGAGCTGATTCGACATCATTCCTCCAGCTTGGTCAGACTGAACACCTTCTGATTCAGGACCTGACATTTCAGAAAACAGCAAGTGGACACTGGAGCGCGAAGTTGAAAGTGGAGGTGGCGTGCAGGGACTGCAGCAGGAAGGTTGGCTCCTCATCCAAGAAGCCATGGACTTAAGCCTCTTAAGATCTGCGTAGAGAAGCCTTGAGGGACCCGTACGCCAAGAGAAGGCTGTCTCGCAGATTGTCATGATCGCGAGTTTGCTACGCGTCTTCGATTCAGATGACACGGTCCCCAAATCAGCCACGATCAATCCCCGTTGTCACTTATGAGCAACTTCTGTTTCAGAAACCATCGCGACAGCAGCGATTCCCAGATTCCCATTCTGAATTCCCCTCCTAAAATCCGACCCTCTTGCTGAACCGAATATTTGCCCAGCCATACAAAGCCCACCCCTGCCGCAAATCCACTTCCTGAAGCCGCGGTACTGTCTTCCCACCCCCCACTATCAATCGACCACAGAGAAGACGGCAATAAGTAATCAGCATGCAGCATGCCGTCCAAGTAGACACTTGTTGAACTCTTTTTTGTTCCCACCCCGGTCCTATGCAAGCATGTCCTTTGCAAGGGCACGCCTTCCCTCCAACCCAAAGACGATTAGACTTGCTTGGTCCACGACAATGACAAGTTACAACTGCGTGGCACAAGGCATCTGTCTGGCAGGTTCACCGGCTGCCCTTGCAATACAAGTTCATTGTCGATGACACGTGGACGATCAATCGGAAACTTCCCCTGGCCCAGGACGACAACATACATGTACACAGCATTCAGGACCTCGTTCATTAAGCCTGTCAAAGTCCCTCCTAGGACTAGGACGAAGCAGCAGGTTTTCCATGCCTTCCTCTCCCGATCAGACCGGGGGGCGGGGAATGCGGGACAACAAAACCCCCACATGAGATCAGTGCTTGTGGGCTGCAAAATTGTTCAGGGTCAGGCTTTAGGTCCGCAGGTTTCTTGATTCTGGGTTGATGCCAGGACGAACATGGCAACCAGAACAACGTTCTCAGTGGCTCGACTTTGAGCTCATGACTTGACAAGATCAAGCCTAGGCATTGATTGGTAAGGGTATTCCGGGTATTGCTTGCCAGGGTGCACACACCTTTACCTCTTCATGCCAAAACCTGCAGGACAGAAGCCATGTTCGTCAACATGGCAAGTGTACCTTTCAAGTGGCTTACAAGAGCCGGAGAGTCCACGTTGACCCCACAATGAGCATCCCCGACTCATGCACGACCCATGCACTTTCCTGCAATTGGTAGCCAACATGTCATGAAGAAGTCATGAAAGACAATGTGACCCGTCACGCCCCGCTCATGCCGAAGAGCTTTGAATTGCAAAGAGGGAAACGAAAAAGATGGAATTGCCAATGCGAGCATGTTAAGAGCTTGATATTGAAGCTCGTTCCAGACCAGGCGTGCCTGGTGCAGCTTCTACTCCAAGCTCCCCAAATTCAATCTCGGGGCCGGATGTGCTGGTCAACAACCTGCCTGGCATCCTGCTGGTGAAGCAGGCCTGCCCTGGTACAGCTGTGACGCAACGCGACCGGGGCATGGGAAGCACAAAGCTCGTGTTGGATGGCAGAACCAGATTCCCAGCTCCAACTTCCAGTTGTTTGGGGTCAAGCTTTTGCTCTTGGGGGTCCTGCTTGTAGTTTCTGCAGCTCCGAATTGAGTACGAAATGATCCGGCTGCAAAAGCTTTTGAGTGTCGAGTGCCAGGTCCTCAACAGACTTCACACCCGCCTTGGTTGTGAAGGATACACTGAAATCGGTGTCACCCGGCGCTGGATTAAAACAATTGACAATCGAAGCAGCACAGCAAAGCAACTCAAAACAAAGGTTCATTTCTTGGCCGATGATGCTTTGGCGATTGAGAGGCGATCCCCTGACAACGGGCACTCCGTGTGGCAGCTCTGCTCATTTGACCGCTCTCGCAGTGGTGAAGACGTGTGCAACGCATACAAATGCATAAACAAATGTAGTATACATGAGCAGCCTGTCGGCAAAAGTGTATGCAAATTGTACAAAAAACATGTTTGCACTAGATGCAGTCCAATGTAGTGTGGCGAAGGCGGCTTTCGATCCAAGGTTTGTCGTTCGCTCTGCTTTCTGGAGAGACCGCATGGGTGACGGCTTGTCCGGCGGCAGCTTTGAGGGATCTGGAACCTTGCTGGCCTGATTGCTCTTCGCTAGTCTGCTGAAACTTGGGTTCCGATCTGCTGCGCAAACTTCGGCCATCATAACTTTGTCCTTTCTCTAGCTAGAAAGGAGTCCAAAGCAAAACGGTTCACGTGTCTTAGCATTTGGAAGCCTGCCTTAGAGTTGAGCCTCGAAGCCCCGCCCTCCTCCCCACTTCCGAGGCACTGAAGAGTTGGAGGTGGACGGGATCATCGCGCACTTGCATGTCGCGGCCACATTGTTTGTCGCTTTGGCATGCTTTGGCTCTGTCGTGTGACGAAGGAACACTTGGCACCTCATACGTTTGATCTGCCAACCAGGTTTTGGCACAGCAGCCGGAACAGAGATTCACCATCGCTTTGTGACCCAGGTGGGTGATCAACATGAGAACGGCTACCGTCCGGACGGCAAGTTGGTCACAGGCCGGACTTGAGCTTAGCCGGCTTAGCCTGCCAATCTGCTAGTCTTTGAGCATGCTGAATGTACTGTATAGTCTCACTTTACTTTGCTCAAAGCTTTCATGTATCGTAAGATTGCCTTAGAATGGCCTGCGAAGAAAGCCATGTGTTCACAGGCATGGAGTGCTTTTTGCACGTCTACAGCTCCGTCCACGAGGTCGCGAATGTCTGGACGCAAGGGGGCGGCTTGACCTGCTATATAAGGTGGACATCGGAGCCGGAACTAAGTGTCCAGAGCCGCAATTACGACAGGCATTCCATGGAGAAGCCCAGGCAATTCCCGCCTCCGCCTGCACCGATTCCCGCCTGGCAGCATTCTCGTGTTCAGCACTGATGCCGCTGGGCTAATTCCTTGCCCACGGTCGTTGGAGTAAAGTGAATGCTGAAGGACATGAGACGGACACTGCTTTCCATGGGGGGCCATGCATGATGTGTCATGTGGCCCGGAACACCTTGCATCCCATGCGGTGTCAACAGCCTTTCAAAGCCCATCGGCACCATGTTCAGGTCTCGAAGACACAAGCGCGACAGAAGGCCTGCTGATGTCGCTGTTGTCTTACAATCTGTGGTTTCTGCAGAGGCTACCGACAGACAAATGTTGCAAACAGGTCCAAACTTGTGGAAGGATTTCAGTGTTTCGTGCTCTCTTGCTGCCATGAATTGTGTGTCCGTGTTCTGAGAAGGCAGTGATGGATCTGCTTGCGGCCGAACAGATCTCGAGACCTTTGCAAGGCCGCCTTCGGGCAAAGCAGCACAGCAGTTGCTTTCTCGAGAAGTAGGAAGCGCAAAGTTCAAGCACCAGCCGCATTGTAAGTCATTTACTCACTTGCCGTAGTGACTCCGACGTATCTGAGCATTTGTCTCGTCGGTCGCCCGAGGTCTCAGTTTGCACCAGGTCAACTACCTGCTGTGCCTTGCCAATGTTGAGAAATGGCTGCTTCAAGGCTTTTCGTCCAAGTGAATGCAACAAGGGAAGTCGCTTGAAAAACGCTGCGCATGGATCGCCTCAAAGTGTAGAAAACCCGAGGGCTGAGCTGAGGTGGGGTGTCCTGAGTACTGAGATTTTTTGGGGAGGGCCCCTTGCGATGCATGCACAGGAGCCACAGGGGTGTGGAAGCGCCCCGGAACAAGGGGACTGAGCGACGGGCCCGTGTTCAAGTGTCTTGTGTGATTCGTATAAGCGTGGAGGTGCCGAGAGTCGAGGGGGTCGGTTCATCTGGTCCCAGTGTGTACCCATGCCAAGCATGGCAAGGGAGGTTTCCACCCAGATCTCTTTAAGTCTTTGACACGTACTTTAGCTGCTTAGTTGGGGCATGACTTCGTCCAAGCTTTGGCTGATGTTTGTTCGATTTTCCGCATGTGGGAAACGACGCCCACAGCCGTAGCCGAGGCTATCCGCCTAGCGGGGCGGTGGGATGTTGTAACACTTAGATCGGGTTGCGCAGGCCCCGCCTGTATGTCACGCCCTGTGGTTTTCGTGTGTTCACATGGGGGGCCCCGCCTGTATGTCGCCCTGTGCTTTTCGTGAGGTCACATGGGGGGGCCCCGCCTGTATGTCGCCCTGTGCTTGTCGTGAGGTCACATGGGGAGGCCCCGCGTGTATGTCACGCCCTGTGCTTTGCGTGAGTTAACAAGGGGAGGCCCCGCCTGTATTAGTCACGGCCGGTGCTTTTCCTGAGTTCACAGGAGGAGGGTATGTCACGCCCTGTGCTTTTCGTGAGTTCACACGGGGAGGCCCTGCCTGTATGTCACGGCCTGTGCTTTTCGTGAGTTCACATGGGGAGGCCCCGCCTGTATGTCACGCCCTGTGCTTTTCGTGAGTTCACATGGGGAGGCCCGCCTGTATGTCACGGCCTGTGCTTTTCGTGAGTTCACAGGGGGAGGCCCCGCCTGTCTGTCTCGTGATGGGAGGCCCCGCCTGTATGTCACGCCCTGTGGTTTTCGTGAGTTCACATGGGGTGGCCCCGCCTGTATGTCACGCCCTGTGCTTGTCTGTATGTCACGCCCTGTGCTTTTCGTGAGTTCCCCGCCTGTATGTCACGCCCTGTGGTTTTCGTGAGTTCACATGGGGTGGCCCCGCCTGTATGTCAGGGCCTGGGCTTTTCGTGAGTTCACATGGGGAGGCCCCGCCTGTATGTCACGCCCTGTGGTTTTCGTGAGTTCACATGGGGAGGCCCCGCCTGCGTGTCAGGGGGAGGTTTCGCCTGTATGTCACGCCCCGTGCTTTTCGTGAGTTCACATGGGGAGGCCCCGCCTGTATGTCACGCCCTGTGGTTTTCGTGAGTTCACATGGGGAGGCCCCGCCTGTATGTCACGTCCTGTGCTTTTCGTGAGTTCACATGGGGAGGCCCCGCCTGTATGTCACGCCCTGTGCTTTTCGTGAGTTCACATGGGGAGGCCCCGCCTGTATGGCCCTGTGGTTTTCGTGAGTTCACATGGGGAGGCCCCGCCTGTATGTCACGCCCTGTGCTTTTCGTGAGTTCACATGGGGAGGCCGCGCCTGTATGTCACGCCCTGTGCTTTTCGTGAGTTCACATGGGGAGGCCCCGCCTGTATGTCACGATTTGTGCTTTTCGTGAGTTCACATGGGGAGGCCCCGCCTGCATGTCACGCCCTGTGCTTTTCGTGTGAGTTCACATGGGGAGGCCCCGCCTGTATGTCACGCCCTGTGATTTTCGTGAGTTCACATGGGGAGGCCCCGCCTGTATGTCACGCCCTGTGCTTTTCGCTGTGCTTTTCGTGAGTTCACATGGGGAGGTCCCGCCTGTATGTCACGCCCTGTGCTTTTCGTGTGCTTTTCGTGTGCTTTTCGTGAGTTCACATGAAGAGGCCCCGCCTGTATGTCACGCCCTGTGCTTTTCGTGAGTTCACATGGGGTGGCCCCGCCTGCACGTGAGTTCACATGGGGAGGCCCCGCCTGTATGTCACGCCCTGTGCTTTTCGTGAGTTCACATGAAGAGGCCCCGCCTGTATGTCACGTCCTGTGCTTTGCGTGAGTTCACATGGGAGGCCCCGCCTGTATGTCACGCCCTGTGCTTTTCGCGAGTTCACATGGGGAGGCCCCGCCTGTATGTCACGCCCTGTGCTTTTCGTGAGTTCACATGGGGAGGCCCCGCCTGTGCGTCACGCCCTGTGCTTTTCGTGAGTTCACATGGGGAGGCCCCGCCTGCATGTCACGCCCTGTGCTTTTCGTGTGAGTTCACATGGGGAGGCCCCGCCTGTATGTCACGCCCTGTGATTTTTGTGAGTTCACATGGGGAGGCCCCGCCTGTATGTCACGCCCTGTGCTTTTCGCTGTGCTTTTCGTGAGTTCACATGGGGAGGTCCCGCCTGTATGTCACGCCCTGTGCTTTTCGTGAGTTCACATGGGGAGGCCCCGCCTGTATGTCACGGCCTGTGCTTTTCGTGAGTTCACGCCCTGTGCTTTTCGTGAGTTCACATGGGGAGGCCCCACCTGGGGAGGTCCCGCCTGTATGTCACGCCCTGTGCTTTTCGTGAGTTCACAGGGGGAGGCCTGGCCTGTATGTCACGCCCTGTGCTTTTCGTAGGAGGCCCCGCCTGTATGTCACGCCCCGTGCTTTTCGTGAGTTCACGTGGGGATGCCCCGCCTGTATGTCAGGGCCTGGGCTTTTCGTGAGTTCACATGGGGAGGCCCCGCCTGTATGTCACGCCCTGTGGTTTTCGTGAGTTCACATGGGGTGGCCCCGCCTGTATGTCACGCCCTGTGGTTTTCGTGAGTTCACATGGGGAGGCCCCGCGTGTATGTCACGCCCTGTGCCATTGCGAGCGCCCAGGGGGTCCGCTAATTGATGTTGCCCCACTTGCCCCACTTGCCCCACTTGCCTTTCCAGAAGAGCTAATTGATGTTGCCCCACTTGCCCCACTTGCCCCACTTGGTGGCCCGGAAAAGCTAATTGATGTTGCCCCACTTGCCCCACTTGCCCCACTTGCCCCACTTGCCCCACTTGCCCCACTTGCCCCACTTGCCCCACTTGCCTCAGGAGTAATCCCTGCTGCCTGGGTAACTGGGGCAAGTGGGGCAAGTGGGGCAAGTGGGGCAAGTGGGGCAAGCGCCCCCCCCCCCCCTCGCCTCGCCGCGCCACAAGTCTGCCTCAAATCAGGCTGCGTTTGAGGCAGACTTATGGTTGTAGGGCAGGCCCTAGCCAAGTAGAACCTTGAGTGCTGTTGGACCCTAAAATGACCCTAAAATGACCAACCTAGCCACACGTCTGCCTCAAATCGGGCTGCATTGAGACGAGGGGAAGGGGAGAGAAGGGAGGGGGGGGGGGGAACACAGACAAGAAAGACTATTTTGAGGGGAAGGTGGGGGGGGGGGAAGGGGTGACAACACGAAAGAGGCCAAGTCTGCCTCAAACACAGCCCGATTTGAGGCAGACTTGTCAGGCCACAGAAGGGGGCCATTTTGAGATGAAGGACGGGGAGGGGAGGAGGATCAGGAAGGGTGGGGGAGGCGGGGGGGGAGTTTGGGGGGGGGAGGTGGGGGGAACACGATCAAGAGTAGGAAACCGGCACGACAAGTCTGCCTCAAACGCAGCCGGATTTGAGGCAGACTTGTCAGGCAACACAGGGGGGGATTTTAAGGGGAAGGGCGGGGAGGGGGAGGGGGGAAGGAAGGGAAACGCAACATGAAAGGGGCAACAAGATTTGAGGCAGACTTGTCAGGCCATGGGGGGGGGGCGGTGGGGGGGGGCGGGGGGGGGGTGGGGGGCGGGGGGGGGGGGGGGGGCGGGGGGTTGCCCACTTGCCCCACTTGCCCCACTTGCCCCACTTGCCCCACTTGCCCCACTTGCCCCACTTGCCCCACTTGCCCCACTTGCCCCACTTGCCCCACTTGCCCCACTTGCCGCACTTGCCCCTTGCCCCACGCCCCACTTGCAGGGTGGGCTGGGGTAGGAGGGGGGCGAGTGGGCAAGTGGGGCAAGTGGCAAGCGGGGCAAGTGGCAGAAATCACTTAGCGGTTAAGGCAGGGCAAGTGGGGCAAGTGGGGCAAGTGGGGCAAAGTGGTTTTCGGTAAGGGAGCACAGCAAGTGGGGCAAGCGGGGCAAGTGGCAGAAATCATTTAGCGGTCCCCGTTTGCACGCGCACTGCCCTGTGCTTTTCGTGAGTACACATGGGGAGGCCCCGCCTGTATGTCACGCCCTGTGCTTTTCGCTGTGCTTTTCGTGAGTTCACATGGGGAGGCCCCGTCTGTATGTTACGCCCTGTGCTTGAGTTCACATGGGGAGGCCCCCTGTATGTCACGCCCTTGTTCACAGGGGGAGGCTCCGCCTGTATGTCACGCCCTGTGGTTTTCGTGTGTTCACATGGGGAGGCCCCGCCTGTATGTCACGCCCTGTGCTTTTCGTGAGTTCACATGGGGAGGCCCCGCCTGTATGTCACGCCCTGTGCTTTTCGTGAGTTCACATGGGGAGGCCACGCCTGTATGTCACGCCCTGTGCTTTTCGTGAGTTCACATGGGGAGGCCCCGCCTGTAAGTCACGCCCTGTGCTTTTCGTGAGTTCACATGGGGAGGCCGCGCCTGTATGTCACGCCCTGTGCTTTTCGTGAGTTCACATGGGGAGGCCCCGCCTGTATGTCACGATTTGTGCTTTTCATGAGTTCACATGGGGAGGCCCCGCCTGCATGTCACGCCCTGTGCTTTTCGTGAGTTCACATGGGGAGGCCCCGCCTGTATGTCACGCCCTGTGCTTTTCGTGAGTTCACATGGGGAGGCCCCGCCTGTATGTCACGCCCTGTGCTTTTCGCTGTGCTTTTCGTGAGTTCACATGGGGAGGCCCCGCCTGTATGTCACGCCCTGTGCTTTTCGTGAGTTCACAGGGGGAGGCCCCGCCTGTATGTCACGCCCTGTGCTTTTCGTGTGCTTTTCGTGTGCTTTTCGTGTGCTTTTCGTGAGTTCACATGAAGAGGCCCCGCCTGTATGTCACGCCCTGTGCTTTTCGTGAGTTCACATGGGGTGGCCCCGCCTGCACGTGAGTTCACATGGGGAGGCCCCGCCTGCATGTCACGCCCTGTGCTTTTCGTGAGTTCACATGAAGAGGCCCCGCCTGCATGTCACACCCTGTGCTTTGCGTGAGTTCACATGGGAGGCCCCGCCTGTATGTCACGCCCTGTGCTTTTCGCGAGTTCACATGGGGAGGCCCCGCCTGTATGTCACGCCCTGTGCTTTTCGTGAGTTCACATGGGGAGGCCCCGCCTGGGGTGCTTTTCGTGAGTTCACATGGGAGGCCCCGCCTGTATGTACGCCCTGTGCTTTCGTCCACATGTGTATGTCACGCCCTTCACATTGCATGTGTTCACATGGGGAGGCCCCGCTGTCTGTGCTTTTCGTGAGTTTAACATGGGAGGCCCCGCCTGTATGTCACGCCCTTTGCTTTTCGTGTGTTCACATGGGGAGGCCCCGCCTGCATGTCACACCCTGTGCTTTTCGTGAGTTCACATGGGGAGGCCCCGCCTGTACGTCACGCCCTTTGCTTTTCGTGTGTTCACATGGGGAGGCCCCGCCTGCATGTCACGCCCTGTGCTTTTCGTGTGAGTTCACATGGGGAGGCCCCGCCTGTATGTCACGCCCTTTGCTTTTCGTGAGTTCACAGTTCACATGGGGAGGCCCCGCCTGCATGTCACGCCCTGTGCTTTTCGTGTGAGTTCACATGGGGAGGCCCCGCCTGTATGTCACGCCCTTTGCTTTTCGTGTGTTCACATGGGGAGGCCCCGCCTGCATGTCACACCCTGTGCTTTTCGTGAGTTCACATGGGGAGGCCCCGCCTGTATGTCACGCCCTGTGCTTTTCGTGAGTTCACATGGGGAGGCCCCGCCTGCATGTCACGCCCTGTGCTTTTCGTGTGAGTTTATATGGGGAGGCCCCGCCTGTATGTCACGCCCTTTGCTTTTCGTGTGTTCACATGGGGAGGCCCCGCCTGCATGTCACACCCTGTGCTTTTCGTGAGTTCACATGGGGAGGCCCCGCCTGTACGTCACGCCCTTTGCTTTTCGTGTGTTCACATGGGGAGGCCCCGCCTGCATGTCACGCCCTGTGCTTTTCGTGTGAGTTCACATGGGGAGGCCCCGCCTGTATGTCACGCCCTTTGCTTTTCGTGAGTTCACATGGGGAGGCCCCGCCTGCATGTCACACCCTGTGCTTTTCGTGAGTTCACATGGGGAGGCCCCGCCTGTATGTCACGCCCTTTGCTTTTCGTGTGTTCACATGGGGAGGCCCCGCCTGCATGTCACGCCCTGTGCTTTTCGTGTGAGTTCACATGGGGAGGCCCCGCCTGTATGTCACGCCCTTTGCTTTTCGTGAGTTCACATGGGGAGGCCCCGCCTGCATGTCACACCCTGTGCTTTTCGTGAGTTCACATGGGGAGGCCCCGCCTGTATGTCACGCCCTGTGCTTTTCGTGAGTTCACATGGGGAGGCCCCGCCTGCATGTCACGCCCTGTGCTTTTCGTGTGAGTTCACATGGGGAGGCCCCGCCTGCATGTCACACCCTGTGCTTTTCGTGAGTTCACATGGGGAGGCCCCGCCTGTATGTCACGCCCTGTGCTTTTCGTGAGTTCACATGGGGAGGCCCCGCCTGCATGTCACGCCCTGTGCTTTTCGTGTGAGTTCACATGGGGAGGCCCCGCCTGTATGTCACGCCCTGTGATTTTTGTGAGTTCACATGGGGAGGCCCCGCCTGTATGTCACGCCCTTTGGTTTTCGTGAGTCCACATGGGGAGGCCCCGCCTGTATGTCACGCCCTGTGCTTTTCATGAGTTCACATGGGGAGACCCCTCCTGCGTGTCACGCCCTGTTTTTTAGCCTCTGCCAGACCCCAGGTCAGCTAGAGTTGTGCCATTATCTTGGTGCTGACTGTTGTGATAGCCGATGAAGCCGATACACCGGGCCTGTCTGCAAGGTACTCCTGCGAGGCAGAGGAAAGGGACCGGTCGAACGGGGCACGAGGCGTGCTCCTTTGCCAAGCCTCCAGCTCCGGGCTACGTGTCGAGGGGTCAGCCCCAGAGCCCGATTCTGAAACGAAGCCACGTGAGCATGCTTTGTGCAGCTGTCGATTGAAGCTAGCATCGGATGACACGGCAGTCATCCGAAATCAGCTACGATGCATGTCTGAAGCTGAAGCGGCCACTGGTGTCAATTCCCGGTTCTTGCGAAGCGCAACGCACAAACCTACGACGCCAAACCGCAGCAAATAGGAAGAATGCACCCTTCACCCTGCATCACTGCATCCTGACCTGCCTCCTTTCCAGGCGCCTACGAGATTCCGGGCTTTGGCCCGTTTGCCTACTGTGGCCTTATGGGAGTCTGTGCCTTTCAGAGAAAAGTCCAGTTTCATCTTGGGCCGAGCTTCACTGAAAAAGAGGGCTCTGAAAGCAACTTTGAGCTTTGAGGCGCTGCCTTGGATGAGGCCAGGAGGCAGTACACCGAAGCCGAGCTTCTCACCAGTCCAGCACCTCGGATGGCATTTCACATGGCATATATGGGTGGCGATACTTCTCAACTCTGTCTGCTCGCCCTGCAACTGAACAGCTGCCATAAACCTGCCTAGGTTCTTGCAAACGTGCGGCAGGGCGATTGGCTTATGGCTTGTTTGACCCAACGCCTGGTCCACATGCCGGGGCTCGAGATGGTGAAGGCGAGCCAGCAACCTTTCAAGTGTTGGATTTGCAGAGGCACACGAGGAGCAACATTCTTGAGATCATTGGCCAAAGGCTCATGTCATCACACCTTCAGAGGAATGGTTGGAGAAGGCTGCAGGCGTCCTTGCCAACTGCCCACGCAAGCTAGCTCCGCACCTTGGCTTGGTGGCCAGAAATGCTGCGAGACCAGCCAGCCTTTCGATATGGGCACGTTCTATGTGACAGCAGTGAAAGGGTCCAGGGGAAGGCCGGGGAGCGCACCTTCATAAAAGGCAGTGTGGCATTGGATTGCAAGATTTTGCAAAGGTGGGAAAACATGTTAGTGAACTGACCAAGATGGACATAAAGCAGGTTGTAGGACGCTGTGCCTGAACTTAGTGTACGAGGTGGAAGGCCCTACATGGAGTGGAAGTAGCGGAAGTACTGGGAAGTAATGGAAGTAATGGAAGTAATGGAAGTAATGGAAGTAATGGAAGTAATGGAAGTAATGGAAGTAATGGAAGGAGTGGAAGTAATGGGAGTAATGGGAGTAATGGGAGTAATGGGAGTAATGGGAGTAAGGGGAGTAATGGGAGTAATGGAAGTAATGGTGCTAAATCCACCTGCTCTTTGTGCAAGCATCCGATTACGCATGGACTTGTCACCGTCACGATACCTGAGGCTTGGTGAAGGCTTTGTTAAGCTGGGCATCGGCTCTTGAGTTTGTGTTGCACATCTCTTTGAAGCAGAGGTTCTACTTTGACCTCATGGTGCCCGGGCTTTGTGCCGCGGCAAGCAAATTGCCCCCCGGCCTAATCGGGACAGGGAATGGCATTTGGTGTCGCACTTCGTGTGCGAAGGAGGGCAGGAGCATCGTGGCTAATCCGGTCGCTAAGTGATGACTCCAGCCTGTGGCGGATTCTTGCGTACGCTTGGGGGCGCTTGCGGATGTTTGCGGACGCTACATACACGGCCAGGTCACCTCTCCACCCTCGGACCCCCAACTCTAAAACGAGAACCCGCTGCTACGCATGCACGCATTCGGGAAGAAGACAACCGTAGCACCTTGTAACACCCACGCTTCTAGTAAAGTTCCCCGACAAAAGGGTGAAGATCTTAAGAGCTTTCAACATCCATGTTTCGAAGCAGTACTCAACAAAACGAGAAGCTTACCTCAGATGCCTGCCGTGCCCAAGATTCGAATGAAGTTTCCCAGGAAAATGAGAAGATGCCCCTAGATAGAAGATGATCTTCGGTGCCGTCCACACCAAAGCTTCGAACAAAGAGCCCGAGAAGGAATAAACAGTACTTTAATTAGATGGCTTCGACACCCATGCTTCGAATGAAGTTCAGACAAAGAGGATCTCACCTTAGACGCCTGCAGCCACTTGCTTCGCTTCTAACGATTTGGAGTTTCTATCCCGTGGAACTACCATTGCTAGACTGTGTCGTGTGTGAGTTTCGCCGCATGTTCTTGCCTTTCGCTTCCGTTGCTTTCCCGTGAACATCATGAAAACGCTGATCCTTGAAGTGGGTCCTCTGGTGATCCAGGATCCAGCGATTGCTCAAGCCCGGATGGAAAAGAAAGGGGGAGGGGGACAGCCATCTTCGAGACAAGCCCGAAGCTGGAGTGGGACAGGCTTCTCGACCTGTCCTCCGACTTCGTCTCGGAATTCAATGGTGCCTTGGGGTCGTTTTGAGGTTGCCTTTGCGTTGCCTTGGGCTTGGGGTGGTTGGATGTAGGCCTGGCGCTCAAGCCGTGTAGGTGGCGAGGTGGACTGGGCCTTGTTTGGGTGTCCCATTCCAATGTCAGGAGCAGCATCGAGGATCCTTATTTTGTTCCCCACGCTCCCTCAGGAGCTTCTGATCTGATTCGAGATGTCGCACTGGCAACCACCCAGCTCTTGGCAGCATTTGTCTTTGTCTTGGGGTCGCTTGTTGATAAGAAATCAAGTCGTTGGTATGCACTTTGTGGCTCCAGCTGAGCTCCAGGTTTTGGGGTGCGACAAAGTCTGCGCCGCTGCATTGGGACCTGGCACAGCGCGATGGCTGGCACAAGCTGCCCTCGCTGTGTGTGCCTTGGTGCAGCTAGGAGTTTGCCCGTGTTCTCTTCTTCACAGGCTCTGGCAAAAAAGTGCCCTTGCCCGGCATGCTTCCAGCTCGTCGACTCCACCTTGAAGTGTTCGGAGATGCATCTGTAATTTCTGGGATTCTTCGTCAGGTTGAGTCACATAGTCTACACGGGCTAAAGTCTAAAGGCGCGCTCTCTGGCATGGCTTGTTTCGCAACGCGTCCTGGCAACAGCAATCCATAAAGGGGCCTGATGGCAACAGACCTTTTTTCTCAGAAGGCGGCTTGCAGCTTTTGACTGTTTAAGGGTAGCCGAGGCTGGCCTCCCACACTTCGCAGCCGGCTTTATGCGGAACTGGGGCCGGGACACCTTCATCGCGCTCAAGGCACCCATGGAGCGCACGGAGCGCATGGATCCCCTCGAATCCTTAGAGCGAAGATGGTTCACCAATGATTCGCGATCTCAGTGAACTGTGAAGCCAGGGGTGCCTGCTGGTCACGGGCCACTTCCAGGAGGCCCCCGTGTGCCTGACTGATACTTGCCCACGGCACCCAGACACGAATCACGAGAGATCACGAGAGCAGATCCCAGGCTCGGGACACTCTTCTGGTCTATGCCAGTGTCATTCGACATGGCCTGTGCCCAAACCTCTTGGATGCCGCCAACCGCCCGCGCTACAACGCTCGTGACGCAACCTGGTTCTTCATGCAGGCTCGAAAGCGTGATTTCAATCCGCTCCGTCCCGGCTTACAGCTTTCCGGATCCAGATGTCTTTGGCTTTGTCTCGTCGTGTGAGTAGCCAGAGGTCTTGTTAGGGGTGCGCTGTCTGTGTACCGGCCAGGCGATTCAAGATTACGTGGCAGAGTCACCGGAGGGTGAGAGCTTCCTGTCCACCCCGGTCAGCTTGAAGTGGCCAGTCAAGGACCCCCGGGCCAGCTTCACAATTATGGCAGGGCAGTGCTTGGCCAACACAGGGTTGCAGCCAGTGGCTCTGAATGGACACAGACTGCCTGCTGTCATAGCTGTCGAGAAGTGCAGCTGCCGCAGGATTGGGATCCAGATCTTGCTCATGTGGAGGTCACGCATCTGCAAAAAACTCACGGGCTGACAGCTGGTGCCAGCTCGAACCTGCTGTTGATGGTGGAGTCCGCACATCCATTCCCTTGCAATGCCATGCAGGTGAAGACCATAGCCGACGTAATCCATCTCATATTCTCAGCGCACGCGAAGGCTGGACGGGGGTCGAATAAGGGCCAGGGTAACAGGCTGTGGGACGGCGATGTTCGAGAACTTGAAGTTGTGGAAGTCATGCCGCTAGACATGCGTCTTATGGCAGAGTTTATAGATGCACGCATCCGCCCCCGTGCGCAGCTTACGCATATGCCGCGTATGCCCTGTGCTCGGTCAGCTTGTTGCAGGGCATCAGCTTCCGCGAGTGGGGTGCAGGACGAGGTCCTGACGCTGGAAAAGGCACCCTGGCCCAGGGAACCCAGAGCATTTTTCCCGGTGCGAAGACAATGGCCACACATTGTGGACGGCGGCAAAAAAGCTTTGCCATGGAAGGAATCGATGATGACATGAGCGAGTGGGGTTTCGATGTCAACGTAAGGCTGGGCATCGGAGGGATGGGGTGCTGCAAGAAGAGCCAGGCATGCAGAATTATACAGACCGTTACAGACCTGCCAACCTCTGAGAATCTCCGGGGGACGTTTCCAAGGTGTGACATGTGTGACCTGTCGTGTCTCGAATCATCTCTTCCACGCCTCGTGTCCCGCGTGAACTTTTTGAGTTCTTGCGAGGCTTGACGAGAAGACAGGCTTGATCTTCGGAGGAAGCGAGCATAACTGTGGTCACTCGGTTTGGCAACTCCCATGACATAGCGAAATCGTCGCTTTCAAAGTGACCGATTCACCTTCAACCTTTTCGCAAATCAAGGACCCAGAACACTACGTAGGCCCTTGGGATATTCTATACATTCCCGTATTTGGGTTTAAGTGAATGATATTATTTAGGAGTACTTTTATCGTGCTTTGAGGGCCCTCCTAGAGAGTCCATGACCGCCAACAGCATATAACATGCCTAGGTGTGGTGCTCGTCACTCGCTCGACTGGTTTAGATCTGAAGGAACAGCTGACACTTCGGATTAGCTTCCACAGACTAGAAGCGGACTGCGACTTGTGGCCTTGTAGGAGAAGGGGTTCAGGGAGATGCAAACCAATGCTAGACGCGGCAATTTCAATCCTCGGCGCTTCACGCAGAAGTTCCTTCAAGGCAACCCATGTTCGAAAACCGCGCAGCACATGTCAATGTTCTTCATATGTTTCCCATTTCCCGTGCAATACTGGGAGCTGAGGCACATGGATGGACAAGATGGGCTCTTCGGCAAAGGCTCCCAAGCCGACGAGAGCACTGGACTCTTTCAATTTCAGTTGGTCCTAAGCTCCTGGCAAAGAGCCTACTGATCCGAAGCCTGACAACCGGCAGCTGCCAAAGCGTGTGAGAAGCTCAGCTAGAACCCCGCGAGGCCGGCAACAAGGGAAAACCTGCCACACCTCGAGATGGCGCAGCCGTGGAGCCATGGCTATGACAGACGGCTTCTTTGTGCTTTTGTGAGTGCTTAATTAGTGAAATCGTATCGTTGCAGCAGATCAGGGCTTGCCTGACAGGTCAAGGGGGTGGCTGTTCGAAACTTTTGGTGTGTAAAAAGCCAGACGCGACTAGTTGTTAGTTGCTTACAGCTGTAGTAGCTACAGCTGCTATTATGGCTGCTATGGGTTGAATAAAGGTTTGAAAGACGACTTCGGACTTGCCTTTGGCAAGGGGTTTGCGCTTGATCAAACTGTTGCTTTCGCCTCGTGTGCCTCGGACTTGATCGTGCTCGTGCTCTGCAAATTGCCCTTGCCTCTAGCCTTGCCCTTGTCTTCGCAGGCCACTCAAGTTCCCTCCTTCCCTCCAAGGAGATCATTGGTCTTCTCAAATCAGCTCTCCGATGGGTCTCTGGTTTGAGAGACTCGGCTTAGCTGTGTCAGGTCTTTGGTGTTGTGTGGGCTTCGGTACCGTCCTGAATGAGCTTCGGAACACACTTCCTGAGTGGGTTTGAGATCGGGGATCACAAAGAACAAGGGGCACGCAGTCCTACATAGTCATGTGCTGCGCCTGGGAGGCTCGGGTGAAAGGGTTGCATGATTCCTTAGGTGCGCACGTGTTGCCATTTTGGGTTGCATGGCTGAAGCCTTTCAGTTAAGCCGATTGTCTTGCACGATTCCTGTGGCAGGGCTTTGCCTTAGGATTTAAGGGCCACGGCTAGGGGTGGGCGGCAGCATCACGTGGCTCAAATACTTCGCATGGGTAGACCTGACGCATGTGCTCGTCGAACCGTCCTACCATGACCCAGATCCTCAGCGAAAAGCACTGGCCCAGGCAGAGAAGTCTTCCCCTACGAGCAAGTCAGGACGGCGTCGGGTCAGCAGCTGACATACAAAGACTGGGATGGCCGACTGGCAGAGAACTTTGAGCGCTTGCAACTGAGCCGCCACCCAGTCAGACTTTTCCTTTGCTTTCAATGTGAGCGGCCAAGAACATTGGGAGCGTTTTCGTGTTGAGGTACTGCAGAAGCACTGTAGATTGTTGTGTAGCAGCCAGTCCTCCCTCTTTGTAGGCATGTGTCATCATATTCAACTCTTTGGCACTGTGTGGTTTCAGCCCTCGCTGAGTTCTTGCAACAAGCCGAGACAAGCTGCGTAAACAGCAGAAGCAGGTTCTGGATTGACCCAGATGAGAAAACTGGAGCTTCAGTTGCTGGTATCTACCGCGACACGCTTGGAGCCACACGCAGCCAGGGTGTTGTGCAGAATGGTTTTCTGTCCGAGGCGTTCCCTGTAGTCGCATCAGCTCCTGCCACGTTGCTTAGCATGAAAGCGTTGTGCAGAAGGCAAATGGCAAGATGCCCAGCTGCGGCCGAACTTTTGCATCGCCATGACAGTCGCTCCGGAGCTGTTTCTACCTGACCACGCAAACACTGCGCTTCAGGTTGGGGCGGCGAGGGGTCAATACTGATTAGCGTAACACAGAGGGATCAGCAGAGGACATCAGAGGACAAATGCTGCGATAGCTGTGTGCCCAAGCTATGCGCAGCTACCCTTGAGCTAGGTTGCCGCGAGTCGGCTGGTTGGCCCGTTGGGGATGCGCACGCTGGACCCTTCAGACAAGGAGAACACTTGACATTGTTCTGGCACCTGAGAATCATGACAGATGGTGCTGTGAGGTTCATGTTGCCGGCACGCACAATTCAAGTAGGGCCAGGTTGTAGTTGTTGCTGGTGCGGGTGCGGTGGATTTTGCTTGTGATGCAGACAGGGTGTGTGATGGGAACGCTGGCTTCTGTAAAGGAGTACCGCGGAGACTACCACAACGACAACGACTCAAATGATCAGTCGATCGCTCATGGGTGGAATTACCATCAAGGTCCTGAGTGGGTATGGCCACTCGGGTTTTTCCTCGAGGCTGGGGTGTACCAGAATTGTCATGCTTAAGAACCTTGATTTGTATTGTTCTAGACGACAACAGACGATACATCCTCAGCACCAAGAGAACGTCGAACTTGCGGAATTCGTGAAGGCTTGGCACCACTTCGGCTCACTGGAGACTTCTTCACCTGCACCCGCGCGCTTCGCAATGCGCAGCTTTATTGCATATTGCCGCTAGCGACTATGCTATTCCCACAGTAATTGCTTGTAAGCGTGCAAGCTCAAGATGCGCCAGCCACATGCTCAGCCAGGGGATTCAGGGCTTCGAGCCTTCGAGCCTGCGAGCTGTCTGACTTTTGTGGACGATTGTTGCTCCACCATGATCAGGAAGTTCTCGTGCCAGGAAGTATTGCCCCATGCCTTCAGTTTTGCCTGACCCTCCGGTCCATCTCAGAATGGCTGCTGCCACATCGAGAGATGCTCCGGAAAGCACCATGGCGGTCGTTGCCAGAGTCCCTAGAGCTGCACCAGTTTGTATGGCCCAGTGATACGAAACTCCATAAGCCTCTAAGCCAGTCATGGTAAGGCAGGTCAGGCTTGACACAGCTTTCCAGTGCGCGTATGCCATGCAAGACCTCCTGCAAGGGGGTGTCGGTCGCTGCGACTCCTTTCTGCTTGTGAGCCCCCCTGGTCAGTGCGACTGAAGAAACCCTGGGGTGCTTGATGCTGAGCACCGATAGACACTTGTGGCCAGCTGTTCGGGATGGGCTTTCGAGTATGTTAGTTATTCTGTGGTCCCTTTCATATCTGAGGCTGACAAACAGCAATGGTGAGCACTGCCACCACTCGTGCCCTGCCCAGGCAGGATATGGCGGATCTTGTGTTTTGCATGAGGCCTTCTCGTTGCAGTGTACTATTGGAGCCCCATCAAGCATCATCCTGTTGGTCCTGTTGCATTCTCAAGGCCTGGAGCCTCGCAACACTGCTGAGCGCCCTTCGGACCATGACTTTGCAGGCCTGAGCCTGAACCCGGGCAGGAGCCTGCTTGAGAGATTTGAGAGTCATGTAAGCAATCCCCGCGAATAGTCCTCCCAAAGCCATCAAGCTGGACTGGCAAAAAAAAAGTTTCGGCCAGGGCCACAAACTCTTTAACCGTTCCGAGTGTGAATGCAAGAGGCCCCCAGGGCAAAGGAAGGAACTAAAGGCACTTTCCAGACGCCACTGCACGGCTCCAATAGTACATCCGCATGCGCCCAACAAAACTTGCAGTTCTGCAGCACATCAATAAGACACCCAAAGATGCAGAGATGCTTTTGAACAGCTGTGCCACTGAGCTTCCGCTGCCCCGATGGGCGACTTTTTGAAAAGACAGGTTCTTGTTGCAAACGCTTTGTGATGATTTGGAGTACGACTGCATCTACCTAAAAGTTCTTTCCAGAAGCAAGTCAGGTCAAGCAGGTGATTAGCCTGTACATGGACAGAAAGACATACTGGGTGGAGCATGGTCTCGCAGATTTGAATCTCAGAGTCGAGCAGCCGTGGGCAAGCCTCGACCCAGATCATCACTTGACGCCTTTGAGGCCTTTGCAACTGTCTGGTCACGTAGAGGCACGTGCAGCAACTGTCGTTAATGATAGAGTCTGACGCGAGGCTGCGCGTTGCTTCTGCCTTCAGCCTCGATACACATGCTGTTGAGGCGTCTCGAGGTTTTGTTCCCGTTCAGGCATCCGCTTCAAGCGCAGAATGCCCGACTTCGATACTCATGCGAAGTCTGTTCATGTCAAAAGCGAAACATGTGCGTGCTCTCAGTATTTCGAGATTCTTGGTGGTGCGGCCAAAATCAAGATTTTGCAGGATATTGCACGGATGACATTGCAATGACCGTGCTCTGCCTGCTGGGGTTTCTTGGGGGGTTGAGGCCGTTGTGTCCTGGAGCCGACTATTGTTGTTGAAAGCGATGCCTCGAAGGAAGATGAAAATGATGAAACCCATCCTTTGCCCTCATCGCTTTTGCCCTGCGTTGGCTCAAGATGCCATGTCTGTATCTTGCATGCTTCAGCCATAAGCTTGTGTGTGCGTATATGTGGTTTTCTGGGGCGCTTTGGTCATTTTGAGGGTTCTTTTCGCCGAGCCTTCACGGGGAGGGGCTTCCAGGACCAGTAGAAGGGGTTGCAGGAGGGCCATGGCGGAGGCGAAGCGGCCAAAGGTGACCCTTATCGCCACTCCGAGATAACAAGAAACTTTCCAAAACGGTTACAGGCATCACCTCGCCCTCCTTATATACTCTTCCGAGCAGTCTTTGGCCGTAATTACAATTCATGTCAATACTGGGCGATCTGAGGCAAAATCCGATGCCAGTCGCAGTGAGCCAAAAGCGCCTGGTGACTTGGGCAGATGAGTTAGGTTCAGATCGGAGAATGGCGGGTGGGAGGTTGGGGCGTGTGAGGGCTTCCATGGTTCTCCGACCGAAACGTGTCTTTCACGCACTTCACACATGCGCAAATCTGCAGAAAGGCCATTGTCAATGCGTTCCACTGTCTGGTTAGGAGATGGCCGGCTGCGACCCGCCCCCGCGCAGCTTTGATCAAGAGTGGGGAGAGGGGCGGGCAGGATGTGGGGGAGGGCCGAGTTGGAACTACACTGGATGGTAGGTTTTTTAGGACCCCAGGGTGGCAAGCAGCTGCAGAGGCGACTTGTCAAGGCAGAGGTCGAAAGGATTGGGTCCTGGGTGGCGCCTTCTTCGCCAGAAGGCATGCGGGCACATTCCTGAGCCTTGACCTTCAGGTCTCGGCAGGAGCCCCAAGCCCAAGCAGTGGCTGACGTAGAGATTCAGAAGGCTGGGCTGCTGGGCTCCTCTTCTGCTTCTTCTTTTGCTTCTTCTTCTTCTTCTTTTTTACTGCATGCAAGTATGACGAAATTATCGTGCCCAGCCTGTTTGTTAGTGTCACGGTTGCAACTGGTGCAATTAAGCCTGAAGAGCAAATCACAGTACTGCGTGCCACACGAAGACCTTGAGCGGCTTGCAGAGATTTGCCAGGTTATCACAAGTGGAGACCGGCTACGCCCCGCGCCAGCTGTGCCTGGACAGCACTTTCAAAAGGAAAAGCGCAAGCACAAGATAGGGTCTTCTGTTTTCAAAGTGTGACACCTGGAGGTATGCACAAACCGTGGATCAAGCGGTGAGAAACACATGAACACTTAACGTATCATTCGGTGAGATGTCGCCAGCGTGTGCGACCACACGACACACTCATGCCGAGCATGTCTTGAACGGTGCTTACGATAAACTGCTACCGGATACAGACCTGTTTTCACTGAGTGAAGGCGAAGGTTAACGGGGTGGCCAAGTCTGCAACTGCTGCGACGCGGACGGCCGCTTGTCTTGGTGTGGGATGAGAAGAGAGCAGGGTAGAGGGAGCTGTGAGCGCACAAACGCGCCCGGCCAGAGCATTGAGCAAAAGATTTGAGTAAGCAGAGTAAAGCCGAATGGCAAAACCTGTGCGGTCCCAGGTTCCTACTCCACAGAAAACGAAGGTTGGCGTCAAGCGCACAGCAGCGGCAGCCGGACTAGAGAGGAAGGGCGCAAGCAACGCATTGAAGGTCGGCACTCTTGTGGGAGGTTGTGGCATGTTGTGGCCTCTAGTGGTTCCACGCTTGTGGTGCATCGGTACAGGACTCCCAGACAGGCATGAGATTGTGGCAAAGTCGTAGCCACGCCTTGGCCAGGTTGGTGTGCCTCCCCGTGTGGAGTTTCCCAAAGCGCCAGCTGCTCTTGGGCTTCATGTAGATGCTGTGTTTTCGGTGTAACATGACATAAATATAGTGCCGATAAGAAGGCTACTTATCGTAGCAGAGAAACATGTGACTGTGTTTCTACGTTTCTTCAAGAATTCCCTGCAATTTCCAGGTTGCAGCCCCTGCTGTCGCTGCCACGACAGTCAGATCCAACGACGCGAAAGTCGCACTCGACTTAGGAGATCTCAGAAAGCCAATGATGAGTGGTTTCCACAGTTTCCACTGACTCCTGAGCTGAGGTCACAATCACTTCTGCACCCCCCGTCAGGCCTCCTGCTAGGCCGCAGCTTGGCTCAGATAGCTTTCAAGCATTTTCAAGCAGTCAGCGTTGCCGCCTTCGCCGTCCACTCCAGGAAGGCCGATCCCTCTCTCGTGTCCTTCAACGTGGGTGGCCAAGTCTTCCAGATCTCCACGAAGGTGCGCGGTGGTGATTTGTGCTGATTGCACACAGCCACATTGGCCATTCATTTTGGCCATTGCACCATGGAGCTGTTGCAGAAGATTCGCAGGCAGTGAAAGCCAAGCCGGAGACCTTGCTTGCCAGATTACTGGCCAAAGACGGAGGCACCTTCGAAGCACCAGAAAGCCCTCAACGCAACACCGAAAGCACAAAGCTCTCCCCTCGAAGTGGTTCGACACCCTTTTTGAGCATACGTGGGCATGCATAGTGTAGCTATACCAGCTCGTTTGCTCATGTTGACTTTGTTGGTTGTGTGTCTCTGTGTGTGCGTGTGCGTGTGCGTGCGTGCGTGCGTGCGTGCGTGCGTGCGTGCGTGCGTGCGTGCGTGCGTGCGTGCGTGCGTGCGTGCGTGCGTGCGTGGGTGTGTGTGTGTGTGTGTTTTGTTGTGATGGGGTGGCCCAGGCTCTGTTCCTAAGGTTCGCTCCGGGGGATTGTCACGCTGCCGGAACTGCTTCAAGGGAGCCATGTGGCAGGGCAATTTCCGTTTTTCCCGTGTGCTTTCACGTTCTTCCCAGCTGGCGGCCTCTGTCGGTTGCTATCTGAAGACATATGTGGAAGCTGTGTCGGAATTCCTTCCGATGAGAAACTCAACACATGTATCTTAAAATCCAAGGTCTAGAGCGGGTCCTGCACGTGCCGGTGGATGTTTGCCCCGAGCGCTTCCGGATTCTACTGGATTGGTATCGCTATGAAGAGCTCTACGTTCCGAGCATGGTCCCCATTGACGCAGTCCTGCGAGATGCGGCACGTGGGGGCCTAGAATGCCTTTAGAATGAGAAAAGCAACATGACGCAGTAGCAAAACCCCACGTGTGCTTGTGCTGTGGATCCATCCACAGCCAAGCTCAGGTCTGGACCTTCCTGCTGAACTTGTCATAAACGGCATTCCTCGCAGTACCCGGCTTACAAGGGCCAAGGCTGTCAGCCAGAACGTGGTCCTTGGCGTGACCCAGAGGTGTGGCGCTCGGAATCACAGAGCTTGGCTGAAGTATGCTAAGTTCTCCTAGCTTTGTGCTGAGTTTTCGCAGATATATTAGCACCGGTCCTCTGCAAGCCTCCTGAAGCCCGAGGTGGCCTGGGTTCAACACTTTCCTGGGTCAAGTGCTTGCTCAAATCGAGGAGCATTTCCAGGCACTTGTCCGGTCATAGCCCAGCTTTTTGAAATGGCCGCACCCCCCTCCGCCCTACCCGACACACTAATTCACCCTGATCTGGCTGATCAATTTCTCAACCTGGCGGTTCTGATTGTTTTGACGCTGGCACCAATTCGCACCTGACACCTTGCAAGAAGCTAGCAAGCTTTGCATGGGATGAGAGAGACCTACGGTTGCAATCCTCTGTTCCCGTGAGGCGGTGGGGTCAGGGCCTCAATCTGCAGTGCCTGACGACGTTCGATGCATCGGACAGAAGCAAGCAATGCACATTTTCGATATCTGGATTTGCTCGTGTACATGGCGTGTGGATGGAGTGAGTGGATTCGCTTCTGTTTGTCAGCCTTCGGATGCAGGTCTCGGTCTGGGGTACACGCTGATGCGCAAGACGAGGAAGCTGCTGCCGCCGACGAAGCGTTCGACTTCCCACGCTTTGTGATTCCGCTTTTTCGCGAGGAGGCTCGACAATGTTACTAGGGCTAAATTGCATGCAGCTGGATGTCTCAGAGCATGTGAGTGACCCATGAATGGCCAGGGATGGGTGGCGCCAAAGCACATATGCAGTTCTGCAAGAGCCCGAGTGCTGGCCCTCAAACTGGAGGCCTGTGTGAGCGTTAAAGCCCACACTTGGGTTGCCATATTTCCCAGCTCTTGCTTTGTACCCGCTGGAAGTGCAAGTCAGGAGCTCGGCTACCTATGTGAGTTTTCTGACGCGGATCTCCTGGTGAGCTTGCCCTTGAAGTTTCTCAGCAGCAGCTTGTGTGTTTTCATGCTGTTTTTCGGCTGTGCAGCCGCCCGATGGAATTATGTAAATGCCCGCCAGTTTTTGTTTGCTCTGTGGTCGGCCACCATGGTTATGAGCCCGAGAGGGGGAAACAAGTGAGTGAGTGAGTCCCGGGCCCGCGACGGCACAGCAAGACAAAAGCGCCTTTCAGTCGCCCAGTGAGCAAATGCAGCCCCACCTCCTTGGTCGAGGAAGCCGATGTGTGAGTAAGTCCCAAGCTTTCGACCGCACAGCACTGCGCACATTTTCTAAATTGTGCTTGGTTGGAATGGCTTTGGCGCCCCTGAGCGCGTATGGATCTCTAGGCATTCACAATGCGTACCATGTTGCGTGTGCGTTTGTGAGCGTCGAAGACTGACACGGTCTCAGAGAGCTGAGGCTTCGATGTGAGCTGGTCGTCACTCCAGGCCACGTGCTGTGTAAAAATGTAATTGTGCATGTTACATATCGAATCATATCGATGGCCGCAAGTGCATGCAAACATATGCAAACATGCGAGCATGTGCAAACGAAACTGGCCGCTTTTAGAGCCGCGGCTGAAGATCATCGGGAAGATGTCGGAAGAAAGTCTTGCAAGTGCCTTGTCATCCTACGCGAGGTGGGCACGAATCACACGATGGAGCTCCGGGAGCAGGGGCTCCAGGAGCAGCGGAAGGTGAGCTGAAAGAGTAAAAGTGAAATGGAAGGCCAGAGGGCGATGCAATTAGACAGCCATTACTGATGGTATGCAGCCGTCGATCTTCTTGCGTTTGGTTGCCGTCCGTCGTGCGCGCAGGCCAGCTTATGCTAAAGTGAGCTTCGGCCGGTCAATTGCTGCAGATGGTCAGAGCCTCCAGCTTCAGGGTTCAGGATTCCTGATGGATCTGGAGGAGCGCGAGGGAAACAGCTTTTTATGAAGAAACCTCTTTACACAATTATCTGTATCTCTCTCGCTCCTCTCCCTCTGCCTCTGCCTTGGCCGAGGAAGGTAGTGCAGCATCTCTGTGACCCGCCGAGTGCTGTCAAAAGTGCTGCGAGAACTTTGGGAGTGACATGGGTTGAATGATACTCTGAGTATTCAGAGTGCGAGAATAAGTGTAAGTGTATACCAGCACATCAGTGACCACTGTACTTACCCAGTGCTTGCCCCCGTCTTGACTGTTCCAAGACCATGGCAAAGCATGGCACGTTTAAAGGCCACCAGTTGAGTCATCATCGTCTGTAGACCCAGCGCGTTCGGGATTGATTCAAGCACAAAAACGTATCTAAAAGAAGTTCAATGCATCCCCCGCGCTGAGGACTCCGTCGGAATCTCCTGTCGTCATCCTCTCATGTCAGGGCACCTCATTTCTGCCTAATTCACGTGGCCTTCACACATCGTGCCGTTCAATCTAACATCTTTTCGATCTTGAGCAGGCGATGATTCAAACACCTGCTGTAGTTTGACGTGTATCGGAATAAACCTGATCGATATCTCTTGCAGGGTGGGTTTGCTGGGAATTTGGACGAGGCGTTCAGAAAGTTGGGGTGTTGCTCAGCATCCCGCGAGCGCGACTCCGACAAGACAGATTGGGCGAAGAGAGAGACCTTACGGTCTATGTTCTAGTCAGAGAGTAAACATGCCAGTTGCCTGGATTCTGACAAGGCAACGTGGACTTCATTCCGCTAGCATGCAAAGCCTTTAGAGAACCTCAACCAGCTTCTTTGCATTGCCTGTAAAGCCCCAGATGAGCTCCCAAAGCCCTGATTTTGTGACTGCGAAGATGTAGGCTGTGTTTTTCAAGAGGGGCTCAAAGTTGACTTCGGGCCAGGATTTTGCTAGAGTATGGGGATGGAGAGGAGGGTGAAGTCAATGCAATCACAGATCGTCAGGCACGGGCATTCCAGCAATAAAGTTTGTGTACATTGAGCAGCAGAACTCCGGCACACTTCCTAGAGGTGTGAGGTTGTGACGGCTCAGACCTTCCTTGGTTCATGGGTTGCCATCGTTTGGATGCTCACGATTTCATATGCATTGTTCCGCCACATTTCTGGACAGGACCGACAACCTGAGATGAATGATGCATGGTTATATGCATGACATATTTAAGGACTACTGTGGAGTGTGCAGATATTCGCAGCGGTTGTGGATTCAGTGCTCGGGGCAATGGCCGCACTGGCTCGGAGTGTGCTGACAGTGGGCGATGGCGACCTATCGTTCTCACTGGCGCTCTGCCGGGCGTTTGCCTCCAATGTGCAAGTGATTGCAACGACTTGGCTGACGGAAGAGGAACTCGAAAACCGCTACCATTCTGCAGCCAGGGTTCGAGAGGAATTATTGCGGTGCGGGGCAGTTGTCCTGCACCGTGTCGATGCCTGCAATCTTGCCGCTTCTCTTCCCAAAGAGCGCCCCATGGCCGTCATTTTCAACTTTCCACATTTGGGTGACGTTGCCGGTGATGGCCACGAACCTAGGAGCAACTTGGAGCCTGAAAGGGCATGACCTGCCGATGAAACCGCTAAGTTGTGATAAGCTGCCGATGCTGCACAGGAGCGTGTAATCACTGGCGCTGGCGGCATTGCTTCGTCATGTCTGGCCCAATTTGGCGAACCAAGGTATGCATGTGCGACAGCATCAAGCACTGTTGGCACATTTCTTCCGATCAGCGGCGGATCTGACGGAGGTTTCGGCGGTCGTTGTAAAGTCAACACTCAATGTCAACCAGTCTTAGCAATCTTGTGCTCATCTGGGGAGGGGTTTCTGCAGGGCGAGATCCATGTGACCCTGTGCGGCACCTGGGCTGCGTAGCACTATGTGGTGGTGTGTCCTCGCTCTCGTGACCCCTGCAGCTGTTCTCTTCGGCTGATAGCCGTCAAACTGTATGAATCAAGATGAATCTCATGTGAAAGGGCTCTTGGCAAGAAAAGCACCGCTCAACACACCTTTCAACCTAGGCGAGCAGCCCAGCCTTTGGGCCCTGCACAAGCTGGCCGCTGCTTCTGGGCTGCGGGAGCTGAGGCCCCGGACATGTAAGACGGCTTGAGACACGCCATAAACACGCCTCTACGCCTGCAACTCTCTCTCGCTATCTCGTTCTCGCTCTTTCTATCTATTTTCTTCTGTCACTCGATGACACACCTCCCCCCCGAGTCCGAACACGAACCTGCTCCCATCCCCGAAGGAGAGGAGCAGGTGGGAGTAGGAGGAAGAGGTGGGAGGACGTGTAAGGGGACTTCTTGGGAGGATGTGGAGGACGTCTCGAACAAATGCACGAGAGAGTGCAAAAAGTGCTTTCTCTCGCGCTCTCTCTCCCGTTGGCGCTCTGTGGTCTTTTGTTCTCTTGTGTGTAAATACATAGTTTGGTCTGACAAATATAATGCTTCAGATGTATCATGAATCCAGTGCAAAACGAATTTGGATGAATCTATCTATTTACAAGAAAAAATCGAGCTTTGTATGATTGAGAGCATCCCATGACCACGACGAGCTGACATACCACCTGGACATTTATCTGGTTGATTTGGTCTGCTCTGCTCTCTTCACCGCTTCCCTGCTCTCTTCACCAACCATCACAAGCTTGTCCTTGAGGAGCTATGCCCCAGCCGCGATAGACTCTCAGAGTTGTTAATGGGCTTTTGTTGAGGCAGTGCTGCAAAGGCAAGGTACTACACTGTACAACAGAAGAAAAGTTTGCACGCAGAGAGTCTCAACCATCTTCCCAGGATGACTTCACGAAGGGCGCGTTCTCAGGCTTTCGCATGCAACCCCCAGAGCCTGCTTGGCAATGTCGTCGGAGGTGGCGGAATGGATCCTTGGGTTTTGTCCACTGGGCTTGCCGCTACGGTTATGAACACAGGCGCCATGAGGGCGAACAGCAGATGAACATTAGCAACTGCACTACATTCGTTTTCGGGATGAATCCGTGCGAATCTGTCCCGGCCATGTCAGCCACCCTCGCTTGCTCAACTGTATGTGGCGTGTGCCACCAAGAGTTTGATGATGTTGAGTCGTTGGTCCAGCACATGCAGGCACCTGCTCTACCCATACGTGACACGAATGCGCACAGCTGCCCCACATGCGGCCGAGCCTTTGGTTCACAACGAGCCCTCGAACAACATGCGCAGTCTTGTCAGAGGACGCCGACACCCCTGAAACAAGAATGTGGTTACAGAGACATGGCCCATGTCCATGAAGCAACTGACAAATTGGTTCGCCTGGACATAGCCATCACTTCAGAGGCAGGGCTCAGGCTTTCACACCTGGCACGGCAGTTTGAGAAGCTGCGACGTTACTTGACATCAAAGGCAGCCGTGAAGCGAGCTATTGCGAGAGGTGAGCTCACTTTGAACAGCGAACACGTCGAGGAGACCCGCATTCTGAAGGCCGGCGACATCGTGACACTTTGCTTAGACCGAACACGGGAGGCATTGGATGCAACTACGGCGCGAGCACGGGATGTCAAGATGGTTGCGCCCAAGGCTATGCCCAGGGCTGACTGGCAAGTTTCGCGCTCCACATGCCCAGAAGGCGTGGCAGTGGTTTGGAAGCCAGCTGGCATGAGAAGTCTGGGAAGCCATGCCGGGACCCTCCAGTCCTCCCTACCACTGTTGCCAGAAGTGTCAGAAGTGGCACGGTTCAACCGACTGCTGCCCTTGAGCCGACTCGAGATTGGCTGCTGTGGGTTATCTCTAGTCCCGAGGCTTTGTACGTGGAGAATTTTTGTTAATGGAACCCTGCTCCGAACGATTTTATAGCTTCCAGAGTCTAGAGCCTGGGCAATGGCAAATGCTGGACTGCTGGACCCTGTGCAAAGGTTGCGTTGACCGCAGAAATGCACCAGCTACTAGCCGAATGGTGCTGACCTTAGACAGCGAACTCTTGCTGAAGCATCTGAAGCGCTGAACGTTTCAACGCTATTTAGTAAGAGGCTCAAGACTCAGGCGCTTGACGCCCGAAGAGCAGAATAGAACCACTTGAGAATTCTGTACAGAAATACTTGGCGGTCGATGTTGGGCCGGCAGACTGGGCACCTGGTTGGGATGTTTACATCCTCCTGCAAGTTGTCCCAACGAAATAGAATTATCAGTGCGTGAGAGTATGTTGATGAGAGTATTGTCAATCCGTTGTCATCTGGCTCTGAATCGGCTCAGGCTGACTTTGGGCCGTGTGGTGCACACCTTCCGTGCAATGCTGCATGGGCGAAGCGCTGAGTGCAGCAGCCAAGAGGGCCTTTCACGTAAGCAGCTCACGCAGCAGGTTTTTCTTCTCGCTGTTTGCCCAAGTGTTGCTTCGAGGTCGCTTGGCGAAGCTGGGACAACACTTGCATTGACAGCAGAAGGCCGCAGACTTTCGTCCAGGTTATTTTTGCGCAGAAACCAGGCTCTGAAACACAAGGACTCTGCGTCCCCTCCCATGTGCCCTTCTGAGCTTCAAACTTCAGCAGCAAAGGTTAAGATATGTTAAGATCGCCAGGTCCCCGAAACCATTTTCTTTACACTAAAGCTACAGAGCTTCAGCAGAGACCTCTGAAAGCCTCCCTCAGATTGAAGGTGGGCCGAGAGGGTCGGGATCATTAGATTCGATTGGGCTCTGGGTTCGGTATGTCTGAAAGAGGGCGACAGACCCTTGCCGCTGTTGCGCACTGGGGTGTTTCAACAGCTGTCCTCGGCACCTCCTGACTCGTTGCTGCCGTTGTTGGAGACTGCGCCCATGGAAGAAGCTTTAACCCCCGACTGGGATCATGCTAGCTTTAAGTAGCATTTGCACAACAGCATGCAGTGTGGAATCGTTTTGGGGGGTAGTAAACTGGTGCGACCACTTAGAGCGAACTCTCAATTCCACATCCCCCGGAAGGCGCGGACCATGAAGAAGCATCGAGCACGGAGGCAGCTTTGCCACCATTGGTGGGTCGGGGTTCTGGAATGTTTTTGATACGTTTTGAATTGTATGCCAACATCACCGCCTGATGCCACTAGGCGTCGCTGCTCGACGAACTTGTAGCTCTAGTCTGAAGCTCTCTGAAACGAATGTGATTTGCGGCTTCCACACTAAGGAGTGTCCTTCGGGAGCTCAGAAGCCTGCAGCCGCTGCAGCGAAGGACTGCTTGAGGGCGGCGGGAGGGCAGAGGGAGGGCGGAGGGAGCGCAGTGTGGCAGCGCCACACCGCACCTGTTGCTTGGGTTTTGGCAACACTGCCCATTTTGTGCGGCTTGTGAGCCCGGCATCCCCCGCACGATTTTCCTTGGCTGAGGCAGTCAGCAAGGTGGTTTGCTACGTGGCCAGGGCCTCTGCGAACCTTCGGAGACCAGAGCTGAGCCAGCCGGAAGAGCAATTGTCAATTGTCCGAATTTGTCCAAGGTAGCTGAGCAAAATGGCATGAGCATCGTGGACCTGCAGACTGTCGCCAGTTCCGGGCGGCACCTCTATCAGAGAAGCCTTACTTGTAGTGCCAACCCACACAGCGGAGAATCAGGCATGTTAAGACGACGGTGCCCAGTGTAATGGCCTAACCTGTGGCAGCTTTTGCTCGTTAAACGTTTCTTGGCCTACACTGACGGCCTCCCAGGTGCTGTGGCTCTCTTTGCCATCTGATGCGACGGTTTCTTGTCTGAAGGTTTGTGACCTTGTGCATCTCTGGGTATGTGCATGGCCTTGCCATTGCGAGAACCACTGAAAGCATGCTATGAGCTGGCCTGAACGTGAGGGCCATATGAAACATCGAACATCTGTGTCCTTGCAGCGCGCAGGATTGCAATTGCAGTGGCATGTTTGTGAGGCAGGGAACTCCTGTGGTGGGTGACAGGCTTGCCCGGCGAGCTTCCTCAGGACGGGGTATATGCAAGCAAGATCGACGTTAGACATGCGATGGCATCTCAGGACATACGCCTAAGGCCCATGTAAAAGTTCATTTGATGTGGTGAGTTCTTTATTTCGCATTCAAGAAATTCACCAGAGTCATGACCTAGTCATGGCTCAGGACGTGTGCATGCAGGTGGGATTCGTGGGAAGAGAAGTGGCAGAGGCATTGGGGAGCTTGGAGGCCGCAGCACTTGACTCAGCACCTGACATCTTGAAGCTTCGGCAATATGTAGAGCTTACTGGACTCGAAATGAAGAATCTTGGCATGAACAATCTGCGCCGGATTGTTGCTCTTCGTGCGATTGCGCTTGCTTCGCGTTTGCTCCAGGCAGTCTGCCAGCATTGTGTAAAGCTTGGCGCGGAGGTGTCACGACGAGCAAGAGACGGCTGCAGATCGAATGCGTCGGTATTGCGGCCTCCAATGAGGCCCGCTAACCATTGTCTTTTAAAGCCGTATCCATTGGCACACTCAAACTGTTACTTTGCGGGCTTGGGCGATTAGGGTGCAGTGGAAGTTCCACGAGGACTCAAAACCTGAAAGATCCTGAATCTCGACGCTTAAACTGGTGCTCCTTAGCTTGTGTGTAAACGGGCATCTTCAATCCAATACCTGCGATGCAGGATGGCGGAGAATTTCTTGATGTACGAATTTGCCGGCAGGGGCATACACCTTCGAATCATGCCAGCTCAGAGTCAGAGGACGAACCTGAAAAAGTATGAAGAAAGTCTCGTCGCACTTGCAAGGTAGCCTTCCGCCTCCATGGCTGGCACGATCTGGCACATGCTCCTTCTCGCCGGTGCCATGGACCTGGACTGTCTCCTCGACTGCTGACAGACTCCCTGGGAACCCAAGTTGGTCTATTGCATCGAGGCTGCCTATCTCAACAAGTGTGATATCGGAGCCAGGTTGGGTGCTGGTCTGGGTGCGATCCGGTGTTGCACGATGTGGCTTTCCGAGTCAACCCGCGCCTCTTCGACCTGCGATGGCAGCGAAGAGTTTGCCCATGCAGTATGACGTTGGATCAAAAGTTGATAGCAACTGCACGATGTTGCGGGCAGAGGTCCTTGGTTTACGTCAGGCCGGCGTCAGGTGACCATCCAGACGATGGCAGCAACGCGACAAGAAACTACAAGGTAGAAAGTCGAGTGAGTGCGGCTTACCCTCGAACGCGAATGCATCTGCCATACTGGCTGGCATGAACCTGTATAGTATGAGCATGTCATCTGGTAGCTGGCCACAGCGGCCTTGCTGTACAGCCATCAGCAAAGCAGAAGGCATGTAGCATAAGTGTGCACCACGACGGATGCAGTTCCACGCCTGATAGCGAGCTGGATCAAGCGTTGGCAGTGAGCCTTTGAAGAGATGGGGACTTTGTCAGGGTTGTGTCTTGTACTCTTGCGGCTTCCACACACTGCCAGGGCCCCTGGAAACATAGAGAAAGATGCAAGCGATCTAAGCACCCTGGTCAATTTAGCGCGAAAGGCGCACAGAAGCAAGATAGCGGCTTTAACAGGCAGTCCACAGGGTCCAGGGGAGTTCTGGGGGTCCATAAGCCAGTCAGTGGGCACTAGAGATTCCGCAAAGGTTCATGAAAAATGCTTTGGGGGCTCCCCCCAGCGTCCTCTGCTCCTGGCATACCGTGCTCCCGAATCCGTCACAGGTACTTTTTTTCCATGTCGCAGAGTCGAAGAGTCAGAATGTCATAGAATGTCGGAAGTCCTGAGACGCTGCCCAAGTCCTCCGTCGTGGATTGGTTGGAAATGTTAAAGGACCGCTTCTCGGCACATGACCAGAATGACCACTTTTTTCGCCGAAGCCTTCCCGCTGCAACTTCTGGCTCAAGATGCGCGCGCTTACCGGAGGGGGCCAAGGTCATGACCCTGCGTGTCACCCTAGCCGTGCGCAATTCAGCACAGACGACCCACCCAAAACCCAGCCCTCACCGTAACCGTCGAGCCAAGGCCATGTGCAGCAAGTGCTGTCGAGCTTCTTCGACATATCTGTACAACTCGGATCGCCTGGCTAGCTTGCAGCTGCTCCGTCAGCGAAAGACTCCAAACCCCAAGCCGAGGACATGCTTGCCTGCTGTGTCTTGTGTCCGTGCTCCTGAGCCATGCTTCCCGCGGATTCCGGGGCGCCGCGGATACAGGCGCAGCAAGGCCAGGCATGGCGAGGCCGGGAAAGGGCTTGGAGCATTCTGCATAGCCCAGTGTCGAATTCCAGCCCCGAATCGTCACCTGCTTGACCCTAGCAAGGCCTGCCCTTTTTTGGCTTGGCATTTTGTTGTCTATCGAGATCTGGGAGAATTGGAGCCGAAGGGCATGCGAAAGTCGAGGTTTGTTACAGAGACAAAGCCTGGCTAATCAGTTTATGCAAAAAAAGTAGTTGTGTCAGAGCAGAAATAGCTGAACCGGCAGATTTTGCTGCTGGGGCGGGGAGGCGGGGTCGTGCAGACAACTGGCCAGCCAGCGCCACAACGAAATCAGGCCGGGCGTCCAGGTTGTGCTTGTAAGGGCGACAGCTCTCGTGTACCATCCGTATGAAATTCGCTTCTTACTAGTGTTTGCCAACGGATGTCTTGGACCTGCTTCCATGCTACGTATCCGCGGCAGTCTGCTGGAACGGCTTTGTGTAGGAGACCAGCTCGTGTCCGTCAAGCATGCTACATCTGTGGGATGCAGACGCCAACATGTGCAGAGTTTTGTTCGTGATGTCTAGGGCTCCTTACGAATCCTTTACGGCACAGCGCATTCTGAGATGGCCAGGAATTGGACCTGCTTTCAGAAGCTCAGCGGCAACCAATATAACCAATCGTAGGCCAGAGGTTAACGGCTAACGGGAGGTCATGGACTTGGGCTGGGTTCATTTCGAGAGTGAGGGCTTTGGAAGATATTGAAAGCGTGTTGGACGTTGCCTGTATACTGCATGCTACATCATGCTACCGCTTTCTTGGGGTGCTTCCGTAGCTGTAGCCGAAGCCAAACCTATAACCCGTGTGGGCAACTGCCAGAAGAGGACCACCTTGTCGACCCGCCTTCTGGACACGTGCCTCCGTCCCCGACGGCTTCGGTGGCCTCCGCTGCTGGTGTAGCTTGACTAGCTGGGTGGGCACCCCAAAATATGTGATCTTCAGTCCATGAATCACAGGTCTTAGTTCCTGCTGTCAGACATGAGCGCTGGCAGCTGCAAGTCAGGCAACGACCCCCGTTGCAACTCCGGTAGCAACACCGGCGGCAACACCAGCGCCGGCAGCTGCAAGTCAGGCAACAACCCCCGTTGCAACTCCGGTAACAACACCGGTGGCAACACCGGTAATGCCTGCTCCGAGACTTTGCTGCATGAGTTGGCGCAAGTGGAAAGTCCCGAAAATCACTATTCCGGCCTAAAGTTATTCAACTTCGTCGGGCAGTTTCAGCAAAAGCTTGAAATTGCTCAGGACACATGTCCTGGAACACAGTGTGAGCAACCGTGTGCTAGCTTGAGGTCCGGACCAACTAGTGCCGGTGCGTTAAACCCCGGTTGCGGGTGGCAGAGTGCCGTGCGGCCGCAGTGACCTTGTATAAACAGGTGGCAGCCTGGCAGGGTGCATCTAACCCGCAGCTCAGTCACGCACGGACAGGGTCAAGTGACACTTGGCCCAGGAATCCACCACGAGGCGTATCAGGCGCTTGCGGATGCTGGTTCTCACTCCTGATGTTGTGCTTCAGTTCAGGGAAGTGTCCGCCATAATAACATTGGTGCATGGTACCAGCTACGTCCGCAGTTGCCCCTCGATCCTGAATTCAGTGTATAGAGTTCAGGCATAGCTTGGACGGCTTGATGATTACTGGTTTGTGTTGTGACAGGCGCTGCCCGTAGCAACCATGTGCGCTCGCAAACACCCGCCTCGCATAGTTCAGAAGCACAAGGGACCTGTTCAGAAGTCGGACATCCTGGACTTCCCATGCTCCCTGCAATGCAATCCACCCTTGCCTGGCAGCCCCCTCCGCGACACCTTCGGAGTGTTCCACGGTTGTCCGGCATGGGCAGTGCCCCATCGGCACGAAGTAGTCTTCGGGGATCAGATCCTGTTGCTCGGACTGTTCGCTTCTACGAGGCTCCATGCTTTTGTTGTGCTTCTGTCGTGCATTCGATGGGTATGATGTTTTGTGGGTTTTCCTGGCTTCAGCAGCTGGCACTGGCACAGCTGCTGCTCTGAGGTTCAACACCACTACGTGCGATGAAGCGACAGATGCAGCACGGCCTGGCTGAGAGTATTGGATGTGAGGCATGTGAATGACAGATCTGCGCAGCATCCCGCTAGTTTTGCCGACCCAGTGTTCGAGTTATGCTATACAGGCTGCGGAGTCCATGTTAACCGGATGGGTGAACTTAGTCGGGGCAAGGGTGGCAAGATGCAGAAAGCTTTTTGTCGTGTTGCGGTATAGACCCGCAAGAGAATGCTACTCGGCTGCTCGGTTCCAGGACGGAGAGAGTGGCGTGGTCTGTGCAGTTAAGGATTCGGACCCGGATGTTTCCTCATGGCACGGAAGAGGTCAACAGCAGAGTCTGCAGGATCGTAGGTGCTTTGCTTGTAGGGCCCCATGCTGCAAAAGCTGGGGCGATTCCCCCTTTGGTTTCTGCGCCTCCTGTGCAAACATGCCTTATCAACCTTTTGGCATGGGAAGCGCGGAACAACAAGCCTTTGACTCTTATTTGGGTTCTGCACTTGGTTTCCCCAGTCGGCTTGTCCATGCCTGTCCAGCAAATCCGCCACTGCAAAGAGACCTGCGGATGAGCTGCGAGTGTTTGGAAGCACCCTTGAAACACGCCATGCATCGCACAAGTTACCAATACTTCAAGTCTGTGAATTTGGGTTTTCGGAGTGTGCACGTTTACACCCGGCAACCTGCCACGAAGCCTGTCACCGCATCCTGAACGCTTTGCCGAATCAGGAGGTTCTGGCCTTCTTGGATCAGAAGGAACGGGAGGCCGGCCTGCATGAGGTTGAGAGTTTGATGAGTAGATGGCCCCAGCTCGTTGGTAGCCCATGCGTTTGGGATCCATGTTAGAGGCGGAGACTGCAAACAAGAAAGCATGTGGTGCTCGTTCGTGGGGAAGGCAGGCACTTTTCGCTTCGAACTTTCAGTAAGGTCAGTATGATCTTCGCCCGGACGCGGACGCAGCCTCCTGGATGAACGTGTGTTGAGACAACATGTGACAAGACTCCGACGCATGTCTCCCAGAGCATGCCCCAAAAATAGCATTTGCAAGTACACAAAGTCATCAGCATTCTGCAGATCCTGCTGTTTGTATCCTGCAGCGTGACTCTGAGGTTGCTCCAAGCCATGTCCACGTCCAGCAATGGATCCAGCACGGCTGTTGCAGTTCCGTGGCTCTGACAATCTGGGGGCCGAATGCCCCGAATGCCCCCGACACTCTCTTTCATCAGTACATATCAGTACCCCCCCCCCCCTTTTTTGAAGTTGCTGCATTGTGGTTGGCGTATGTCCAAACTTGAAAGCAGAGCCTCGGGCCGTGTGAGAGTTTTTGACAAGGCTGTGACGGGTCGCTCTGACGAGGCCGGCTGCAAGACTTCCAACCCTCGACGGTTGCAGGTTGCAGTCTTCAGTCGCCCAGGGAGGACCGTTAGGAGTTTGCTGCTTGAGACTAGTGTGCTAAGGTGGTTTAAATGACGATCATGCTCAGGGCGAGGAAGCAGAGGAAGCGAGACCGGAAGGAGGATGCTTAAGCTGCAGAATAGCCTAGAATGAACTAGAGCATGAACCCAGCAATGCGTCTACAGGCCACGGTGAAGTGGAGGGAGTTTGGAGAGCCCTTCTATCGCGCAATTTCCTTGCACTTCGGCTGCACAAAGTTTGTCTTGTTGTGCCTTCGTTTTCATGCCGGCTTTCGCCTCCATTGAGGGCCAGAGGCAGGCTTGCGTACATGTGGGCTCAGCAGCGAGCAGAACCATCATGTGCTCATCAATCGAAGACGTCCACAGGTGCATGGCGATAGTTACCAGATATGTATCCAGCCTGGCCAAAAAACTTGTAGAGGCAGGTTTGCACGAACATTTTGGCAACCCCCGCATTGTGTGCACTCAGTCCAGAAAGCTAAGCAAGTTTAAGCTCGCACTTGGGCTATCAAATTAGAGACTGCACTTCCGCATCACAGTGCTTGATGGCTTCTGCGCCGGCGCCTTCTGGCGAGTGTCTGCTGCTGAAGGCCCGCATCCGTGCTTCCACGTAAGTGCCACACGCCTCGACAGCAGGCTCGAGGGCATGCGGCATACCACTTCTTTCCATCCTGTGCTCTGCGACAGAGCTTCTGAGTTTGTTTTGGTTTAAGAATCTGCTGTCGAAAGTTTAAAGACACTGTCTTCACAAGGCGGTGGTGCAATGTCATGGGCAGCTGCAAAGATGGACGCGTGGATGCCGTGGATGTTGCTGATGTCGAGCATGGCTGCGTTCCAGCTTGAATTTGACTGCATTCCTGCGGATTCCTGCGACACCCAGAGTAAGTCACATCCAGGACGGAGGCAAAGCGCCTTTCCTTCGACAAGTCGGCCGTGAAATTGGATGAGTCATGGCTGGTTTTCCTGGCGAATAGCTAAGAAAGCATGTTGCGTTTGGGGCCTGTGGTCATGACATCGTGGCCCATGCATCTTGGAGCGGCTGGAAGCTGCTAGCAACCGAGTCGCCCCGCCCAGGACAAGCTCGTGGTTCAGTGGCAGCAGTTGGCCATGGCCTCTGTTCGCTTGCATGCTGATGGCCAGTCTTTGGACGTGCCGCGCCCAGAATTCCATCTGTTGATTCTTGCAGCGCATTGCAGTGCCACGTTCCCAAGTTCTGCAGTGCATCTTTTGAGTGCGATGCGCTTGCGTGAATCTGGACTTTAGTCTTGCTCAGTAGACGTTTAACGGCAGGTTGGGATGTGACAGGGTAAATCTTGGCGCTGTTGCCGTCATCCTTGTTACTTTGGTTCATCTTCTTGGAGCCTTGCCCTTGCCACACATGGCTCCTTCGGTCCTAGAAACACCACCGGTTTTCCGAAGCATCCTCGGAGCCCAAAGGTTGTCTTTGCATCAGCGGACCATGGCCTGTTTGATTTTGCAGAGGCAAGGAGAAGCTAGAAGTGGCCAGAGCCACCGCAGCATTTGCACAGTGATACACAGCGATGCTCAGCGATACCTCGTCGGCTGTTAAATCGGGAGGTTGCCATGCAAATGGACGCTTCGTCAGCCGGTCTGGTGCAGGCCAATGGGGTTGCGAAGGGGAAAGGACGTGCATCGTTTCAAGGCTTCAGGTCTGTAAGATTTTGTGGGTTATTGTTTAAACGTTGGGTCTACAGGGGCCATTTGCGAGGGTGCGCTTGCCGCTCGAAGTGCCAGTCAGGAAAGCCACGGTTGGCTTTGGGCTTTGTCATTTGGGGATTCGGTGCTTCAGACTTCTTAGCAGTGTAGAAGTAGGAATGGTGGTTGGGTTTGTGCAGCTTTGAGCAATCTGTGCAAGTCTCGGGTTGGTTCTTGCTTTATGGCTATCGGTGAGGTGTGTCGGCACGGACAAGAGGACCAAAGCACCCTGCGATCTTTCAAACACGCTGCCCAAAATGTTGCGGCTTTCTCAAGTCCTGCCTCCGAGACCTCAGTGATCGATCTGACACCAACGACCTGCCATGCTGTTGGGACCCCTGGGGCGATCTTTGGGTTCCACAAAATCGATTTTTCAGTTCGTTTGGTAGCTCGGTTCTGGGTATGTCTTACCAGTATGAGAAGCTGGTTCTCGCTTAGGCCATCCATGCTGCTCGCGTGCCGGTGTGCCTTGGATTCGGTCAAGAAGGACATTTTGAAACGTGCTAGCATCATTGAGGTCTGACATGTTTAACAAAGCGTCCCAAGTGAAGGAGAAAGACTATGAGTCCGTGAACCCAATCCCTGAAATGTCTGGCCGTTAACCTGAAGATTCCTGAGGCAGCCAGCATATCAACACAAAACAAATCCCATGTAGATTTCACAACGACCAAGCATGGGTGATGTCAAACGAAGCCTGAAGCTAACGAAGCTTGCGTTGTCTGCATTGTTCACAAAACACCACAACCAAATCGAGCCGCACCAAGTCGAATTCGAAGGGTTGCTCGGTTTTTACTTCTTTCTATTTTAATTCATACTTCCCATGAAAAAAGCACCCTCTTCGTGGTGCCCGGCATCTCAGGAGAAGCATCTCCCGGAGCGTTCTGACATGGCCCCTCCGTGTGCTGCACCCACGCTTGACCTTCAAAGAGGTGCGGGAGAAAACAAGCAGCCTGACAGGAGCCACGAACCCGAATGCAGACACGTGTTACCTACACGGCGAACACAAGAGACGCGGTGCACGACACGAGATCCGAAGTGAAGTGTCTTATACTTCTCCATGTCTCTCTTACTATGTCACTCTCTCTGTCTCTCTTCTTCTCTCTCTCTCTCTCTCCTTCTCTCTGTCTCTCGCCCTCCCGCTCTCTTTCTAATCTCGCTCTCATATCTCTTTCAGACCTCAATGTTAACTCTTTCCATCTCTCTTTCCCAGCACACTCTCATCTTTCTCTCTCGGTCTCTCTCTCTCTCTCTCTCTCTGTCTCTCCCACTCTCTCGCTCTCTCCCTTTCCCTTATCTCGCTCTCGTTTCTCTCTCTCTCTCTCTCTCTCTGTCTCTTATCTCTTTCAGCTCTCGGTTCTATCTCTCTGTCTCTCGCTTCTATCTCTCATCTCTCTTTCTTATCTCTTTCATCAAATCCATTCCTTGCTATGATTAACAAATCGATTCCTCTGGGCCTTTTCAATCACTTGAAGCAGAGCTGCATGCCTCTCAATCATGCCAAACAGAAATGAATGGGAGCTCCAAAGCGGCAACAGTTACGAGCCTCATCCTCGTGATGGTCTGCACTTTTCAACGGCTACAGGCAAAAGTGTCGACGGCCACGAGAATCGCGCATCGCCAAGAGTCCGTGTTTTCGTCTTCGAACGCTTTCGGACCCTGGCGAACCAAACGTAAACTCTCTGACTCCTGGGACCCCACTTTAAAAACGGGAACCCTGCGCTATGCATTCGGGAAAGCACAGACAGGTAGAGAGAGATGCAAAAAGAGAAAGAGCTGGAGTAGAATGACGGGTTTGGATTTTGGGCTTTGTCGCTGTGGGAGCTCTGAGCGCGGCTTCTGCCTTTGCAGGTCTACTGGCTCCACGAAACACTGTCCAATGCCTTAGAGGTGCCGGCGGGTGCTGCGCTCACCATCAGTGAAGAAGTCTTTGCCTGGGTGCAGAAGACGTTCGGTGTTGGGTGCAAAGGCCGCCGTCAAAGCAAGCCCGGACACTGTTGAACCTTGAGCAGGTTCTTTTTGGGCTGACATTTTTCCTCACATTGCACAGCCGCCTGAGCTCCTCTGCCTCCGGAGCCTTGGACATATTGAAGCAAGTTCTTTCTGCATCTTTTTGCAACAGATCTCCGTAAGTTGGATGGTGACCAGCTCCAGTCTTGAGTCCAGCGGTGTCCCGCTATGCCGCTATGCCGAGGGGTGCTATCATCTCTGGCAAAGTTGTGGGAAGATGCCCAGAAGATCTTCGCAGGAGTGCTTTAGTAAGGGAGTTGCAGTGCATCGCCGCAGCTCACCAAAGCTCTACTGCAGTTTGGCCCTTCTACTGGAAACATGCTTATCTGAGAGTAATATACGACGGCGAGTTGGGATCGAAATGGATCAATGTCATGAGGAGGAGACCTGTCCGAATGGCCCCTGCTCGCACACTGGTATCGGGTGCTTGCAAGCTTCTGGGCTTGGACATCATCCGAGTTTGCTCCGAGTGCGTTCGAGTTTGTGTGCCACCTTCCGCTGATTGATGTCAGGCTACGGCGGGGGCTTCTTAATTCCATTCACGATACCGCTGCACCTTTGCCTACTGCTGTTGGACTTCCACTCGGATACTTGCATCTCACATTCCAGAGTAGAATTTGGACCTGATGCTGTCTTAGTTGAGAAAGTTGCGCCGGCACATGCCCTGTTGCAAGAATATCAGCACCTCAATTGTGGCCACCTGCAGCCCAGAAGCAAATTCTGATATGTTTAGGTCGTTCCAGTTCTGGCGAGTTAGTGTTCAGTCGGGTTATGTGTTCTGCCTTAGGTGTGCGGTTATCTCGGCGTTCTTTAGCCCAGGACTTTCTCATCCTGACCATGTTCTTGCCTCACGTTTTCCTTCTGTGGCATTCAGTGAGTAGTCTGATTATTTCGGTACAGAAAGCCATAGCCATCCTCCTGAACCTGACAGGGGGCCGAGCAAAGGGCTCCAAGAAGGATTGATCTATGTGAAGTCTTCTTTCACATTGGCTTACAAGCCACCAGCAACGACTGGCCTGACATGTGTTACCTGGCAGCCAGAAAGACGTAGTGCAGAAACCATGCGTAGATGGCATCGATTATCTCAATCCAGGCGCTAGCTGTGGCCTGTGCGTGGGCGTGCAAAAAGTTTAAAAAAGGAGTGACATTTCCCGTGCTGCACGTTTGTAGGACGTGGCTGGGTCGTCGGCCTTCGCATAGAATGCCTTGCACTCGCATGTTGGGCTTCTTGAACTTGTCTTTCCCGCATGGGCCAGGCAACGCAGACCTGAGTGCATTTTTTGGAATCCCCTGACCTCCTCTGACATGTGTTGAGGCAGCGGGAGAAGGAGAAGGAGAATCAAGCTCTCCGAGAAATGGCACCCTGGTCAATTCAGGGAGGAACTCGATGGTGCCCGATGGTACTCGTGCTTGCGTAGCTTCTTGGGAGGAGATAATTTGCTGGTCTTGCTGATATGTGAACTGTCGTCCCTGTCGTCAGTCTCCCAGCCTCCCAGCCTCAGCCAGCCTCCAGGTCGCGCTCAAGAAAGTTCAGCTGGAGAAGCTGCTAGCGGCAGTTCACGCAGGCTGCCGCACGAGTTTAGTGCAATCTCTCACCTTGGCTGAGGAACTTTATGTGCACTTCGCGGTATGTAGTGTGGTGACGCCCAGTTTTGTTGCGGGCTCGCGCATTGTGTCAGTGAGCTCGCCGCAGTTCTTGTGGGATGTGCAAGCATGTGCAAATAGCAGCTCGCACAAAGCAGCTAAGGCACCCAGAGCGGCAAAAGCGGGGTTCCGCATGGGCCTCAATCGAGCTGGGTTTGAGGTACAGTGTTGGAGCCACACCCGCCTTTGGGCCTTTGGGCCTACACGCTCCTTCGTCAGTTCCCGTTGTCGGGGGGAGATTTCTCTCCGTCAAAAAGTCTTAATTTCTGGCAGGTGATGGATTTGAGCTGTTGCCATCGGAAAGCCATAAGGTGACCGCCGAAAAGCGATAACGTTCCAAGCGTTGACGTGCAATTTGCCCTTCGAAACCTCTATGGGCGCTTGGCCCACTTCGGCAGGTGATCGTTTTGCTGCAAAAATCAGCGAAAACACGCTTAATTGTGGTAGGCGCAGGGCTGTCTTGCTGCCAAGATCCAAGAAAACACCCCCAAACTGGCAGCTGTCAATGCCAGGAAAGGATGCCAAAAGTCTCCTAGCATGACGAGGTCGGGCAATTTTGGGTTGTTTTGTGGCCGATATCCAAGAAAACACGCCAAAATCAGCCGAGCACAGCGTGGTAGGGTGCCACCAACCAAGACAACCCTCCAAAATTGTCCTGGCACGACGTGGTAAGGCTGTGTTGGGGTGCTTCCAAGACCAAGAAATCACTCCAAATCGTCTTAGCGCGACGTGGTAGGGTTGTTTTTGTTTTTGTTTGGCTCCAAATTAATGAAAAGCACCCCTTAAATTCATTTCGTTGTGAATAAAAAGAAGCACTTGAAAGCTGCCCAAGGTCTGCTGGACCATCGCCACCAGAAGTCGAAGCTTCCCCGCTTTCAGGCCAACCGTCAGCATGCCTGAGCCCGGCACAGGTCGCTTTGCTTGTTGCTTTGGTGAGCGACAGCTTCAACTCCCAACCACGTGAGAAGCCAGCCCCTACAAACTCTGCAGCCCTCTTAGAGGATGGTGTCTTGGAGCTTCAGGTTGTTGCATTATAGTGGGGGTGAAACGATGTAGACAAGAGGGCCAGGCAACAGGTCATCATGCTCGTGACGTTTCTTTCACAACCTACATCACAGATGCTCGCGCGATTCAGACTACAAGCAAGACGCGTCACCGTCACCAGTGTTGAATTCAGTCCATTCTGGGTTCTGGATGAGGTGCGGTTTCTTCTGCGCCTCCGGTGAACGAGAGCGGGTGCACCACGCCTGCGCGGCAGTGCCTAGATGGAAACTCTGGCAGTGCAGCTAGAAATACTGTGTAGAAGGCGCCATGGGCAGCTTCTAGAGATCGTGCGAGGATTGGAATAGGATTGGAGTTTTCGGAGAGGGTGGGATACCAAGAAATTCGGTTGTTCTGCCTGGAAAAGGCCGACTGCGGCTTTGCACCAGTGTCTATCCAGGGGAATCAAGGCAGCTTGAAATTGCCAACTGTCATCATTATTGGAAGCCTGCTTGCTAAGGCAGCCATGGATTCCAGCGACTTGGGAATACAGAGCCTGAGTGCATCGGCCAGCTCACACGATCAGAAGTTCCCATTTCCAGGTCTAGGCGGAAGCGACGATCTGCTGGATTTGGCAAACTTGACACACTGCCTTCGCTTCTCCGGTGATGCTCCTCATCCTTCTCTTGTGTTCTGAGGTAGGGCAGCCATCTGCGCCCCCGCCTAGCACTCCAAATTTTCCAGCGGCACCGAGCGACTTATGCAGCATGAATGATGGGAGGATGCGTCGAGTAGCTCTATCAGTGCTTAAGTAGAAGCTTCAAGCCAGCCCTAGCTAGACGGTCCTCCGCAACTATCAGCAAGTGATGCTCTATTCTCGACTCAATCTCCAATGGGCCGCACGTTTTTACGCATTGACCTATTTTTATATGCACTTTGCATTCAATTTCTGGTCCGGTCAGCATCGTACACGTGGCTTCAGCTAAGAGTTCAGGCCCATCGACGCCGAGTTCCCCAATTCCATTGGACTTTGAGTACGAGCGAGGAGTTTGTGCTTTGCCTCTGAAGTACAGGTGAGCTTTGGTGCAGACGCCGTTGAGTGAAAGGACCTTCAGTGGCAAGTCTGCTGCCCAACACGGAAGCAGACAGTGCCACCCAGTCGGGCACAAGCAGCAGAGGCGCATAATTAGATCAGTCTACAGGGTGGCCAGGACACAAAAAGGCACAGCCGTCTTCGGCCCAGCAGAATGGGGTCTTCGTTTCAGTGGCATGCACTGGTGCTTGTAGTATAGGCTGTAATGATATGTAGTCATGGCGATGTGATGGTTGCCAGTGAGCGGTTGGAAGGCCTTGGCTCGGAAAGGCGGCTGGTGGATGACGCGCTGATGCTTGGCCAGGGTAGCCAAGGGACATAGCGCATAGCGGATCAAGGATGACCAAGGGTGTTCGAACAGGCAGCACTCCCTCTGCTCCCTGCAACACGAGCATTGATAGAGAGTGCATTATGAGCAGGGAACTTCACCGATACCAGCTGGCCTAAACCACCAGCTGGCCTAAACCATTGCAAGATGTCTGTCTGCTGTATGACTGCGATTGGCTCGCAGCCGAGGATGATCCAGCTTGCCAGCTCTCTTTCCAGCAAGGCGTTCCTTTGAGAGATTTCCCATGCAGGAATTCCCCCCCGATGCTCTGGACCTGAAGAGCTTCATGCCTCAGATTTTTGTCAAATCCAGCCTCAAGCCTGCTAGTGTTCAAAGCTCACCGGTGGAAGTCTTAGATCATGAGAACCACACGTGCTCCGCTTTCCCGAAAGCGGCGGTGAAGCTGCACATGCTAGCAGGCAGATCCACCTAGCCCCGTGCCGAAAGCTGTCCCTCGCGCCTCTGCCGCAAATGAGGTGAGCTCTCAACATGGGTAAGGTATGGTAGGTGGATATGGCACGGCATGTGGGCACCAGCCTCCACCAGCCTCCACCAGCCTCCACCAGCCTCCACCAGCCTCCACCAGCCTCCACCAGCCTCCACCAGCCTCCACCAGCCTCCACCCTCCAGCAGCCTCCAGCAGCCCCTGGCCTGAGGCGGCGAGTCGACGCTGCACCGCAGCGACTCGGTGAGCTCGTCATCCGTGCCCTGCTTAGGAGTCCCACCGGCTCTCTCCATCTCAGTGTTGCGTTCCTGTTGCAGCCAAGTGCTACCACGTACTACCTTGATGGACATAGAATATGTAATGACGTCTTAGACAACTACCTGTTCTGTTGCCTGCTTCTGCAGTGCCGTTGCGTTGAAAGCCAAACATCGCTCGTTTCTGCTTTTGTGGTTAGAAGCTTGGGGACCACCTGCTGCAATATGAGGTCCCAATGTCCCAGATGTACAGGCCGAACGCGGAGGGTCAAGGCCATGAGTCATTCATGATTCACGTGTCACCAGAAGGGGGATCTAGGGAGGAATTGTTTGGGAGAACTTTGGTATGAGGATGCTCTTGCGCGAAATTAGTTGAAAGTACGTGATGAAAATGAAACTTGTGTTGCTCATGAGCAGGCGCACCGCGACGCTGAGGGAGGAGCGAGGAAGCTGCAGGAAGAATCGGGCGTCACTTTGAGTCCCCAGAAATGCTGAACATGTGTTCTGTCAGCTTTTGGGGTAGTTCGGCTTGCTGCCGCCTGCTTCTTTCTGCTGCTTGCTTTTCCCAAGCCTGTTGGCAGCCTGCAGATTGTTGCTTGCCGCTTGGCAACCTCTTCGGCATCTGTTGAGCATCTGAGCACCTGCAAGTCAGCGACCCACGTGTATGATTGTGTATGCGCGTGCGTTCCGTGGTGCTCAGCACTCCAGAATTGGGTCGTGCCAGCTCGGAGCTTGCTTCGCCGCATGGAGCTGCGGGCAGTTCAGTCTCACAACCTCGGAATTGCAAATAGATAATGTAGACGATGTCAATCAAACTGGGCTGTCCTCCCTGCTTGTCTGCTTTTTGCTACTTCTACTCTGGCTGATAATTTTAGTGACTTTTCTTCTCAGTAGGCTTTTTGTGAAAGGGCCCAGGCATGCCCAGGCCGATAAAGGCCCACTAGCATACCGCGGGCATCCTCGACGGGGCTCTGCTGAGCGTCCCGTCATCCCGCGTTTATGCTGGCAGTAGAGCCAAAGAGTGGGCTCTTTTGCCAGCTTGGTGATCGTTTTGTGCTCTGGGGACGTGTTTGGTCCTCTTCTTGGCAGATGAAAAAGGAATCCCAGCCACGAGACGTTGCTTGTGCAACCAATGCTTTGACTGCCATAAATCGTTTTCCTTAGGGAGAGCATTTTCATGGCTGTTGTGCGTGATATGCGTGTATGATTCTGTACGATGCAAGAGGGGGCTTTTGACGGCCGGGGGCTAAGTATCTGTCGCGCACAGACATGACGGCTCTTCATCGGAATACCCGGCTCTTGAAGCTAGCTCCTGGACACCTAGAGAATCTAGATATGGTCCCTTCTAGTCCGACAGTCCAACAGGCTGTAGAAGGCCAATATGACCACACGAGCCTTCGTGCAACCCTATATACGGAGACCCTGCCTTTCTGTTCCTCTTATCAATAATGTAGCCAGCCAGCTGAAAGCAGGAACCAAGAGCATTCAGAAGAGATTCAACGCTTGGCCTTCAAAGGCCCATCCAAAAGCAGCCCACAGCCCAGAGAAAACAGCATCCCGAGTCAGTTCGTTACCATGAAGCCGATGAAGCCCTTACGGCTGCTGCTGGCATTTTTGATGCTCCTGCGGCATGGCAACGGCGATGAGGATGTGTTGCTCAGCTGCATTCAGCTTCGGTTTCAGTCGCTCTCGCTCTCCTCTCGCTCTCTCTCTCTCTCTTCTCTCTCTCGCTCTCTCTCTCTCCTCTCGCTTTCTTTCTTCCTTTCTTCCTTTCTTCCTTTCTTTCTTTCTTCCTTTCTTCCTTTCTTTCTTTCTGTATTTCTTTCTTTTTTCTGTTTCTGCCTCTGCTCCACCCTCCGCCCCACGACATTCCTCTCGTTTTGTCTTTTTGCAAGCCGAATGTAAGCCGCACATGAGAAGAAGGCTCAGGCCAGAATGATCCGGAAGCTCAAACCTCTGCACGTTTAGCCACACAGGCCCAGACATGATGCACAGAGATCCGGAGGTGAAGCTGAGCCTGTGCGGAAACCAAGTGGTGCAGGTCATAGCTGAAGGCACGGAACATGCAAACCTCCTGGTTTTCTGTACAGCCCGACGACGGGGCTTGATACGTAAATCAATATCTCGACAGGCTCTAGGCCACCAGAAGCACCAATGTGGAGGGGGTAAACCACAGTGCCAGAATGTCGGACAAGCACGTTTCTTCCATTCGGGAAAGTTCTTGTGGGTTTGAGTTTCCCTGGAATATCTTGTAGCTGAGGTTCCCTGTTCACCTCATGCTTCAAGCGGCCGTCGGGCAGGAGGCCGACCGTGTACAGGCCTCGTGCGTGCCTGACGCAGCCGCTGCGAAGTGGAGAGAAGGCGCACTACGGGGCTGTCAGAAATGTCTTTTGAAGACAATTTGGAGACCCAGCTTCTGCTGGAGGATGCTCTCAGAAAGTGCTCGCAAACTGATGATGATGGTTTCGTGTTTGTCGAATTTCTACCTGTTCTAGGCCTCTGGCATGTAACAGTGTAGAAGTGGCTGGTTTCATATTCGTCGCAAGTTTTGGTCTACATACGGTACGGTGTAAGTACAGGCAAAAACTAAGTTCACACCAGGTTCAACTTGTCCGCAGCCCATACAGTTGCGTCGCCCAAATCGCTGTGGGAAGGCTTCACGGGAGCCGTGGAAACGCCACTTGGCTAATAAGGCTTAGTCAGGCCTTAGTACGATGACTCTACGATTTGGCTGATGTGGCAGCCTTTGACCCAACACGACTTTAGACTTGAAACGAAGATGCTTTGTTTCTCTGTCGAATGAGGATGATGCAAAAGACCAAGCGCACGATGCAGCTGGGCTTGGCATCATTGGCCAGAGGAGTCTTGATGCTCATAGACGCATCTTGGCGGCAGCTGACCGGGCATGATCTTTCGTAACGACATTCGTAGGTACTCCAGCAAAGCATGCTGGTATTTAGGTGCTCCGGCAATGCATGTTGGTGTTTCATGTTCCGCTCGCCGCGGCGTTGAACCGAAAGCCTAGCCTGCAATCTTGCGCTCGTCACGCCGTAAATTATCCAAGAAGCATTGAATGGCCAGGAAAGCAGTTCTTGCGGAGATTTGCGGGCGTTCCAGCTTCTCAAGGAGCAGGCAAAGAGGCCTCATTCTGTTGCTACTGGCTTGGTGGCTAGAAAAAATAGAGCCGCTTGCTGGAGACATGTGGTGGCATTCTGAGATTCCTGCAGTTTAGTGAAAGGACTTGGCTGCGACCAAAATTCTGCGTAGCTTCCTTTTGGACCCGTCCCACGAGTGAAGCGATACAAACACGACAGTCGGTAAACGTTGCAGGCTCGAGGTACTTGCCAGCACGCGCAGCCTCGCAGGGCTGGATGCATCGGCCACTTTGCGGCATCGGTCGTGTCCCAGGTTTGAAGTTTAATAAAGGTGAAGTTTAATAAAGGAGCTTGCAGGATCGATGTATGTAGTATGTGTAGTAGTGAAATGTAGTAATGTGGAAGCAGGCTACTGTCCCATTTTGGAACCTCGCTTGGCGGTCTCCATGACACTCAGAGCTGAAGAAAGCTCTGCGGCCCATGTTCGTGTACCAAAGCGGAGAATGGGCTGTGAGGTAAGTCGAAAGATCGAAGATCAGCGTCAGGGGCCTTGAGCCTTGTAAGGAGCTTGGGAATACTAGAATGTGCTTGTGAGATCCAGCATGCACAGAGGCTTGCAGAAATCCATCCGCCCACTAACATACACATAGTGACCACCTATCCAGATTACTTGCAGCTGACCATTAACCTCACTACTTTCAAAGCGGAGGTGAAGTACGAGCCTCTCAAATCCCTCACAGTTGGGGGAATTGATGCTCCTTGGCCTGTTTACGTTTGCTTGGTACAGCTGGCAAGCACCTAATTCGCGCTGTGGATCAAAAGACTTGAGCCTAGTGGGGTGAGAAGCATTCGGCCCTCGGTTGAAGCCGACGACTCTGTGGACAGGTCCACCTCGAACTCAACGCACTGCTCGTGGCCTGGCAGATGAAACGCGGCCCTGGCGAAGTCGGCTCAACATTGGCAAAGCTGCTCGGAGGGGAAGCTACAGGGCATCGGCTGCGTGTTGATTCAGCTTACGCTTGTATTGTGGTAACGCAAGCCGTCATTGACCTGCACAGAAGAAAAGCCATGATAGCCAAGCTTTCACCCTGAACATGTTAGTCACTAGATGGCACTTCAGGCTGCGAACCGCTTCAAGCCTTAACCCACGTTTGTTGCTGTTGCAGCTGCAATTGCCATTGCAAGCCATTGTACGCCTTCAGTACAGGAAGCGGTCAAGAGGCCATGAGAGGCCAACCATTGCAAAGATCGATGTGAAAAGAAGTCGGCGCTAACTCCCGGTGCTCTGTGCCTCTGTGCAATGACATTTCTCGACATGGATCACTGAATCACATGCAGGTTCCTGGCTGACTTCTCCGCAGATGCCGACGACGCTCCCGAAGCTCCAGAACCTGAGGCCAATGGCTCAGAGGAATGCGCATATGTAGCTCTTGGATATCTTGCCGCTTCCTGGCCCCTGGAGCAGCCCAGACACATTCAGAATAGTCTCAGAGTCTCAGCTCTGCCAGGCAGCGGCGGAAGTGGTGGAGCACCGTCCTGGGTCGCTGCAGCGCAAGCCGCAGTTCTGGACGGCGATGCTGAATCAGGAGCCCAGATTCATCAGAATCAGGTGATCGGTTGCTAGATGCGCGGCATCGAGTTCTCGTATGCGCCTACAAGCAGCAGGCTCTCACTAGCTTGGCGGCAGCACCAGATCGGCCTGTTGCTGCCCGGCCAAAATCGAAATGCATTCACTTGCTTAGCACGGCTGCTCTGCAAAAAGGGTTCCAAGTCTTTTGAAGCTTGAGCAGAGGTGGAAGCCTGCATTTCCGATGGTCTGGCGGGCTTTCACGCGGACAGGTTTGATGAGGCGTTTCCTGGCATCGTCAAGATACAGCCGGTGGCAGCCGGTTGAATTTGCAGACCGCTTCTGTTGGGATAGGGTGTGTAAGTGTATGTCACAGCCCGTTTCTCCTAAGCAAGGCATGTAGGCATTGGCATCCTACAGATCTTGCCACATATATATATATATATATCTTGCGCAGACTCCGTTGTGGACGCGTGTGGACCATGCGATGGCACGTCGTGGCCTATCATTCCCTCACAGCAGAATCAGAGGCTGCTCAAGACTGGCTGCAATGCCCATACTCAGGTTTGGCCGGATGATGCAGAAGACGCAGCGGAGTATGCAAGCTGGCTTGCGAGTCTTAGCCTCGACGACGCAGGCGGATGCTGGAAGTACACCCAGTTTGTAGAAACTGCTGTCGGGGTTTTGTTGCCGACTTTCTGAGCCTGCTGAAAGTTGCAAATGAGGCGCTGCTGAACACTCTGCAGGACATGACACAGGGCTTCGCCTGCATTGCCTAGGATCACACAACGCTGCAAAGAAACTGCCATTGTTTTTGCAAGAGCCACTGGCGCGATCAAGCTTGGAACGGGAACTAATAGACTTCGAGGTTCAGACGTGTTCTTTTTGTGGGTTCTTCTCGTGATCTGCTTGGCGCAGTTTGCCTAGCTCATTTGGCAGATCCTTCCAATCTACTGCCTTCTGCTGGCTCTCTGCGCGGTGTATCTTTACGAGCCAAAGACAGCCGAAAGCCAAGCCAGCATTTAAAGCAGAGTCATTAGTGTGAAATGCCTGATTCCCGTCGAAGAGTTGGAAGTTGCGCCGACCCCTTCAACCTTTCGCCGATCACCCGCGAAAAGCCCACGAAACGTATCTCAAGAGAGTATCAAGGGTTTCCGCAGCTTACTTCCGAAGCCTCACCTGCTTGCAGCAGCCTGCAAGGGTCTTGTGACACTTGTGCCTGCAAGTTGCAAGGAGCAAGGTCACTGTCCAGAGGTGCGCTCCTCACAAGGCCATGGCACTGGAGCCACTGCCGGGGAAATAGTCGGGTACCGTGCAGCGGGTGGCCGGCCTTTGGGCCTGGATCTGTTGAATCTTTGAGCAGAGGTGTCGCCCGGCTGCGCCTGGCCGCTAATCGGCTCGAGACGTTGGTTGGGACGCGGCAGCTTGGCTTGGTCCTGGCTTGGTACTGGCTTGGTCTGGGTCGGCTTGGAGATCCCGCCTGATGTGCGGGTCCAACCAGAGTTAGGACCCAGACTGACTGCAGAAGGTGCGCGTCAAGCCCATTTCAGCTGTCACAACCTGAACGTGCATGACTGCCAAGGTCGCTTGTCAATCCTGGGGTCAAGGTCAAGTACGAAGCGATGCAGATGCTGACGGTGGGTGGGCTCGATGTTCACCTTGAGCTTCGTGGTATGCGATGCCTTGATCGAGTTTTCAGGATTAGAAGACATGCCAGCAGATTTATGCGAGCTGATGAGGGGCTTGATTCTATAGAACTGGTGAGCTGTCAAGAACTGCGCCCAACCAACTGTAAGGTTGAACAAGCTCATCGGTGCCTGGATATCTGACAACAGGCCGAAGTATGGTTCAGACCGTACTGGTAGCAACAAGGCCTTGTAGCATGTGCAGCAGCAGGCTTGCTAAACGGGCAGTGGGCCATGCCATTTAGCAGAAGTTGCGACCCATATCCAGTGATCAGGGCAGAGCAAGTTGGTGACAGCTTGGCTGGCTTCTTTGACGATTTCAAAGCGAAAGAGGAGGAGACCGAAGCTGCCGCTGGGTGATTCCAGGGGAATAGGAGGGTCAAGCAAGCGGTTAGTTTCAGTTAACTACTGTCCGAACCTCTTTCTCGCCGTTGCTTTGTGCTGAGCCAAGGAACCCAGAAGCGGGCAAGAGGCGGCAAAAGCTGCAGCTTGTGTCGAGTTTCCAGTGGGCATAGGTGTCGGGTTTCAGTTGCAGGTTGTGTAGGACGCTACCGGGTGTTCACGGTGGTCGCCTATGTCAGCTTGTCAGCGCGTGACCACAGAAGGTTCCAGAAGTCAGAAGTCATGCAGTTTTGCCATAGTGCAGACCGGACACAGTCACCACTCCTTGACCACTCCTTCACCACTCCTTCACCACTGCTTCCCATCTTTGCCCAAGCAGTTTGAACATGTTTGAACCATTTGAGCTCCAAGGAGCCCGAGCTGGTGCAGATGATCTCGGATGCAGTTTCCGGCGCTGGTGGCGGCCACTCGCCGTGACAGATGGGTTGGTTTGGGCTTCCCATGCCTGATGCTTGCGCTCATTGTGCTCATGAGGCGCAGCGGGGAGCTGCTTCGAGATGCCTGCGTTGGAGGCCTTTGCGCGCCAGGCGCGGTGAGACCTTTTTTGCACGGCAACGGTCTGTCGGACTGTTGCTGAGAGCAGGTGGAGGAGGCCCTCGAGGAAATGCTGAAGAAGCGCCGGAAGACCATGCAGCAGGGGCAGCTGAGCTGCTGAAGTGCTTGCCGGACTTTTGGCAGAGCCGTCATATCCAAGATCAACCCTACACAAAGCACCAAAAGCACCGAACAGCACCAAGCGGGCTTTAGAATCTATAGGTGTTGGGAAAAAGCGCCACTGAAACAGCAAATAGGGTCTGTAGATGTTTTGTAGTCCCATTAGATTGTTTAGGGTCTTCAGGGTGTCTAGACTTTGAATGTTTAGAAGTTTGGGGTTTTGAAGGTTTCAGTTTATCTTTCACGATCTAGGGTCTGTAGGCCTGAATAGTTTTGAAGTTGTGGGCCCTTGGGTGATTAGAGAGGATTGTAGGGTTCAGCGTGGTTCGGGATTTCAGAGTTTGGGGCCTAAAGGGCTGTTGGACCGCTTCGAGGGTTTTTAGGGTTCTTAGGGTTTGGGGCTGTTCTTTGTAGGCATTTGATGAAGCCGAGGTGAACTGCTCTGATGGGAGGTGGTGTGTGTGTGTGTGTGTGTGTGTGTACTTGTGGCCTCACCTACTTGGGAATGAGGTCGCAAAAGCATCACGCACCAAAAGCACAGAACAGGCGTCCAAACCGAAATCCCTGCACCAAGAAGGCAGGAACGCGCCCCCACTGGTACAGCATATTGCAGCATCATTATGCGAACAAACAGCAAAGGCACAGCACGGCAGCCTCACGTAATGAAGGAACAAGAGTCTGACATGGCTATGGAATTCGGTCGTCGGCGCCACACTTCATCCCTAAGCAACACAAGGGCTGTGTCCCTCTGACCCCATGCATGCTCGCTGCTCCATGGAACCTTTCATGAACCATCAAGACTTTCAAACTTTAAGTTAAAGGGCGCTGAACAACGCCAACCATTTTGCAGCTGGCCTGTAGGATCCGCCACAATTGCAGACTGCAGAGGAATAGGAAGCATACTCGCTCACATGTCTTGGCGTGTCTTGCAGTACCTCAGGCTGCGGGAGCTTGCTGATGCCGTGAGCAGGCTCTTTAACCTCGTGGGCACGGAGTGCAGGCCGCCCTCCAATCTGTGGGTCTGTGGCGCGTGTGGCCAAGATGAGCTAAGAAGCCCCACTTGGAATTTGACGTAAAAGTTTTCGCGAAGCTCAACAAACTTGCGGCTCGACACACTTTCTTGGTTTTTGGTCAAGAGTTTTGCGGAACCTCAAGAGATCTCATTCCTGGTCGCAGGGAGCTGCCGGGTGTTCGCACAATCCTCCAGGGCGCTGGAAAGCTGCGTAAGCTCACGCGCAAGACCCTCGTGGACTATGGAGCGCAGCTTGGAGAGAGTCAGAGCATAAGATGCATGCGCACCACAATGGAAGGAAACCATCTAAGCTCGAAGGGAGAGAACAGTCGATGCCATGCAAAAACATGCAACAGTGCAACGCTCAGCTGAATGACCTGAAGATCCAGAGACCATTCCCTTGCTCTGGGTGGCTTACGCACATCGCATTGAAGACTGTGCCGTAGCTTCCAGCTGCACGACTATTGATCATTGTTGCTTTGCAGGTACATCAAGTACGAGGCCTTGAAGTCACTGGAGGCCAATCCCTTCCAGCTTGTTTTCTGCAGCTCTTTGTGAAAGTCCCTCCTTTCGCAACCCGTGCAGCCTTCCAAAGGTTGGCGGGGTGATGGTGCACACAGAGCTGAATGCCTTCATAGCAGCATGGAAGCTCCGAAGCCGGCGCGCATCTTGGCGTTTGGATTGCTATGACTGTCCTGGCCGGCAAGCAGTCACGTTGAAGATCAGTCACAACTCACTGCATCCACTGCGCAATCCCTTGACGACAGCTTAGTAAATGTGAGCACACGGCTGAGTTCAGTTCATAGTTCATAGTTGCTTAAGGTGCTTCTCACTTGCATACACGTTTTGTGTGGCATGCTGAGGAAGCCGGGCAACCGCTCGGCATCCTTTTCAAGCGACTCTCCACTATCAGCGGTCATGACGAGTTCTGAGAGCCGGGAAAAAGAAGGCCACGCAATGGCCATGCAAGCTGCAAGATTGGGTTTGAGTGACTTGAATTGGGCTCCAGTCCACCCATGGAAGACACTTGGCAGTAAGGACTACCACACCTCAAAGTTTTGCGCTAGTCGTTGAAGCCCACCGTTCCGTCGGGTTTGTTGCAATGTGGTTCTGCAGCTGTTGTTTAACTCAGGGGCAGGGACGCCTTGGTTGGGTTGCAATCTCGTCATTAAGATGTCTCATTTCTTGATTCGTGGGATGCTTGGAAACTCTTAAAGAACAGTGAGGCTGAGACGCCCTGCCGAAAAGTCTTTGTCAGTGCCGTTGCCATGTGCTTCGGAACATGTTCTGCCATGTAAGTGTCATCCTGAGCCGGCAGTAACTGCAAGTGCTCGTGATGTCTCACCATTCGTTCCAAGCATGGATTGCGGTGCTGGTTGCCACGCTGGGCTTCGGGTCACTTTATGTTCCCGTCAAGAACTACGAGATCCATGACGGACTGGTCTATCAGTGGTTTCAGTGCTGTGGAATATTGTTAGCAGGTCTGATTTATGCATGTTGCCGAAACGACTGGGACGCGGCTGCTCGACATTATATCGATACCAACCACCAGTGAAATCACACTCGCACGCCACGTGCCGCACGCCGCACGCAGGTCCTCCAGCCCGCAGGGTAATTCTCCGCAACTTCAGAATCAAGCGCATGTGTGCTCCAAGGTTGGTCGCAGTTCTCCAGGCTTCTACGTTTGCAGAGAGGGCCTGCTCTCGGGTCTGTTTTTTCAGTCTCTTGGTTGCAAGTGTGATGGTCGATGGGATGCCCATCCGAAAAGATTCAGCATCCGTCCTTAAGCGAACATGCTTGACTCGATTGGGGCAGCTCTTCCCTAAAGGTCTATCTCCCCCTCTCTCTGTCAATTGCTCGCTGCGGGAGTCAAGAACACGCCTAACGCTATTTGTGCAGTGCATATGGAAGCACGCGGCTGCTCCATGAATTCCACGTGTAACTGAAGCGAGGCTCGCGAATGTCCTGGCCACGCAGTCTGTGAAGTCTTTCGGCATGAGCAACTACTTCACTACGCAGATGCTTGGTTGCAGGTGCTCAAAAGGGATGCGTCCTCGTTGTTGCAATCTGTGCTTCGCACCAATCAACAACTGTGCCAAGCGTTGAACCAGCCGTCATGACCGGTCCATTGCGCTTGTGCGAGGCGGGTGGAGGTAGTACCGAAGCGGAGTAAGAAAAGAAGATGAAGACAGATCTGTTCCTGTCGCGATCACGGTTCCGTACAGTGTTGTGGTTGCAGTGGGGTGATTGAACGATGCAGCCGATGAAAATCTGTAGATGTCGGGCGTTCGCTGCAATTCCGGTAGGGAGCACGCGCTACCTGCTCAGTCGGGATACAGCAACGGGCATGTGAACTATTTTTCTTCCGACTCCCTGCCACTCACCGGCAGGCGGCAGGAGACGCAAACTCCGCGCACATCCCGCCGTGACCAACAGGGCTCGGACCCAAAGCCTGACACCATGTGCAGCAAGCACCTGCGCAGTATCACCTTAAAGACATGGATCGAGAGTCTTCATTGCCAGGTGTCATCACAACACATGCAGCGTATGCTTGCCAGACATGCAACATGTAGATACCTCACGGACCCGAGCAACAAAATGGCTGCAAGAACCCTTGCTCTCAATTCGGGGCTCTTGCTGGGCAGGTGGCAAAAATCCGGCATTCAACTGTAATGTTGGCAGTCCATTCGCTACGATGACTTGGCGCTATTCTCTTGCAGGCGCAAGCTTACGTAGGTCTGGGTGGTAGTTGATGTCACGAATACACGGGTCAGTGCATGGTTTTCATGTTTTTGAGCACAGTTGGATGCCGCAACCGGTGCCGGTTAGCTGCCGGTTTTCTTGTAGCATCACCGTGCCGCCTCCAAGGAAGGTGACCAACCTGGGTGGGGCGCGCCTTGTCTGAGCAAGGATCGGATTCCTTCCAGTGTCTTGGCTGTTGCTGCTGTAAGCTGCTGGCACGGCACTTCTTAACTAAAACAACCCCCGCAGAGCTGCTTGTGCACGTGGCACGTCAGGGGCTATACAAGCGAGCCCCGTGGAGGTTGGAGATCCTCGAGGCAGCCTTAGATATGGAGAAGACGGCACACGATACATCGCGGACACTGAGCGCCCAGGACCAAAGCAGGCCGAAGCCTCCCCACGGCTGCCTCCCTTTGTGCTGTTCTCTGTTCTGGTGTCGAGTGGCCGCGTGCACTGGTGCAGACTCCTTCTGCCACTTCTGGCACGCCTGCCCCCTGCCGCGTTGTCTCGTCAGTACCGCCATGTTCTGCCAGCGCATTTTTTTTGCGGCCAATTACGCCGGCAGGAGGCCCCTCCTTCTTCAACTTCGGTTCCTTTGCAACTGTGCTGTCCTTTGATGGGAAGTGCCACCACCTAAAGGATGCTTCACATGTTGGCCGTTTCCTTTACTTTGCTACGTTTCCTCGGTGTATCCTGCTCGTTTTTTCACTGGTGTGTATTGAGATGATCTCTTGCTCTATCCGTTTTCTCCAATCTACGTGTGTTGACAGATGCACGTCGGTATGCCTTCCGGACGAGCACGATCCCGGAGCAGGGGAAGTTTACCCTCTTGGCGCATCGTGTCAGATATTCATCAAGGCACAAGCGCAACAGGCACGAAACGTCTTCCCTCTACTTCCTGAGGCTCTGGCATGCTCTGGCCGGCCCAGAAGACGATTTCCTCGTGTGGTGAGGAGAAGTTCAACCATGCTCAACCTCGAAGCTTCCACCGCCTCCAAGAACAGACGGCGACTCACGAAGCCAAGATGCGCCGGCTGGCAGCTGCCCCTGCGCTGTCAAGCGTCTGTTGCACCTGCGGTGAGTGCTCTTCCTCCGCAGCATGCACTTAAAGGGGCCTTAACATTGATGGTGTTGGGGCTTATGCTGCATAGGCTTAATGTTTTGCTACCTCATCTGCAAAGATGTAAAAAGTGCAGGGCAACTCAGCCCTTGTTGGTGACAGTCAAAGTCGGTGACTCTGGTGTTCCCAACCAAGTCCCAGCTCACTGTACAGCCCAAAGTTGTCGAAGTCATATCCCGATTGCACCAGAGACTTCCAGGCTCTTCCTCGGCTTGTACGGCAGCCAGCTTGGCCTTCCCTCGGCAACTCTGCTGACAATCTGCTGACCATCGCGCGTGGTTTTTGGTTGTCAGATCCGAGAGAAGTTGAGCCCATGACATGCAGGGAGTCCTTTCGAGGTGCCACCACGGAGTCCCGCGATGGCCATCGCAGGAAGTGTGCCTTGGCAGTGAAGCCTAGGACGTTTCGAGCCTCTTCGGTTTCCGTCCAATGGTTGGAATAAGAAAAAGGATGTTGGGAAACCCCTTTGGTTAATATTAATACTTACGCAAACACTCAGCCGTTTTTGCGCTGCTGCAGGGCGCGCGGTCGAGGCACATGTGGACCCAGCGGCCGGCAACCCTAGTAAACAAAGTACGGCCCTGGCATCTGCAGGGGGTCCTACGGTCCTACCTTCTTAGGAAGTCCGAGAGGAGTTCCACGGGGTCTTAGGTGGTCAGGCCTTCCATGGCGGTGGAGACATTTAGAAGGTCCCCAACAAAGGTTCCTTGAACTCCCAGGAGGTCCCAGGTTCCTTCGCGTCGTTGACGTTGCATAGCTTGTCTGAAGGTGTGCGTGGTGGTTGCCATGGTCCCGTTGGCATTCACAAAGCTCGAGGGCAAAGGCCGCCTATGTCGGCACTCACGTGGCAGTAACCTGTGAGACAGATTTCCTTCTTCAGCTCTTCAGCATGCTGTGCAGAACCTCCACCGTCAACTGCGTCAGCATCGCCAGCGCTACCAGACGCTTCTGCAAGATGGCAAATTTGTTTGCTTCTTGATGTTTTGTTGTGAGCGGCTGATGCACATTGCCGTTTGAGACCTCGGCCACGGTTGTCGAGCAATGGATCAATAATGCAGCTGAGCACTCTAGAACTGAATGTCCAGGCATCTGTACATGCAGTGCCCATGCAGGACAGGAGGCCTCACCTGATACCACCTCACCATGGTGACATGGGAGGTTACATCATGCTGGAGGACGATCCCCAGGCCAGACTCTTCAGGGTACGCACATGGAGCTCGTCCAATCTGAAAGCCCTAGTTGGTCTCCGATGCTGCAGGAAATTGATACAGGGGTTTGCCAGGACCCCGCTGACAACTTGACCGTGACGACGTTGTCCGCAGGAGATGCTGGGACACCGAGGCATGCTGGGCGTGCCTGGATGACAGCGCAGCATTGTTTTGTTCGACTTGTCCTGCCAGATGTTCGAAATGACAAGAATGTGCAAGATAACTTGCAAAGTTTGACCGCCCAGGTTCCAGCTGGTTTGTTGGTCTGGCCTGGTCACTGCTCGCAGGACTTGCCTTTGCTGCTATATATGTGCCGATTCTGCCCTGGCGCCACCGAATGAAGGAGCAACGTGTCGTGTTTTCGCCCTTTGACTATTTCCTTTCCATTAGCGTCGGCCTTTTCATGGCCTCGACTGCCTACATGTTTGCTGGCGGAGCGTTTCGCAAATTGCAGGGCAAGAAGATGAAGAAGTCTGTCCTGCGGCCTGCGTTGCTTAATGGGATGATGTGGTCTGCTGCCAGCATGGCCCAACTGTACGCTCTTGCAGAAATGCCATATGCCGTGGCATATTGCCTTGTTTGTGGCGGAGAGGTGGCTGTGAGCCTTCTTTGGGGCATCTGCGTTTTCAAAGAGGCAACCACGGCACACAACCTCAGATGCACTCTCGTGGCATTTTGTGGCGTTGTGTTGGGTGTCGTTTTGGTGGCCTTCTCGAAGTAATGGTGCGCTCGGCGGCCTCACATGAAGCGACAACGTGCAGCCACGTTCTGTCGGAGCAGCTCGAGACGTCAGTTGAAGCCATCCAGCAGTCTGACCCCGGCTCCACAATGTTCGGCAAAGGAGCACTTGCGACTTACGAGTTGGTGCTCCTCGCGAGACGTCCGGGTGGGGATGGTTCACATCCATGGATTATGATCTGTGGTGCCACTGTTTTCGGCTGGATTGCTGAGAGCAGGCCAGGCTTGGAAAAGAAGAGTTCCCAGGCATCGCGGTCGAGGCTTGGATAGTCTGTCCTTTCGGCATGTGCGAGCGCACCCTGCGCCAGTAGGTATGTAGTGAACCGAGGTTCAGTGGATTCAGGTTTTTATGGCATCCACGTGCGGTGGTTCAGAGAAAGCTTTCATTTCGGAGATGATGCTGATGATGATGCATAATGTACATGGCAGGTGCACACATGTTGAGGACAATAGTTGTGTCACTGCTAACGCCCGAAATTCCGAAGCACATGCTTCTCTTCGGTTTTCCCAAGCACCCTTCCGAGAAACCACGTTTGCCCTAAGGGAACTTTTTTGCCTTCTAGACTGTTCCCTTCCCCACATCCTTGTTGCACGGAGTATGGTTTGGACAAGATGTACTTCATAAGTTTGAATAAGGACCACCGAAAGCTGGTCATGAGGGTGCAAAGTCGTCTTGGCAGAAAATCATGATGCAAGCCGGCTGCGCAGGGGAAAGAAACCGCATGCAGATCGGACATCAGATCTGGCACAGGAAGTTAGTCTTCACGAATAGGCCAGAAGACGTGACCGTTGTCCATCCTGTTCTGAAACTCAACCCGCACAGTTCATTCAGTTCAGAGGTATGTAAAGCATCAACGGCCTTGTATACAGTCTGAGGGAAGAGATGTCACATCGAGCACTTGCGACACAAGATTGGGCTCATCAGGCTGAGCCTTGCCTGAGCAATGCGGCGTGTGGCTTCGGCTCGCCCTTACAGCGTACCGTGGCATACAAGTTTGGATGCGACGGAGGCTTCAAGTGAGAGATTCGTCTTCTAGCCTTCCTGGCCTTCCAGGCCTTCCAGGCAGCAAAGTTGCCAGCAGCAGCCCATGACCTGTAGGCAGCAGGAAAGCAGAAAACAGCTGGAAGCAACGATTCTTTTTCCGCAAGCCAGGTGGCATCCGCCCGTGCCAAGACCCAGCTGAAGTGCGCACTTACGGCAAAAAGCCTCGCGGCACGCCAGCGGCGAGTGCAGCAGGAGCCTGCAGTTGAAGAGAGTGCAGCGAAGTAGAGATAGATGCCCCAGTTTCAACATGTGAAGAAAGTGTGCAAATCGCAGGATTTCCTTTTCTTTGCGAATGACTACAACCTTGTAACATGCATCACACCGCTTACTGGCATTGCAATCTGCGACTTCAGAGCCCTCGTTTTGCCTGGGAGGTTTTGCAGCAGAAGGCACCTCAGATGCCAAGTTAGTGAGGAATATTCGGTTGCATTTTCGGTTGTAGGAAGATATCATCGAGCCGGCATGTTTAGCTTCGCTCCTGTGCGGAATGCCTGAATAGTCACGAAACCTAGCTCCTTCGAAGCGTGCGGGAGTTCTTGTTGGCAACCAACCCTGACCAGCATCCCACCCCCTCGTCCCCCCTCCCCCCTCCCCGCCCTTCCCCCGCCTCCACTCCGCCCCCTCCGCGCCCTCCGCGCCATCCCATGTGCAGGATGCATTATGTTGACACTGCGCGCGCGTTGCACCTATTCTGCGGGCGCGTTGCGTCTATTCTGCGGTTGGTTCCTTTGTAAACGAGGCACCCCCTCCCCCCCCCCCTCCCTTCCCTCCCTCTCCCCCAACTTATTATGCTTGCATTTCTGAGCTTGCAGTTCCTACTCTATCAGCGTGCAGTCATGTTCTTGGTGTTGTGCAAGAATATCTGTGTTGTGCGTGCCAAGCCATTTGTCACGCGGTTCTTGAGAGAAGCTGGCCAAGCCGTCGGGGACAGATATAAAAAATATATACCTTGGAAGTCGTAGGGACATATGTGCGTGGATACTTACTTTCGAAACCGGACACTCCAAGCCCAGGATCCTCAAGATACGTGCACAGGCCGCCCCCTGCTCTCAAGTTCGGCCTCGGGACCACTCAGCACACTTCAGGTCCTGGAGCCCACAGACGCTGAGACCAACCAGCTGCTCGTCATTGCCGCCAGGCCCGGCTGTGATTGTGTCGATGAATTGCCTCGAGCATCAGGGCGTACTGTAACTGAGTGATGTTGTCCTGCCTGTGAGGCAGCTGAAGGAACGGCTCCATCCCGTACGCGTTGAGGAGACTGACACAGGCGAGAGACGTTGCTTGCTGCTGCTGCTGGTGGCTGTTGGCTGTTGGCTGTTGTCTGTTGGCTGTTGGCTGTTGGTTGTTGTCTGCTGGTTGCTCGTCAGTGTTTCAAAGCGTCAAAGTCAGACTGCTTGTTTGACCCAGCCTTGTAAACTTGCGAGGCGGTGGCGGCTGTGTTGGTGGTGGGGGAGGTGAGCCAGAGCAAGTTGAAGGCACCGCTGTAGTTCGAAAAAGTGCGCTTCACAGGTCTCCACGAGGCCGCCATTTAGATCAAGCCTTTGTGAGGGACCCACACACACAAAAGTGGACAATGGGTCAAGCCACAAATTAATCAGTTCGCCTGTGAGCAGGTGGTTCTTCCGCGACCATGTGTTGCATGTTGGGAAGTGTTTGGCCTTTCCGGAGTCGTTTGTCACAGAATCGTATTTAAAAGCACTTTGTCATGCTTTGCGCAAGGGTAGGGCAAGGGTTTCTTGAGACTGCAGCGCTACACCTTTGCGTTCACCAGGGAAGGCCCCGGACGCAGTGCCGGCGCTGCCACAAGTCGACGTGCAGAGCCGCGGTCGTGCCCCTGCGCCTGGGACGCGCCCAGAAGTTCACATGTCTTGTGCGGCTTGAAGCACTTACTTACAGGCCCGAGGCGTCCCTAGGCCCTTTAGACACCTAAGCCCGAAGCGCGCCCTGCGGCTCTAAGCCTAAGCCCCGAAAGCACAGCTGCGCATCAGCATCTGCAGTCGCATTCTGAGGACTCACACGGCTACGACTGGATCCGCAAGGCAAATGATGAGAAGGATCGAGCTGCAAGGCGTGAGATTAGCAACTTGGCAGCTGGTTTATTCTTGGCAGTTCAAGCCCATGATGCAAAAAATGCCGTATGCAATGGCAAGGAGTCGTCGGTTTTGCAAATGTTCGATGGACTAAGCTTTCAAGGGATTCAAGGGGCTTGCGCATCTGCAAGTATTGCCAGATGCGTGCACATGCATGTGCATATGTTTCCTATGCCTAAATTGGGCCTACATCCTTGCAGTACACGTTGGATGCGCTTCTCCCACGTTCCCCCAGCAGCAGGTGAGCTGACAAAGCGAGTTACAGCAGCTGGTGGATACCAGCTGCTCGCTCGACTGTCGAACTGGAGACGATTGTGTTGGAGTTTGCTTTGGCAGGGGAGGAGTAGCCATGAGGCATCATCAGGTCGTTAGGCCGTGAACAGCTCAGAAGCTTAAAGCGCCTTTGTGAGCGAAGCCTTTCCAAGGAGCAGTGTCCAACCATTTCAGCCTTTTGTACCCAGTGTACCACATTCGCAGAGCTTAGGCACTTAGACCTTAAGCCTCCGTCCAACTTCGAGGCTTGGGAGCTCAGTCGTTCCGCTTTGTCATGTCCAAGAGCTGGTGGCAGAAACAAAGCTCCCGGGACTGAGCCAAGCCCTTTGCACGTGTGAACTGTGTGAATAAGTGCGAATAAGGTTTGGATAGGTTTTGGCTGCTGCATGGTGCAGCCGCAGTTGGGCTGAATTGCCTGTACCGCACGCTGTATCCAATTGGCAGGTGTGCGTGTAGTCAACTTGCGCTCTCTGTGCCATGTGATGCCATGCGGCATTTGACATCCTAGGCTTTTCTCGCCCAGTTTGGCCACAGGCGCCGTGTGGCCGTCACTTGGCTAGGACATGCTAGCACAGTTGTTTGCCTTCCCGTGCCGATTTCTGCTTGGCATGGATCCAACATGTACGGAGAGTTCCTGCAACACAAGGCAACTTGACACAACGGGTGACCACAAGACGAAGCTTCTCGTGAAGCGAGGGACGGTGCTGGACGTGGCTGTGGAGGACTCCCATTTCTTTGGAATCAGGTGAAGGCTAACACCTAGTGAGGCGGGCGTGCGCACGCTCACGAATTTTAACGTACGCACGCAGTGGCAGCCCGCAGTCATGTTGTGTTTTCTGCTGCACAATGCTGCGCCCTTATTTGTGTGACTGAATTCTAACGTGGGTGATACCTACACAGGACCAACACAATCGGTGCGGGATGTTTCATTTCATGTGCGACAAAGATCCCATGGCCATCATCTTGCATGATGTCGCAGTAGTGAGAAGTCAGAAATACGATGCGACACCGAGGAGTCTTAGTATCCTTCTGATTGTAAACGCCTCCCGGGGTGCAGCGTGCGCATCGCAGACGAAGGGGAGCCAAGCATTGGCCGGCGCATGGCGCAGCACTTTCACGGCCTCAGCGCCTCGATTTGCTCTGCAGCAAATTTGCAAGGAATGGTGTTGATTTCGCGCTCCCACCTCGTTGCCGTGCGCGTGCTCCTTGATTTCTGCAGTACACAACTGTCGTTGTTCTGGGCCTTGGATTGGATTCCGTGATGTGACTCGCACTCCTGCCTCGGCCCTGCGCCTAAGTGACTCTGGTTGCTTTTGGGACACCTTTGATCGTAAAGCTTTGCGTTGCAATGGCATGCAACACTCATACAACAATGTCATCTATGATGTCAATAATTTTCCTCACTTTGCATACTTGGCTGATTGCAGAAACCTTTTCTCCAAGTCACACATACCTTCAGTCTCCAGAATGCCGCACGCTGTTTGGGGTCGACACTGCCCTTGGTCTGTGGCTGTGGAAGCTTCCAAGATCTTGCAGCAGGAGGTGCTGCATGGCCAGCGCGTGGTGGCGGTGAACGCAGCGTCTGCCTACCATGCTGGTGGAGGTTTTCAAACCGGTGGACGCCATGCACTTGAAGAAGCTATGTGTGCCGGGCCTAGTTGGAACTTCGAAGGTAAAAGTCTTCGCTTTTCAGCAGAAGGCTGGATGATTGTTGGCTGGCTTCAATTCCCGAACGGGCTAAATTGAAGTACAAGAGTTGTCCACAGAATCTGGGACATACTGCGTGTAGGACCGAAAGAATCTCTACAACAGCTTCGAACACATTCGACACGAAGTGCATGCCCGTCTTGCTCTGCAGACACGCCGAGGCATCCAAAGCACGCTGTATGCCTCTCTTGAGAAAGGCATCGTGCTGGCCGAGCAGGCGAAGATCAGGCCTGGGAGGGTGGAGAGACACGCACGACGCATAAATCTGCAGAACCAGTAGACCAGAGGCCCAAAGTGGCCCCAAAGCTTGCCAGCGCTTGCACTGCGGGCATGCTGAACCTCTTGCGCTGTTACAGCTACCAGTAAGTCTCACGGCACCTCACCAGGGTGCCGCCCTGGGTGCAACCGCCAAAACGGGCCAAGGACGGACAGGTGGCTTGTAGGCACTTTCACTGAACGGCACGGTTTGCATAGGTAAGGACATTGGGTCTGAGTGTTTGTGTCCTGACAGGGTCAACGGGAGCTTGGAAAATAGTGTTCTGTAGTGTTCTTTTTCTGCGACAGATTGTGTGCCCACCAAGGAGTGGGTGTCGCATCTTCCAGATGATGGCGCTTTGCTCTCGCCGCATGTGGAGGTTTTCCGTACCGGGACCAACTCTGGCTATGCATTCCAGGCCGGATTCGCTGCGGTTAGTGCACGGCCTCCACAACGTCCAGCTAGCAAGTTCCCGAACTACCTGAATTATCCTGCTTTACATGCGCTGCATTCTTGGAAGCACTCCCGCGTTTCAGGAGAAAGCTGTTTGCCTGGAGGCGGGATTCAGTGTTCGACACTTCACGAATGCTTGCGCATGTCCTGTAGCTCATGGCTCACGGAAAATATCACCGCATCTCCAGCTCATTGGTTCATGCACTGTGCTGAACCAAGAAAAGCCTGAAGCAGAGCCATGCCTCCATGACCTCGGGCTTGCATCTGGAATCTGGAAGGCGGTGGTGTCTGTGGCCATGCCAAACTGCAACACCAAGATGTCGGACAGCCCAGTAGATGCGCACCCAGACAAGGACAAGCATCTCGGCTTGTTAGACGGAGCTCCAAGCCTTGCTTGAGCGCATGTACGGCAAGTTGCAGCAATCTTGCGGCTTACCAAAATTTTGGCAAAGGTATGCGGAGCAGCTGGCTGACAAGTGGCGAGCGGTCATGATGGCGGCGTCGTCCAGAGTTGAAGCGAACGTCCTGGTGGTTCCCGATGCAGGCACACTCAATGTCACACTTGCTGCTTGAACTGCGAGTTCATGCCCCGTGCCAGGTTGCGGTGTGCAGCTCAGGTGTGCGTGTGTCAAGAGTGTGAATTCTTGCATTTCTAGCAGATTCTGGCACGGCAGGTCATGTGCTGTAGTTGTTTCTGGCAGTGCTCAATGTTGCCTCTCGTGTAGCTTCTGGAGGCCTTGTGCAGTGCCTTTGCGCTCATTGTAATTCGCTCTTGGTGCGAAAGAACAGACTTCTTAAATGCAACGAGCAACTTGAGGCTGTTTACTTGAGAGCACTTGGATTTTTGACAGGGTGTTTGCCGTACGACGGTGTGCACAGAACACTTGTTCCTTGTCTTAAGGTGTGTTCTTCAACCCGCCCGAGAAGGTTGGCGAAAGCTTCTGGGTCACAGTTGGAGCTTGCAGCCTTGCAGCGCATGGTCACAGTTTAACATGGACACGCCTTTGATGCCCGATGGTGTCAGCCGCGGCTCAGGCTTTGGAAAGGTCCTTCGGGAGGAGTTCTCCGGACGCTTCGAAAGCGCCCCCAGGGGAGCAGACATATGCAGACATGTAGTCGAACTGATGTAGAACTCATCTGTCGTGTAGAACCCATGTGGAACTAGGAGAGGGTCGGTGCTGATGTGCTCAGCTTGCAGCTTGCACGCTGGTGCCGTTCCATCTGCAACACCACAAGTGAGACAAGTGCCCTCTCGCCAGGTGTTGTCATCGCGTTTCCTGGAGGCGCTCGGCCGTTTGCAGCTCCTACCATGATTGCAGCACTGTAACATTCGAGTACATTTCAGCCGGAAGGGTTTGGCCCACTTTTGTCCCCTGCTACAAGTCCTGCAGCTGTGAGTACATGGAGTGGCCCTTTTTCGTCGACCCCGTTCAGATACTCCAGAGTCTAGGAGTTTAGGCGCCCTTTGAGAATGCGTGAAGTGGGCCCGCAAAGATGTAGCTGCTCTCCTCCTGCTCCAGGAAAAGCGGGCGAGACCTTTGCAGCGGCGGCCGTTGAAGCCTTCGAAGGGGAGGAGACACTGAAGCCTCAGCGACTCTAAGGTTGCCACGCCGCTCCGGGAGCGACCCGTGGAAAGCTCTGGACGAGGCTTTAGGACCAGGAGTCAGGATTGAGAAGTTCTCAAAGCTATGATTTGGCAGCGGAAGGAGTCCTATGACCGAGACTTGTCCAGGCAAAATGCCCTGTTTCACGTGTCACTGCTTGTTTCACTGGGGCGGCTTGCTGCATTATTTTTTGGAGGACGAGGCTGAACAGCAGCCTAGAGTCCCCAACCTTCGGCCGATGTCGGACCGCTGCCCGAAAGAAGACACGGAGCTTGGAGGGTTTTGCTTTTGGAGGCCTCTGCTGTCTGGTGTGCTCGGTGTGCTCGGTGTACTCCGTGTACTCCCCTTCTAGTTTGCATGTGTTCTGACTGGGGGCGAGAGGCTGCTGGGCTTGCTAAGCCCCTGTCTGGGTCCAGAAGAAGTGCTTGTTCTGTTTGGGCACGAATAATTTGAGAAGGCAGTTGGGCGACGACCAAGCTTCCCCTAAAGAGAGCTCTCATACAGGTTCGAGGTGTAGCAGGTAAAGGCCACTGGCTCAGACAATGCACCAGATTTGTTTCCCCCGCACCCAACTCCACCCAAGAACGGCAAGGAGAGCGTCCACCAAAGTCTTGATTCCCAAACTGAAATCAGACATGCAATGCTGGAGCGTCACGCAGACCAGTCATTGACCCAGAGTCGTCGTGAACGCCTGAGAAGCTTAGACTCAAGCTCCACTGTTGCCCCGCAGTTTCACAACTTGGCTCGGTCAGCTTTGTTCCATTTGTTTGTAGAAGTGGGACAGCAGCGACCCTCAGCGAGCGCCAGCAGGAACGGGGCTGGTGTGGGGTTCGAGCACTCTGAATTGCTCAGACCTCAGAGCTCAGAGCAGACGGTCTTGTGCGAGGGATCGCTGCTCATTTTGGATGTCAGGGAGCAGTGTCCGAGTATCTGCCTTGCTGGTTTCAGGCCATTGGCGGACAGCGGCTGCCAGTACTTGGCTTCCTGCTCGATGCCAGAAGCTTAAATACGCATGCAGTTGTAGGTTGGATTTAGAAATCGCTTGTTCAAGCTCGTGTCGTTCATCAGCACTCATTGTTCGTCTTGACGACTTATCTCTTCTGACTCTTCTGGTGGGCCCATCTAAATGCAGAGCCACACTCGCACTTCCTGCAGGGCCGACCTCGTGCCTCGAGCTGTCGTGGCCTCAGCTTGACGCACGATCTCTTGCTCCCAAGCACGTTCCCAGTCCCAGACCTCCAATCTCCAAGCGAAGCATGGACGGCAAAGCATCCGACTTTCCTCCATGCTACTCAACTGCCGAGTCGAAGTTCAGGGTGAGGATCCACATCGCTCGTTCGAAGCCCAGCTTAGACGAATGCATGCTTAGTAATTAAGGCTTAGTAGTGTTTCTGTGAAGTTCCTGCCTGGTCGTTGCAGCATACATGGAGGTGCATGGAGGCTGAGGCTGAGGAGTTTAGAATCTGCTGAAGAACTCTTTGCTAACAGAGGCGCGAACAACCTGCGGCCGGCAGACTTGGCACTGATTGGCCAGAGCAAGCCATGGTCACAGAAACCGGAGATTTAGTGCAGGGCCAGTCCAGCGCTGCTGTCGGACAGACATCTGCAAGCTCCGAGTATCCCCGCAGAACGGTTACATGTCACACTGCCTCGGCAGTTTCTTTGATGCATCAGGTCCGACCCATACTGCATTTGCAGACTAGGAGGGCAGCAGCCTCAGGGTGAGGGGAAGATGCAATTCAATGGGTGGTGTTGGAGAGCATGAGAGAGTCGAATCCAGATTCGAAGATCGTCAATCGGCGAGAAACAGAACTCACGCAGATGAATGGACCAACTGCTCTGCATAACAATGCGACTCGAGCCTAACGGTGCAATCTCAGACGCTCGTCCTGATGACAGATCCTGACAGATCCTGACAGTCCACCGCAGATCTTGCGACAGTTGATGCTGAAACCCCAGGCGGCCGGAGACAGAGGTCCGCACGCAGACAGTCATGAAGACGTCCGAACCCCGCGCGAGAGATCTCTGTCTCTCTTGGCCAGTTCATTGTACAGAAGTTAAGTTTCGTAGGCCGTGTATTCTTGCACGAGGAATGTGGATGTTCAGGTTGGGAGTGTGGTAAGTTGTCAGGTGAACAACACTTCAAAGAAATTTGTGGTGCAGCGCTGCAGTACAGTTACTCACATATATGGTCCCAAACTTCCCAAACAGTCATTGCGGTCAGCACGGAGTGATTGGATACCCGCAGCTTGTGTCTTTCTTCATGCGGCCGTACAAGGCTTAGCCCTGACAGGCGTCAGTAGTGAATGGTCGCTGGAAGCTCAACCAGCTTGACATCATCGTTTCATGAAAACAGCATGCACCAGCCTAGAAACAAACCACGTCTACTCTTACACGTCGATTTTCCATTGGTTCGTTGGTTCCGAACATTACAAAAAAGCAGCCATGTCCGCCACTAACAGTGCGGGAGATGCTTTCGAGGCGTACACCAAGGGCGAGTTTGGAACGTGCGGAGAATATTTGGAGCAGATTCACAATTTGAAGACTGCCGCGGACGTGAAGGTGACACACAACATCCTCATCAACGACTACTTCAAAGCTGGCTGTGCAGATCCCCACAATCTGCTTACTCTCCTGACCCAGGCGTACGAACGCGCGAGGGAGAAGGAGAAGAAGGACAAGGGCAAGCGGAAGAAGGAGGAGGATGAGGAGGACCAGGGGTTGGCTCAAAACCTGCCGCGCGTGATTACCCTGGTGCGGACTTCGCGTTTCCATGTGTTTTTTTTGTGTAATGTGATGCGGTATTGTGACATTGTTACAGAATCAGGGGGCCAGGGGGCCCCTCGTGCCACTGCACATCCAGGATGGCATCCGTGAAGATGACGACCTGTACGTGCTCCGGTACAACCAAGCCCTGCTGTGCGTTCAGTTGCGGCACTACGCACAGGCCAGGGCGGCCATGAGCTTGTCGAATACTTGCTTTCCTGAGGGTCCAGCCGACATCCCGAGACATGATCACCAGCATCTGACAGGCTGAGGGAGACAGGCACACTGAGATAGACAGAGCTATCGCGCTAGCTGCTAGCTCCTGCCAGTAGTAACGTAGGCATCTGCCAGCCGGTCAGGCACGGCAGATTCTGGAGGAGCTCTTCGAGACCCTTGCCTTTGAATACGCGCAGAAGCAATATAATGCTTCCACTAACACTGCTGTCTCAATCCATCGATGTTTTTCTCCCGTCAGACACCGTCGCCGCCGGCAGTGGTTTCTGACCAGGGCACAACTAAGACTTCTACAAGTGCGATTTACAAACACGTGTCGAAGGGCTTTCCTGCCTTCTGAACTGACTACAGCATGTTATAGTTCACGTCATTAACGACGGAGGAACATCGAGCCAATCGATGATTTTCTCGCCATCAAGATCTGCTTCCTCCTCCTCGAGGTGGTCCTGCATCCTGGCGGCCATTGTGCTATGTCGACATGTGGACATCTGCCCAAAAGCTTTGAACCCTTCGGCTTGCTTTAAGGATCCCCCCCAAGCCGAAAACTCAGGCTACAGAAGGAGCCCGAGCAGGCCCTGCAGATCCTTAACTTTCTGGAGAAGCCGAATGCTTTCCACAGTCTTCTCAAGCCGGATGCCCTTCTGAGTTAGCATTGGCGGTGGGGAGGTTTGTGAAGTTGAACGATCACCTTGTATCTAGACATGGTTGGCGGCGCTGACTGTCACGTCGGAGAATTTTGATTTCGATCCTGATGTGTGTTGGCTAGTGCTTGCCCAGGAGCGCAAGAATCTTGAAGCCCCTGCTTGCATCGAAGACGAGGAGGTGGTCGAGGGCGAAACCAGGGAGGAGGAGCCTAAACGCATCAAAACGTACGGAAAGAGGAGGCTTGGAGCAAAGGTCCCAAGCCACCGAAAGGACCGTGGATTGATCAGACTTCCAAGCTACTGCAGCCAGAAGCTCCGGGACCCTTGAGCAAATCGGAGGGGGGGGGGAGTGAGACCTCGTCGTGCAGCTTGGTTTGGAAACGTTTGGGGTTTGTTTACAGGAGGAACCCGCTGAAGCTGTGGCTGCAGCTGCAGATGCCCAGAAGCTGGTCTGCAGGGTTGGAGATTTGAACACACAGGGCCGTTCAGCTTCAGGTGGTTGCGCTGTCAGAGACACCAGGCAAGTGCCCCAAGGGACTCGATGCCTGGTTGAGCTGAATCGCAAACACATCGTTGAAGGCTGCCCTGGAAGCCAACTGTGCACCGTTTAGGAAGACGAGAGACACCGCGTGAATGTTACGTCCCAGGGCTTGGGCTTAATCGCTTCCCCCTTTTATTAAAGACCCCCCTAAAACTAAAAACACTTTCTGGAAAATCCGGCCGAAACCGACCCCGCCTTTTAAACCCTATTCCGAATTAGGGGGGGGGTTCAGGGCACCCAAAACCCGCAAGCCAACCAACATCCTAAAGCTCCCTCCCTCTCTCCCCAGCCTAGACCCTAAACCCTTCGGACCCCAAACATGGCATTTGGATAAAAACCTCCCCCTAATGATAAAAACACATTTCGAATTTCTATTGGGGGGGGGGACCCCCCGTTTAATATTAGGGGGAAACGATTATGTATCTGCACCTTCGATTCAACTCGAAGGGATCAACTTGGCATAGCGTGGACCCTGAGTCGTGCGGAATTCAGTGCCCCAGGCACTTTGAAAACTTGGATTTTGAAGGAGGAGCCCTGAAGAATGCCGAAACAACGGGTGCAAATCCTTTACCCTCGCAAGCCATGCACGCAGCCTTTGGGGTTTCTTCGGACCTTGTGCTTTGACAAGGCAGCCAGAGAAGCCGGAGGGTCCTCTGCCCAGCCTGGTCTTTGGCGCTTCTTGGACGATTCTGGTGCGGTTCCTTTGAAGTTGCTGGCATTGAAGGGCACGCCATGCTGCCGGAGGCATCGCACCAGCATTTGCATGTCTCGGAGTTGTCGAGGAGCTAGAGCTCAACGTTGTTTGTAGCGTGTGTTGTAGTGGTTTTTCTTGGCTGTGTACAGTGCACTGTTCTCTGTGCAGGCTATGCACGGGAGGACAGTGAAGGGCTCTCACTAACTACGGCTTCGTCTCAACTAAATCAAGTCAGCCAAGCGCTTCCCAAGAACTTATTTACCACCAGCCAGGCTTGCCTTCAGCGGCATGGACGTGCACCAGATGCGATCTCGCCAATTGAGTTCAAGTTCACCTGCCTGACGTACAAGATCCGTGCCTGGCTTCACTTTTGTGCAGTTGAGGCTCAGGGCGTTGTACCCCGTTGTACAGTCACAAGAGAGATCGTTGAGCAGATTCCGTTCGCAGCCGCCACTGGGGCCATTCTCTAGAAGGTTGCTGTGCTACAACCCGAGCGGCGATTGATTTGCGACGCAGAGTCTAGAGTTCTTCTCGGCTGCTCCACCTTTGGGACTACAATAATTACCGTGGCGCATAACTCAACACACTCCCTGAGCATGAGGTGTCCACATCTTGTGCCGAAGCATGAAGTCAGCAAAGAAGGAATGCAAGAATGCAATGGCTCCTCCTCAGCACTAGTTCATATGTTGTCTCGAAGGGGATTGTGTTCTTTTGGGTCCTGCTCTGCTCTGGGAATATGGCTCGCGCACGTCTTGGGTTTTAAGTCTAAGTCTTGGGTGCAGGTGCAGTTTGCAGGCTCAGGCTGCGCACTACAAGGCCAATGACAGCTGTAAATCGCGGCGAGGCTATACTGTAATTGCCGGACGTACTTGAGTAGATGTGTACACACGTGTCAAGCTGGTACGGCTAATCTTGCTCCCGAGCCTGGTGCGTAATTCAAGATAGCTTGGAACGGCAACTATACCGCGAGTACATGCGAGTACAGAATGTTGCTATGATGCTTTGCTGGACGTGCCAGAAAAGGGCCGCGGGTACGGTGCGCTGGGTGTCAGAACCCGTAGTGGATGCAGCTCTCTTGACCTAAGCCAAGGAGATCCTGGAGCACGATCTTGCGCATGTTCCACTATTCTGGAAGGACTCCAACACTGAGGGACACTTGAGAGCGCCTGGAGAATGCTCTGTGAGGTGTTGCAGTGTAATGCTACAATTGGGCCAGATTTAGCACGCCCTGGTTTCGGGTGGCTCAACACTATTGGTCTCAGCTTCGTGCTCAGCCTTTCCGACAATGGTGTGCAAGGGGATTAAAGCGCATTTTCTTCCACGTGCCGCACATGCGGAGTCCCGGATACATGCGTGTTGCAGACATGTATGATGCCTGCCAGGAGCCGCAGAACCATGAAGCCCGAAGCCTTCTGCACAACCACGACTGGGCTAAGGTTACCTGCCTCAAGGCGCCCTGGCCCCACAAATCTAGAAGCGGGTTTGCCCTTCGTGACTGGCCACGTCACAAACAGACGTGATGCGTTTGTCAGATTATGAGCTCCTAACGTGTGCTGATTCCAAGGCGTACCTCGAGTATGCCAAGCAGAACCACAGAAAGGCCAGGGTAAATGGTGCCGAAGACCTTGAAATCCATACATTCTTCTGGTTGCGCGTGGATGGACTGGATAATTCAGCATCGGCGGGTAGTGTTGGTAGGCGCAAGCGATGTGTAATCCTTGGTCTAGCCTTCGCCTTAGCATAGAATCAGAAGCTCTTTGAAGCTGGAGAGGCGTTTCGCCTCCTCACGCTGTGCCGCTTCAACTTCGCACCTCCGAAACCTGGGGACAAGTCTGGAGCACACAAGTCAGGCACCGATTGATCTTTTGCTGTGCTGGTTTAGTGAGGGCTGTTATCCACTTCGGCCATGTTCCGTTTTGCATGTTGCTGGGGCTTCAGGCGATGATGAGGTCGAGGACCACATGCCCACAGATTTCCATCCTGCTCAAGATGATGCTTGCTCCCCGCTGTCGCCTGCCTGCGATGGTCTGCACGGAAGTGGTTTGAGGTTCGCGTTCCGCCAGAGCGCCCTGCTCAGGTTCTACAACAACATGGGCTGCATACATTTCATGATGCACAAGCCGAACTTGGCCATCTACTACTTCAACAAGGACTGGCCCCATTCATTTCCTCAGTCACCTTAGCAGTCACCTTCCCGTGCACGGGCGGTGGTGTCTTAGCCGCCCTGAGACCTGAACCTGCGAGGCGCTTTCGAAATCGGCTCGGCCTGCCGAAAAGGAGAAGTCGGCTCGGCCTAATCTTTGGATGTCATTGCAGTATGGGATGAGTTTGGGGTATCAGGGACTTGGTGTTTCAGTCAGCTGTGGACGCATCTTGTTGTAGGCGGCAGGCGCGGCTTGCAGTCGCGTCGAGTGAAGTGGGACAGTCGCGGGCTGCATCCAGATGTAGTTCAGGTGGGAAGCAATAAGAACATATCCTTGTGGCATCAATCTTCTATATTCGATGTGATGTAGGGTTCCGAGGCAAACCATTTCTGGGTGGCACGAAAAACATGAATTTTGAATCAGAACCGAAAAACAGGAGCGGCAGTAAGTTGCGCCCCCAATGTGACTGTCACTGTGTCCTGTCGAGATGTGCGTCGTTGCCAAGATGCACTAGTCTACGCGCGTGAAGCTCTGTGAAGGTGACTTTAGGGGCATTCCATCCCCATGGTCTGAGCTGCATGAGTGACTATCGAGTCGACACGCTAGGATTCACTTACCACCCCAAGAACAGACTTGGTGAGGAGAGTATGCTGCTCTCGGCCAAAGTAGGCCTCACGCAGCCTGGCATGGCGACCTCCAAGTGCCTTAGCTGGTCCGTGGTCCAGCTGCTGGACATGAGCTGACCTCCATAGATCTCCATATAGTGTGTTTCGGGGCTTGTGCCGCAGAGATGCGACTGCAAGAGTGGGAGCGTCTACGCGTGCTTGGGCCTCGAAGTCAGGCACTGGTTGGACCGCCGTGCTGAGATGACTTTCAATGCTGGACTCCAGTTCTTGCTGACTGGCCGGCCGGGGCAAGCCTACAAGCGCCTTGTGACAACAGAGAGAGGGTCAGCTGAACGGTGCAAGCGTCAAAGGTTCAGGAAGCAGTTTTTGAGCCCAAGCCGCCCAAGCCTCAAAAGCTGCTCCGGGTTCTCCAGAGTTGTTGTGCGTTACGTGGGATCCGAGGAGCCTGACTTTCCTTATATAAGATCTTGCAAGGGTATTGGTATGGATGTTGGGTGAAGGGTGCGTCCCGCTTTCCTGAAATCCACACCCCGAGAAGTTGGCAAACACCTAGAGCGAAACACAACCCGGAAGGCCACTACAAAGTCCCCAGTCGCAATGCTCAGCGTGTGACGAACCCAGAATCTGTGCTGACACATCCAGAGAGTCAGATCCAGCAGGTGCTTCATCCAGTGTACCTTCGTCTTCAGGAATTGGCCTCGGCTGCACCTTTCAGACCATTCGGAAGCATTCTTATTTCTTATAGTTCGAAGCAAAAATGCTAAGGGTGTTGTTTGTGAGGGTCGTGGAACGTGGTCCATCACACCACGAAAAAAGTCTGCAGCAAAACATACACAAATACGGTTCATTTTTCTCATCAAGGAGCCTAGATGCTTGCATGCCTGACCGGTTCCATTGCAACATGCCACTGGAAGCTAGTGTCACGGCCAAGTTCAAGTGTGCTGCCTCCAGGTGGATGCGCCTTGCGGAGTGTTGCATTGAGCTTTACCGGCAGTCCCACAAGCCTGAGCCTACAGAAGGCCCAAGCTTGACTTTTGTGCTTTCATGCTGAGCCCATCTGAATTTTGGGATTATTCGCTGGACGAGTCCGAATCCTGAACTCCCAAACTCTTGATCAGCAGGTGGCGCGAAACCTGGTGGAATGCAGTCCTGGAATCGGGCCGCTTGCCAAAACGAATTATGCATGCTCAAAGCATCTTTGTGGCTCTGAAGGGTTTTGAGATCAACCTGCCCACATGCATTTACCATCTGACCACTCGTGTTGTTTTTGGGCAACGGTGGGATTCTCGCCTTCTCAATTTCCGCTCCAGGCTCACGGCTGGGCTTTGTACACTTGATTGGGTTGCGTCAGAAATATGGTGGTTCTGTCCTGCAAGTAAGGAGTGACTACAGACAGACCTGTTGTGTTTGCCGTGAGTGGAGATCAAAGCCTGAAACGGCACCCTCACAAGGGTTTTGACCCGGCTCCTGTTGCACTTTGACTTGCGGTGCAAGTCGGCGCCCAGACGTGGGCTTTTCATTGCCTTTGTTGGGTGGGCATATGTTGTTTCCACAGAACCATGTGGAGCGTTCTGGAGCCTAAGGTGAAGCAGCCAACTCCCAATGGTCCCCTGGCCACGGGTGGATCCATTTGCACAGCCCTAGGACTGTTGGGGGGGGGTGGGGGGGGTACTGAGGGTAAGCCACATGTAAGCCGGACTGCTCTCAACAGACGCTTTTTTGCATTCTCTCGCGTGTCTCAGAGCTTTGGGCTGCCACCCTGGCAACAGGAGGGCCAACTGCTCTGGGATCTGGCATGTCCCAGCTCGCTTGTGCAGCACAAGGCAAGCGCTTTAGGGTTTTGGGGGCAAGCTTCATGATTTTCATGAGCTCATGAGTCATTGCCAGAGAGCGGCAGTTGCAAAAAGACCGAAGGAAGAAGAGTATGGTGTCATGCCCAAACACAAGAAATTCCGGAAGATTAGTTTCCTTGCCCTATCGGTCCCCATCTCAGGATGCGGCCCCACTCGCAGGCTCTCTTTGCTCGTCGAAAAGAGTCTTGGCAACAGTGTATGTCCCGGACATATCCTGGTGCACAAGACCTGTCACTGAGGACCAACGTCGTGGGAAAGCTAGGAAGTGGAGAGGACAGGTTGGGCAACTGGTCGGAGAAGGTTATGGCAGACGGGGAAGTCACCAGCTAAGCCTGCTGCACAATCACAACAGCAAGCAAACCGTACTCTACTGAGCAGCCTGAAAAGCTGGGATGCTATATGCAGTTTCCCCACCCGCCCGAAAGTCTCTCGTCATGTTACGAAAGCTAGCCCCCATGGAGCTAGCGGAGTATCTTACCAACCGTTGGTTGAGCTGCGGGGGGGTGGGATCCAGAGGTGGTCAAAGAGGGGCCTTATCCCCACTTAGTTTGGGTGTCACCCTCTAACCCTATGGTTCTTGAGGTCCGACAGGGTGTCCAAGGCTTGCGTTTCACCTAAGGGGCGCTTCGCCTACGTAGGCTCCCCTTAGGTGAACGGCAAGCCTTGACGATCTGCTCGGTCAAAAACGGTGGCTCCTCCGTTCTCCCCCGCGACCTTTGGGTACAATCACTTTGCCGGAGCATTTCTTCAACGTAATCCCCTTCATGGCCGCGACACATTGACTCGAGCCGGCTCTTCACACGACACAAGAAACCTGACAAAACATTGCGAAACAGGTCGAGTTTAATGCTGAAGTGAGTGATAAAGTGAGTTGGTAGACATGAGTGAGAGTTGGCGAATAAGTGACTATGTCTGTCTTCCGAGCGTACTGAGGGGAAGAATGATGATGATCATCATGCGGATGATGATGATGATTATCATGATGATGATGATGATGGTGGTGGTGGTGGTGGTGAAATGTGGTGAATTTTGAACCATGAATGATGATTACGCAGGAACTACATGGAAGAAGCCTGTCAGGCCAGAGCCGGATACACTCGAATGCATGCATGTCGGCTTCGGCAAGTCAGGGCAAAGCATTTAATGAGAAGCCAGTGCCCCCAACACAGTGCTGCAGTCTCGCGCGTCACGTGCTAGCCGCGGCTCCAAATGCAACTTACGGCTTTGGAGGGGGGGTGGGGGTTGGGGGAAAGTGACGTACGTGGGGCATGTGAGGAGCAGGGCAAGTGTGGCAGGCAGGCCAAGGGGTGTAAGTGGGCGGGAAGATTTACCGCCCGCGCCCGACACCCTCAGAAACTAGAGAAAGGTTGTCCCGAAAGTGTTTTCGAGCCGCGCTTTCAGACCTCGTGAGTATATACTAATATCAGTAAGTCAATCACGCCATCAAGGTCCAACGAAGCAAGGAGCGGCTAGAAGCAAGCCGGCCATGGCCAAACCGAAGCTCTTCCACCTCCCAACGCGCCAGCGCACCGCTATAGGGTTGTCATAGCCAAAATTGTCATGGCACCCCGCGAACACCGCGCGGCCTGATCGCCTCCCACGCGGCAACGCAATTTTGAGCAGGTGCGGCGGCGGCTCCCGCCAACCTTACACCGCGCTTTAAAACATATTCCACGAAGTCCAGCACGCCATCCATCACGATATCCATCCATGCATCAACGATAACGGAAGACGACTTTCAGGAAAAGACAAAACAGGGGCCTTGGACTGAGCCCTCATTTGCCCGTAGGATGTCGAGCAACGCACCGGGCCGGCTGGTGCAGCACCGTCTGCGCCTGCCCAGGATCCATGGCTGCAATCCGATGCAATCAATCCCTAGCTGAGCTGGAGAATACACTGCCACCTGTTTCTCAAAAAGGCGACCAAAGCGCCGGCTGCGGAGGGAGATGTGTTGAATGGCGAGGTGCCTGTGAAATTGAGCTTGTTCCGGCACGTTGTGACATGTTCCGGCTTGGACCGGGCCCATAGCTTTCTTGACGCACTGCAGAGGATCCCTTGGTGACTGCTGCAATGTGCTTGAAGAATGTGCTGACCCTGATCGAGCCCATGCTTCAGAGTGCTGCGCAGGCACGTCGGAACACAGTCTGTACCGTGTACCGGGGCTTTCAGACTGTCAGAGTGGGAGTAGCAGTTGGCTTGCTCGGTTTCTTGCGCAACGCGTAAATCTGCCAAAAGGCAGCTGAGACGGCGGAAGCCAATGCTGCAGCGGCTGGCAAAGCTACGTCCCAGAAGGTCCGGCAGTGGCTTGCTCGCTTCGCAAATCCTCCACGACCCCAGCTTAGCTTGCAAAGGCGTCTGGCTCGGGTTCAGGGCCAACACCTTCCAAGAGTGCTACTGCCCGCGACCTGGTCGCCCCCTCAGCCCTGTCTGCAGAAAGTTGGTTCGGAGTTGGGAGCAGGAGGAGAGGCGAGGACGAGTGCCGGTGTGCACTCAGATGTGCACTCAGATGTGTGCCGAGTGTCTCAGAGGGTGCAGAATCCGACTCCGAGGCCGAGGCCGAAGCATTGCTGATGGAGGACGCGGCGCTGCTGAAAATGACCTACGTCTGTCTCTGCGGCCTGGCGGAAGCATACCGGATCATACCGGAGTCCGAGGAACACCTCAGTGGTATGAGTGGTGTTAGGGGACGAAGGAGAAATAACACGCAGAAATGCAAGACTGCACAAACTGCTCTGAAATCTTTGGATTCAAACTTGACTGCCCAGGCCAGCGAGATCACACGCCTGCTTTGCGATATGCCAAGCGCATACTGGACGCTTGTCAGAATCTGGTGCTGGCTTCACAAGCTTGGCGTGTGTACGTTCAGAGATGCTCAGGGTGGGACCTGCCAGCCGGCACCCTCCGCAAAGCTCAGTCGACAAAATAAAATGTTTCAGCTAAGATGTTTTGTGTGAGGAACTTAGGGCCAACACCCCTGCGCCAAGGGGTCGACCTCGGCATAGAGCGCGCTGTTCCAGCACGTTTCTGGCATTGACGTGACTCAGTTTTGCACCTTTGTGCCATTTCAGGACAAGAATCATTTGCTGCCTCCGCCTTCTGCTGATTCACGACCTCCGGATGACAAGCAGGACGCATGGGAGAGAAACTGCACCCAGAAAGCAACTCAAGAAGTTGCACGCAAGCGGTCATCCCTGCGGTGCATGGACGCCGAAGCGCGGCAGGAGCAGATAAAGCGAAACTGGACCATCCAGGCTTAGCTGCATGTCTCCACTGTTGCAGTTTTCTGGGGCTGAGTGAGAGCGCTTCAATAAGCTTTCCTGAGTGCTGGCAAGCAGAAATGTGAAGCTGGTCCTTGTGACATCCTTTCACGGCGGACAGGCGCAGAATCTGCCGCATGGCAAGGATGCGAAGGTGCTGACTAGGTGCGGTCAGCTTCGAAAGTCCTTCTGCACACTTGCGACGGGCCACAGGCATGCTAGAATGTCAACAGCTGAGTGTGCAGCATACACCATTTCCCGAACTTGCTGTTCTGCAATTGCTTAGCATCCGCTGTGCAACAGCCCCTAGGCTTAATCAGATTCCAAATTGAGAGCTTTGTCGGCCTGACTTTGTCGGCCGCCTCTGCCAAGCCAAAGTGGTCGCTCCTGCATCTTCATATCTACACAAACGATCAACGACAGGGCAGATAGGGCTCCGCAGGTCAGCATGATGCAGCATGCATGATTGCCTCAGATTCGCATCCTCCCTGGGCACAATCGCCTCCGCGGTATCCTACACTGCAGAGGCCGTTGTTTGGGCCAGCTTGAATGGCCGACAATGTCGTTTATGACCTTACCAGTACTTTGCCTATCACCTGGCAGGCCCTGTCAATGTCTGGCAAGGTGTTGGAGGCCGGCCTGAAGATGGAAAGCCTTCGGCTTCGGAACAATGCACCATCTTGAGTGATTTGCACTTTGCGCGTTGAGCATGGGATGCCTATCGGGATCCTATCGGGCTTCCGGTCGCAGCCAGTTCATTCCCGCATTCCCATGCATGGCGCAGGCGAGAACACTCATGACCAGCTTCGGCGACAAGACCTTCTGTAAGGCAGTTCAGCAGCAGGCCGTGTCCTACGTGCTGAATCTGTAACATTCTGTAACTCGGTCTGGGGCCTTCCACCCTGGAGAGGTGAGCTACATCTCAGAGCAGGACCGAAATCACACTGCGCCCAGCTCAACCATGCTGTCCACCACTGCCGGCTGCCCCAGATGAGCGAGCCCTGTGGAACATTGTGGAACTTACCGACTTACAGGTTTCCGACACATCCCGACACCCAAACGTAGCCAAGGTCATGTACGAGCAGCGCGCGGACAAGAAGGAGGATGGTGTTTACGAAGGCTTGGTCTGGCAAACTTTCGACTCGACCCGAGTTTCGACAATCTTCGGACCGACCATTCTCGCGTAAACACTCACCTTCGGCCAGCTGCAAGGCTGCCACAATTCACAGCTCAGCCGCTTGGCGACGACAAAGCCCTTTAGAGTTCAGAGTTCATCGTGTCGTGGATCGTCGGTCTGCAGCGAGTAAGTCTGTTAAAATTGCTCTGTGTCCTCCCAGACAACCAGCCGCCGACGACCAACCTCGGTGGCATCACGCCGCCCAGCTTCTCCATAAACTGCGCCTCCGCTGCCCACCAGGCACGTGACTGTGCAAGTTACGTATGTGAAAAGCGTGTGACTGCGTACTTTGTGCCCAACCTGTCCCAGGGCAAGGAGCGGGATGCAAAGGATGGAAAAGATGGAAAAGATGGAAAGGATGGAAAGGGTGAGAACGAGCGTGAGAAGACGAAGGAGCCGCGAGATGTGGTACGGTAGAAGTCGAGGAAAAGATGTAGACTGATGTAATTAGGCGCCGTAGACTGAAGGCCTCCGCCAAACAAAACCGAACATGAAACTGGAACTCAGGCGGAGCGATTTTAGTTTTGAAGTGTCAACGGGGCAAGACGAGTTTCTCAAAGCCCGTTGATGAGACAGAAAGGACGGCTCTTATGCTCTTCTTGTTGCGTACGAGTCGACAATGTTCCCAACCTTGGGAGACATGCAGCTGCCCGGCTGGCTTTCATCTGGATTGAGGGGTGCTCTCATCGGGATCATCGGGCCTTGTGGTTTGGTCTTGTGAGTCCAGTCCAGAGCTGTAGAATAAAAGCTCTCAGAGTTTTTTGTTCAGAGTCACCTCGCCGCGATCTGTGCAAAGTGCGGTTCGAGGTCGATGCTGTACACCAACATGGCGGCCCCTTGGAGGGCATCAGCTCAGACTTCATGGGCAAACGAGCCACAGCCGTTAATCGCAGCGCAGCGATGTGGTATAGCATACTTTCTCTGGCCCGATTGTCTTGGCATGATGCCATTGCGAGACGGATGACAATTCCTTGTCGAACAGGTTGAAGCATCTTCGCGACCATTCACGTTTGCGCAGTGTCTTGCGAAGCCGTCTTAAGGCAGCCATGGCGCAAGATAACGCCCTAGAGGACTTGACCTGGCACAGCGCTTCCCACAATGTTTTTCATGAGAAAGTAGGACAACTTGGAATTTGGTGGCATGCTTGTTGGACATGAAGGTTCACTGTCGAAACAGCATCTGGGGGGGGTACTGTCAGATGGCAGTTTGTCGCAGATATGGCGCCAGAAAGCCGAAGCCATGTCTTAGATGAAGTCAGCATCAGTTCTATCTTGCGAGTGCAAGGTGCACGGATGGCAAAGCAAAGCGACTGTTATTTGGTTGGCACCATGGTGTGTGCAATCTGGCAGGATGCACGAAAAGTCTGCGACAAAGCGCTTCAGATACAGCCAAGAGCGCTGCTTCCACTGAGGACGAGCCCCGGCTGCACTGTTTGGAGCTCGCTGCTGCATTTTGCTTCGGCTGCGTGGTGACTAGGTGGTGGGTTTAGGCCAATCTCTCCTCGGCTTGTTCGCTCTCTCCCCCTTATTTATATTATTTCTGCATGATCCGAAGCCAAGGCTTGCCTTCCTGCTCATGAAGCAGGGAAATTCAGGCCAGGCCACGCCGCGTACACGGTCAGAAATGGCCAAAGAGGAATCCAGGAAACAGGGATCTGGATTGCGCGTTTGACGGATGAACCGGCAAGAGCTTTGCAATCACCGATGAGCAGTGGGCAGGTGAAGCCATCAGGCGCCTGAAAGGACCTTTGGACCAAGTTTTCCTTGCAGAGAGCGATCGTACGGGCATATTTCGGTGTTGCGATGCCAGTGTCCAAATCAATACGTCGTTGTTGCATTCAAGCCCGAGCTGCCATAGATGCCAAGCACAGGAGAGAAGAAAGGACAGTGAGCTGCGAAGATTCTTGGAGGAGCAAGAAAGCCTTCATCGCAATGACCGGTCTCGCTGCACAGTGATTCCAGAGCTACCTACCAGTATGTGCCGCATCTGACATGCGGGTGTCATGTGTTGAGCCGGTCAGAGGTGAATCTGATGCTGCATCCGAAGAAGACCCACAGCCCAGGATGCTGCACAGGATGCTGAACAACAGCCCGTCTGGGATGTGAGAGGGCTGCTTGCCGAGTGCTCCCAAAAGGCAAAGACAGACAGAACCATCATCGAACTAGTATGCCGCAGCATGCCCGAGCGTAGATTCTTTAGATGGTGCTTAGGCCGTCAATTACTACTGTGTACAAAAGCCCAGACTGTCTTGGAGTAAGGACAGCGGAGCGGATTAACGACGTCTCGCGCAGACATGCAAGAAAACACATGCGCAAATGGTTTCACTATGACTTTGCATTTGGGCTGTGCAGGTTTGGATTGGAGTGTTCTACACACACAGACAGCTCCTCCCGACTCGCAGATCTAAGTGCTGGTAACGCAGTGCTGACGTCGCAAGCGTAGCACCTTTCAGCCTGTGAATTACATTCCATGGCAAGTGCTCTCAAGAAACTCGCTCTGAAATCTGTGTGGCGTCCCCACTTTGGACCCTTGTCATACCTTATTCGAAGTGATGGAGGTCCAATGCATTCTTCCCAGAGAGTCTACTGAGTCTACTGAGTACACTCAGCAAGCCTAGCAGCGCCTAGCAGTCACCAGAAAGCCCCAAAAAGAAACCACCCCAGTCAAAGAGCATCTCGCTGCCTAGCTTGTACTGTGAAGTCTGCTAGACTCTGCTAGACTCTGCGTCCAGGCTGGACCCCCACTGGAAGTTTGACTGCGAGATGGCCTCCATGGCCGCGCCCTCTGACATTCGTCGAAGCATCGCCCAGACCCTTGATGTGGAGCCATACGGAGTCGCAACCTGTTGCCTTCTAAGTGGCGCAGATACGAGAAGTAAAGGTCGACAGCATGGGCCGTCTTGCGCGATTCAGAAGCGCATGCATCTTCTCAACGCCAGCTTATGTGAACCATCTTGCTGCACTGCGGACACTGGGTAAGCTTCATCTGAAGCATGGGGTCCCACGGTCACCTCTGGCAACTGCCACGCCAGAAAACCACGGACACCATCGAGTTCCAAGTGATGGACTACGATGCGATCGGGCTGTCATCTCAGACGAACACAGCATGCTGACTACCTTCAAGCGTGCATGAAACTCAAGACGCGGGTGCTCTCAGGCATGCTCACGCTTGTTGTGTTGCTGGTAGATGTGCGAACTTGTGTGGCGAAGGTCCGATGACCTCCTTGGTCTGGATCTAAGTGTCTCAAGGTTGAGGACTTGACGAGTGGCTGGCATGGTCGGCAACATGTTGCAACATCATTCGCAAAAGTAGTGTGTAGAAAGAACATTTCCGCAAAAAGTCGTGTTTTTCGCGGCCGCGTGAGTGGGCCAGACTGCCTCGAGGTACTCTAGAGCTCACGTTCGACCAGCCGGATGCTCAGCAGATGAGCAATGCAGCTTTGCAGCGGCCCCCGTTGCACCCGGGATGACACAGGATCTATCCCGGTGGGGTTGACGACACATTTGTCCCCACCTCAGTGCGTGTAGCTGCAGTGTGTTAATTTGGGATATGGGCACGGAGGGGATCCCCAGCAGATGCGCACATGGCACTTGCAGCGTGTCCTGGGCGCGTAATCACGGTCAACTACCCCAAGTGGTTTCATGCATCTATGACTTGAGAAGCTGGTCGCGAATGTGCCTGTGCCCTCAGAACCTCTCATTGCATTATTGAAGTAGTCCATCATTTGAGTAGCTCCTACACAACCTGTACACAGCCAGGTGGAGTAAGAAATAGGTCGGGATGAGATATATCTCCTTGCAAGAACAGGATCGAAGCATGCTCTCACCAAAGGTTTTGCGCTCTGGGGTCCCTGGAAGCACAGAATTTTAGTCGTGAGGGCCAGCAATGCCCGCTTAGCATGCGCTTCCGATGCGTGCATGTTTTCCACGAATGCCAGCTTGCACGTAAGCGTGCTGCTATAGGCAAATGTGCGAAAAGTGCGTTCAGTCAGCTCGAGCGTCAATTAGAAGGTTAAAGGCTCGAGTGCCAGGGGGTTGGAGCTACGAGGTTAGGGTGTGTGCCACGGGTGAGCTGGATGGCAGCAGAAACGCGAGATTGTCGACGGATATTCCCGGGGGGAGGGGGGCAAGCAGGGGCGCCAGTGCTCTTGTAGTCTACATGCGCGATTCTGCTACTCGTGCCGTAGCTTTCGTTGGCCTCGGCTTGCCCCTCAAGTCAGCCACTGTCTTGAGCCATACTGAGCCTGGAGGAGCTGAGTGACCCGGCACGGAAGGATGGCAAGGTGGCAACGATGAAGGTCAAGGCCGCAGTATGCGAAGCCGAATATCATCGAATGCTGTTTCGAACACATTAGGCACTGCACCGCTTCTGATGTCGATGAGTGCATTCACAGCTTTCCAAGTTCACCCGCAGAAGAAGGATCAAACAGACGCAATCCCATCGTCCCCACCAAGCCCAGCAAACGTTTGCCTTCTTGCCAGGTCTTTCCTGAGCAGTGTGCCCAGCCTCCGCAGCACCAGCAGCCTTCACAAAGCTAAATGTGACAACTTTGCAGGGAATGCAAGCTCTCGACCGCACTGGGACACTAGGAACTCACACAAGCTGTCACGACTATCAGTTGCCTGTCCCCTCGGTTGTTGCTTAATAAGGAATCCGGAAGAGTAAGGCAGAGGCTTCAATCGCCGAGAAATGCCGAGCAACTTCAAGCCTCACGAGGTTGATTCAGATGCCAGTGCGTGACACGCGCTGCTGGGTGACGGTTCACAGAGCAGAGGCCAACTGGGTGATCTTGGATGTTCGTATGATTGGACATGACTGCTCGAGATCAGTACTTTCGATTTCGTGAACTGCTGCAAGCGAAGGGTCTTCGAGCCGCAGACTGGAGTCTGGTAGGCAGGTGCCTGAGCTTCGTGAGTTGACTGGTGTGTATGTTTGCGGAAGGTAGAGCACGTTGTGTTTGCACCCCCTTCGGTCAGAAATGCACGGCAGTCCGCGAAGAGAGGTGAGAGAGTGGACAGCAAAGTGAGAGCATGGAAGCATGGAAGTTGCCAGAAAGAACAAGTGCGGGTCCGGGTCTTCACCCGCCTCTTGTGATCCGATTCTCCGATCTGCGCAGCCGTGGAACCTGAGGTGCTGGTAAGTCGGATCCTTATTGCATCGCGGGCGGCCCAGTGTGCATGAATGTGGATCTGAAAGACTCGCTGGTGCTTAGCCAGCTTTACAATCATAGTCGTCAGCCATGGCCTTAGATGTGTTGGCGCACTGGGCCGGGTATGTTGTTGAACTACTTTGGTACAACTTATTTTCTATGGCGACTATGTCCTGCGTTGCTGGAGAGCGTGAGAGGTCGGCCTTCCTCACAAGAAGCATTCGGTTTGGAGAACTCGCGTCCTGTACAAGGACAGGCGCATCTGGAAACAGCAGCACCTGGGGGTTTAGTCTTGAGGCTCAACAGCCTACCACACGTGCATGTGCAACAACGCACGTCGGCGCTGCTTAGTATATATCTAGCCCAGGCAACCATGTAAGAGTGAATTTTGTAACCGTGCATCGATTTCGTAGTGCAAGCTTCACGTCAGCCATCTTCTTGCTTGTAGCACAGCTTGACTCACCGCTTTTGAAGCAGGAACTCAATCCAAGCTGGGACGAGGAGGACACGCATGTACCTCATGGCAGCTGCCTTCTGACGGTCATGAAGCATGGCGGCTTGCTTTTCCCGCCATGGTTTTTCAACTCGCAAGCAGGGAAGTCTTTGGTTCCAGTCATGCTCAGCATCTTGTTTGGGCGTTTGTTTCTCGGCTGCTTTCCGCGAAGGGCTACATCAGAGATTTGGACGTCACGCCAAATGTCTCAAAGCAACATGCATCAACATGCCCAGCAGGGATTTACCAAACAAAATGCAGCCGTGACTCTTAAAGTTCTGCATCACTTTCAGGGTTGGGAGGGTTTAGGGACATAAGTACGGAACACCCACTCTTGGGAACTCGGGGAGATTTGAGATGCCTCACGTCCTGTGGCACTTGTAGTTGCTAGAGTCCCCGTAGCTACAGCGCTGGGAAGGAAGAGATGATCAACTACGAGCCGGGTGACAACATAAGGTTCCAGGTGATGGACTACGACAAGAAGGGTCGTGGCCTCGTGGCCAATGGTTGTGCTAGAACTAAAAAATGAACTAAACTCTGCGCAGCTAGCTAGTTACATGAGATGTTCCGATGTCGAAGTCTGCAAGCCACCTTGTGGAGCCTTGTGTGGCGGTTTGAACCCCGAGATGAAGACGACCATCTCGGTCAAGCCATGCTACAAAGTGCCGACTTCCACCCGGACGGTTTCGAAGGCCAAGCCCAAGCAGATCACAAACGCTGCTTCTAGTCCAGTTCTGAAGCTGTCTGGAGCAGCATCTGGCATGGAATAGCTGCAGGCGCAGCTCTATATGGGATCTCAACGGGCTTGTATCCGAGGAAAGCCAATACCAAGACTCAGCGCTGCAGGTGAGATAAGTCTTGGTGAAGGTACTTTGTGCGGCGCTCAGCGGTTCTGTGCATCATGCACAGCAGGGCAGGCTTATGTAATGTCCTGCCTGGCTCAAGGTGAATCTGAATTCTTCATGAATGGGAAATTGGAACGAACAGCCTCAGCTTGAAGAACGCAACAGCGCAGGCACGTGCGCGTCGACATCGAGGTGCCTGAGGAGGACGAGGATGTCAATGATCCTGCAGGCCATGTAGGCGAATCAGCCGACACGTTTGGGGCGTGGCTGTAGCAATCTGTAACACAATGTTTGTCCCATTTTGTCCCACATCTGGACCGGCCTTCCGTGCTGCAGCTGCATGCGATGCGCTGTTTTGCATGTTTTCATCAATCGCATTGCTTGCCTTATTGCTTAGAGCACT